CTAGCTATTAATGTAATTTTTGTGAAGCCTATGATGTTCAATTTTACCAACACCTCTTACAAACAATATCAACACATTTGTATGAGATTAAGACTGTTGAGTCACACTTTGTTCCATCTACCGATCAGAATACTTAAATGAGAGGATTATCCCCTGGACTGTGTGACCAGTTAGTCTACAGTTTTAAAATGAGAAGAGTTATAATGAAGTTTCCAGTAACAGGAGCAGAACTTTACACTAGGATATTTTGATACTTGCTCATATGTATAATAGTGAGCTTTGTTGAGATAATGGCGCCACCTTGAGGCCCATACTAATCTGTGCATGTTGATAAACTGATAGGTCATCCATTAACTGTCCTTGCAGTCAATGATTATCGATTTCAAGGCAACGATCCAAAGTTCAATACATAAACACCACCAATGAATATGACTGAATGAGGAGCATCATGTCTTTGAAAACATTTTCCTGCAGGGTTTTGTATAAATTGTTAAACCCTTGTATCGTCGCTTCAATTAAACGAGATGCAGCGGCCGCTGTGCTGGGACGGAGCTCCGCGCGGGGCTACTACAACACCGGGAAGCCCAGGTACCCCGGGCCGGTCGAGGCGGCCCGCGTCCGGGTGGTGGACCTCCGCAGCGACACGGTGACCAAGCCAGGGCCGGCGATGCGCCAGGCAATGGCGGAGGCCGAGGTCGGAGATGACGTGATGGGAGAAGACCCAACGGTTAATGGTTAGAGCCGAACCGTGATAGTGCGATAAAGTTATAGTTGCATTTAACTAACTTAACGGACTTATTCATGGATGGTTGAAAAGTAGCACCCGCATAACTCTGAATGAAGCAATATAAAGTAGTTGTAGAAACCCTATTGTAATTGATTGATAGATAATTATTCAGAATCAATCAAAGACAAATCTCCATTGCTTTTCGATGGACAATCATGTTTTTTCTGATTCTGTTTACTGAATCCGGTTTGTAATACTTTGTTCAACCAAATATATGCATGTGCATTTTTTGCACTTAATTAACTCTGCATTAGCTCTTAAATAGTACTTAACCAATAATTATTAACTGCTTCTTAATTACAAAATAATACACATTAGGCTACTCTTCAGTTGGAGTATTATCCTACCAACTGAACAGTAGCCACTATTAGTGATACAGACAGCAAGATTCTCAAAAAATCATTATGAGGGCAAAGCATCATCCTAAAAGCTACTCTGATAGTTAAGTGAGTATGAATTATTGGCTCAAAATTACAAATATACAGTTTTAAAGTTGGGTTTATGTACAACATACAACTCTCTCAGTCCTTAGACGCTTGGTTAACATAGAGAAGTAGCAGGGAATAGCTCACTATGTCAGGGTAATTTGGTTCAGCATATGAATTCATGCACACCTGCTCTTTTACTTGCGAAATGCTGCCAACATCTTGCAGAGCTACAAAAAATCGCAGCTGATATGTTTGGGATGGAGGCCGCGCTGTTTGTCCCCACTGGAACCATGAGTAACCTCATCGCAGGTGAGCTGTGCTTTTACTGGCAGAGTTTGAATCCATTTTTATGAGGTCAGAATGGTCATAAATGTGCACGCTTTTCATTTTGCAGTGATGGTGCACTGTAGGGAGCGGGGCGACGAGATGATTGTGGGCGATCTGTCCCATTTACACATCTATGAGCAGGGAGGTAGTGCACAGGTGAGTGCAGCAGAATAGCAGACACCTGCAGTTGGGCCTTCATCTAGAGGTCAGTTTTTGCTTAAAGGAACTCAGTGTGTATTTGTGTGTTGACACAGCTGGCTGGTGTCCACGCTACCACTGTGACCACCCTCCCCAATGGAACATTTGACTTGGAGCAGCTGGAATCAAAGATCCGTCACGGTTACCCTGATCCCCACTACCCCCGCTCACGCCTCATATGTGTGGAGAACACACACAACATACAGGGAGGACGTGTGCTGCCTCTGTCCTTCCTGCAGGAGGTGTGTGTGTGTTATGTTTCTAAACATGGTCATAGTGGAGAACACTACAGCTCAGCTCATGCTGATAGAAAAAACAATTACATTTCAACATGTGAAAGCAGCTGTCATACCTGCCTTATTAAAACAGAGTGGAGAATCCAGCATCTCTCACAGCTTTGATCATCTTTGGATGGTTTGTTTCCATCTCCAAGGTTCGTGCTTTAGCAGATAGATATGGTCTGTCAGTTCACATGGATGGAGCCAGGGTGATGAATGCTGCTGTGTTCCAGGGGGTGCCTCCATCCACCATACTGCAGCACACAGACACCGTCAGTGTGTGCCTCTCCAAGGTGGGACTGAAAAACACAAACACATACCAGAATAGACAAGACGGTAGAAGACATTTCTTTGCGTATTTTAGAAAATACATATGTGATGAGTCAAAATGGGCAAACATCAGACAGAAAACAGAAAACTTTTCAAAAGCAAAGTCAAATTCACTGTATGGTTTCTAACAGGGTTTGGGTGCCCCAGTGGGTACCATGCTGGCTGGACCCCAAGATTTCATAGCCAGAGCGGTGCGGTGCCGTAAAGCCCTGGGTGGGGGGATGCGGCAGGCTGGTATACTAGCAGCAGCTGGAAAACTGTCCTTACTGGATATGGTAAAAAGACTGGAGGAGGATCACCACAATGCAAAAACCTTTGCTCAAGGTGAGTAGCTCATATTTTTGTTTATGAAAATTTAATCATTAACTGGCGGCCATTATGTTCCTGTTTCTAACTTCTTCATGCTTGTTTCTTCTCCTGCCCAGCTCTGCTCGACTGCGACGCTCCTCTATTTGCTGTAGACATGGTGGCCGTGGAGACAAACATCCTGCGTTTCCGTCTAGAGGAACCCGGTTTGAGTCCTTCTGAGTTCTGTGCCCACATGGGTCAGGTTTGCGAAGGAGAGGAGGCTGCATTGGGACAAGGGATACAAGTTCTCATGTACCCTCATTTTGGAAACTCATTAAGGGCTGTGTGGCATCTTGGGATATCCCCTGAAGATACCCAGCTGGCCATTCAGAAAATGCAATTTGTGGCTTCTCAGTACTTGAAGGAAAAACTCAGGGCCCAGTGAAACCTGACCTGTATAGTCTAATCACTAGGACTGATCATAGAAATTTTACACAGACTAACTTAGAAAAAGACTGAAGGACCTCAAACATGGGACAAACAACAACCAGAGTCACTTTTGACTGTGGTCGTCTTTATATCCCTCGTCATTTCAGTTTTTTTTGCAATTCTCATGCATTAAATTTAATGAACCACTGTCTCTTGTCAAAGTTTCTTTCATATTTTTTAAGTATTTTTCTCGTACATAGTAGCGTGACCTAACCCCCATGCTATCATTTTAATTGTTAATTTTTTCTAAACTTGAACAGCGTACCATTATCTATAGATATAAGATACAGAACAGTTTGTAAAAACCTTGAAATACTGCTCTCTTTATGTAAAGCTCTCGCGATGGAATTAGGAAATTAAAATGTTTCTGGCAGCGGTGGGATTCGAACCCACGCCATCGAAATGACTGGAGCCTAAATCCAGCGCCTTAGACCACTCGGCCACGCTACCATGTTACACGCGCTGCACCAGTCAGAAAATTTATACGTCAGCAGGTGATTACAAATATGGGGTAGGTTTACAACTATTAATTTACCACTTTTGTGACGCAATGTAGCTACGCAATGTAGCTAATGTTGGTTAGCTAACGAATGCAACTGAGGATATCAATTTCACCGCATTAATACCAGCCCAACGTTGACGTAACTAGCAATTGGACGTAGCCATTACATTTGAACGTTGGTGCGTTGTACGACCGAGTGTTACGTTACTGCTACTGTAGTTACATTCCTATTCACTCTACTCAATCATATTTATTTTTCTAGTTGCTATTAGCTCTGCTATGTAGGATTGATAACCAGACTCGATTTAGTAAACCTGCTACGAATAATGGTAATGCGTACCTAACATATAACGAATATTTAGGGATTCCTGTCGAAGCTCTCCGGGTTTTCAAGGTACTACTCTGGTAACAGGAAATAATACTTGAGTATAAACCAGGTACAAACTGTACAGCTTGATATGGCTATAACTTATCCTGTGCTGCTTTCAAATGCACCTCAGTCGTAACTAACATTTCGCGCGTTTCTACTTTGAAACAACATCATGGTCCAGTTTTACTATATTGCTCATATGATATTGTTGTTGTTTATATTTTTAATACAAAAATATTAAAAACTAGAAGAATAAACGTTTAGTGTAATTCTCATTTTATGTTTGTTTGTATTTATTTATATTGTTTTAGATACGTCTTTGGAAGGTCATTTCACATTTCATACATAAAGGCGAAGTGCTTCACATAATTCATTAAAATAGCGTGCACTGTAAAACATGATTCAGGAATTCAGTGGAATCAATCAAATCTCCTTAGCTCAATATAAATAGTTCTGGTAGTTTCGAGTTATTTCAACTTACTTATTCACTTATTTTCAGGCCGCTTCAGAACTTGAACATTTTAAACATTGTTAACATTGTTAAGTAAAAACGTTTCAGAGAGTCTTCTTCTTTTGTAGGTTGGTGAACCCACTCATGATGACTTGATCTGTGACTTTAGTGGGTTAAATTAAGTCATGGTTGTTTCTTTTCATAACAGTGCTAACCAGAATGAGGGTTAGTATTGAATTCAGTCCAAAACCATGTATTTAACACAGAGACTGAGAGCAGCCTAGAGTGTTGCTTTTTTACTGACTTTGATACAAAATGACTTGAAACTGAAATGTCATTTCGACTTAATATATGAAGTTTATTGTACTTGTTTCCTCAACTTTACTTGCAACACTCATGAAATAACTTTGAATTAACAGTGCAGTTAAATCTTTGCATCCGACAAACTGTCCATTCAGGTAAGTATTATATTTCCGACAGTCTTGAAGGCAGCAGGAGGCAGGGGCGTGGCTTTCAGAGAACATAGTGATACGTGCTGAATGCTCACGTCGCTGTGGTGGACGGTAACAAAAATTACAGGTCACTGCCAGGCACGTCCCCGGATCGTCAGGACACGTTGGAGCACCAGGACCTACACTGTTTGATCTTGTTTGTCCTGGGAAGAGACTTAAACTAAAGCTGCTGCGATTCTGTCCGTGTTTAACCGAAACTGAGAGGCGGAAGAAGACCGAGGTGACTGGGTACACTGTCACAGTCTGTCAAGATAAAGTGTTTTAAAGTGTCTCTGTGCTGCAGGATATAAGGTTGGTTGTTTATTTAGTATGTGCATTTAACAGCAGGTCACAATAGACCAAACTGAAGCTAATACTTCTGTGAGAAATAATATTGCAGCATGCTGCAACATGATATTCTACAGCCAGGGTTGCTGCTGATTTCTATGGGAGCACATTGTACCAACAGGAGCTCAGGAACTTAATGTATTGTGCTTGTATTTCCTCTCCACCAGCCAGCTGTTACTTTAAATCTGTGTAAACACAGTGCATTTCACTGCAGCTGAACAGATTGGTGCTTACATATACTGAATAACAGATGTAATGAGCTGCTGTCTTTATATGTGTCTTCTTTCCACTCACACTCCTGTCTCCTCTCTTGTCAACAAAACAGCAGACATCATGGAGGACGACCTGATGTTTACCATGGAGGAGGAGGGCAGCGCCAAGAGACCCCCCTTCCAACGAAGTGTCCCAAGCCAGCGGGCATCCTCCCTAAGTGATGCCAACGCCAGTGATGATGATGACGAGGATTTCATCTGCCCCATCCTGGACGACTCCGCAAGAGACATCTGCCACTACCTGAAGAATCTGGTTTACACTCGGCAGCTGTCAAACTCTCTTCCTAAGAACAACTTTTTGTACAAGGTGAGCTGTGAGCTGTCATGTTGCCCCGGCAACATGATGCAAGATGACAGCCAAATGTATAGTGAGGAGAACAGTATTTACAAATGTTGAAATCTATCACCGGAGGGCTGTGTAGTGATGCGCACCAAAAGTAAAACCACTTTGTGTGCAGTATGTTGTGGTTAAGCACCGTCACAAACACTCTACTTCTGTTATATGCTGTGAGAACAGTTGTTTGCCCTATAAGGAGAGATGGTCTGTGTGTGTCTGAACACACAAAACAGCATGTAAGCTATTTGTATGTATGTGAATTTCTGTTTACTGAAGTGGGAAGCTAGTCAGCCACCTCTGACAAGAACAGGAAGTACCAAAGAAAGATTTTCCACCTCATGTGATTACATTGCATGTAAACACGAGTCTGGCTTTCTCCAGACCAGCAGAGAGAGAGAGAGAGAGAGCATTATGCAAGTGGCTGGATTCAGGGTACACCGCTCTTTAGCAGAGCCACTGTGCACCAGCCAACTGCAGGGACGAATGGCGTTTAGAGTTGTTGTTCTAAGATTCTAGCTTCATTTAATGCTGTTTGAAATAACCATGTTTCATTTGTTTTGCTGATGAAAAGCCGTCCGTTCTCTCCACCTTCCTACATAGAATGAAACAGAAACGGTGGCAGAACCTCGGTCGTACCATGTTTTGTCTCAGAGCGCACGGGTATGTCACAGATCAAATTATATCTTTCTTCTCTCCCTCTTCACCAGCGACCATCTACGCCTCCTTTCTCCCCCCTCCGCTCTATAATTTACTGTCCTTTTCCTTCACTGAACTGGAATGTCTTTTTGTTTTTTCAGCAACATACTTTCCACCTATTCTCACTTCCCATGACTCTCTTTGTGCTGACGCTGTTATGTGTATCCTAATCAATGCACCCTCCCTTCCTCCAGAATGTATTCCTTTACAGAAGAATTTATTAATTGTCACTAACGATCACCAGAAATGTTACATTGTTGTTTCACAAAACAAAAAATGTAATTTTTCTGCAAGAGCTTTGGTTTCAAAAAGTTTTTTTTGTTTTGTTTTGGTTTTTTTTATCACAGATGCAGCTGCTTTAAAATGAGTTTTAGAAGATTATCAAAAATCTGCATGTATTCACGCAGCATGGTTGAGCACCATACCAGGCTTCACCATTCGACCCTTTAGCCTTGTGACCAGGCTGTAATGTTTCACCTCCAGGTGAATGAGGCCTGATGTGAGATGTGTCGTCTGCTCCTCCTCACAAACAGACGTGACACCCTATCAGTTAAAAAACACGACACTTCTCTTCATGTAAATCCTTCGCTCTAAATATAAACCTATCTAGAATGCCTGCTCCGGACAGTGACGAGGAAGACGTGTCGCTGTGCAGTATAGGGTGGGTCAGGGCTTTGGTTACTTTAGCGGGTTTAGATTACTAGTCACACTTGATTTATGGGTTCTACTAGGAAAGATATTTTTTGAAAATGGCAATAACTGCAGATGCCCATGAAACATCCCGTGGTGATCACATTCATTTTAAGGTAGCGGCCTCCCTCATACTAAAAATCCAATCTTTTATTTAACGATCAGTTGTTTTATAAGTGTGATTTTCATGTTATTTTAACGATTGTGCGCTTCCTTCCTGCTTTGTGCTTTTAACATTATTAGTTTTTCTTCCTCCTCCGCCTTCCTTACTTCCTGATTTGCATAAAGTCACAACAGTTATAAACTAAAGATGTGTCATCCTGATGCTCTAGTTTACATTGGTGTGTCCCTGGGTGATTAAAAGCAAATACTTTGAGGAATGAGAGGAAGCTGTCCAGTGCGGAATCAGTGAAATGTAATTTGCTCCATTAGCGAGCACAGTTTCGACACTTAGAGGCCGAAAGTGTTGTTGTGCAGAAAAAGCACTTTTTTTTTTTTTTTTTTTTTTTTTTTTTTCCCCAGCGTATTCTGGTTAACCTGTTTTGGAAACCAAAGTGTTCCCTGATTTTTTGCATTGAAAACAAACACTGCCAGCAAATAAGACGTATTGCTTTATCGTGACAGGACGCATGGAAAAAAGCAATCGAAAAGGCCAAAGCCAGGCCCGACCCCTGGGCCGAGTTTCATCTGGAGGACATCGAGACTGAGCCCTGCGTTCGTTACAGGTATGAAAAACCCCGTGTGACTGTGAATCAACAGCGGTAATTGACTTTTTTCCCCAGCAGACATTTTGAAACAAATTTTTATTAGCAGTGGCTCAGTTTCAACAAGTTGTGCTAACATGACAAGTCAACATCTCTGCTGGGGAAAAAGGTCTGTTGTTGCATGGGGTGATGCAGTGTGGTCACAAAAACCACATTAAGCAAAATCCTCAAATAACATCCCACAGGGTGATAAAGTGCCAAAAACAATTATATTTGATTACTAAAGATCAATAATTTAATTTGATTTAATGCTTTTAAAAAAAAAACATTTGCAGGCAGTTGAAGGTGATAATTCCCATTTTACATGAGCTTTAAATTTGAATTAAAGTTGCATTAGTTGATATTTTAGCCACGTGGGAACACCAGTTTATAAAGCTGATGTGCTAGCAACCACTTGCTTATTTGCACATTCAGCAGACACAGATCAAGATTAGCATTCATGTAAAGTCATTTTTGTGACCAACATATACAAGTTCAAACATTTACTCTCCTTTTAGCTCCGTGTTGGTCACCACCAGGTCCTGAGGGTGTGGGCTTAACAGAGCTGTGCCACCGCAGCTGAAAACAATGCTAATGTGAATAGTAAGACAAAACAAAACATTCAGTGTGAACAAAGAGCCAAGAGACGCTGAAATGCATCGCAGAGCTGCAGAGTCAGGTGATAATTCTTTCTGGGTTTGTCATCACAGACAACCGCTTTCACATTACAAGCAGTCATATGACCCATTTTTAACATAAATATATTGATAAGAGGAGCTTTAAGGTATCAAGATATTTAGTCAACAGTGAGCGGTTCCCTGACTGAAATTAGCCTGCATTGTTCTTGAACTCTCATTGATGTGGCAGCAGGCTTCACAGTTGGCTCATATCTCGGTCAGTGGTGCTATTCTTATCTGTTGACAAACATTACTGGCCTTTTCAATGGGCACATGAAGCATTGATGCCCCCCCACGGCCCATCCAGTTCTTCTTATCATGCCATACTGTCGGTGTCCGCCCAGATTATTATTGCCAGCGTGTCGGCTACATAAACGTACACGGCTCTTGCAGTGTTCAAAGACGTGGGCTGCAACTCTCAACTGAACTGGGTGTGGGCAAAAAAGAAGCAGGAGGAAAGTGAATTCTTTTGTCTGCTTGTGTGTTTGTGTGTGTGTGTTTGTGTGTGTGTGTGTGTGTTTTAGTGTTAGGCTTGTTACATAACGCACAGAGCTGGGACTTGGCAGGAGCTGGGATTTGCCCTCGCGTTCCTTCTTCATGTGCTAATTTTACCCACATGTAACCTCACTCCTCTTTCCTTCTCTGATGCCCCCTATAGTATGAACTCGATGGAATGAAAGCCATGGTACACTGTGTTCCCGCTGCTTGAAACAGTTCGTTGGCAGAAAAGACTTTATTTTGGAACGGGGAGTAGGGAGCTTGTTTCTAGTTTAAAGCACTCAGGTTTCAGCTGTGAAGACTTGCAGCTGCAGCTACGGTTCATGCAGTATTCATTAACTCAGGACACACACCCTGCCAAGCCAAACAGACACACTGACCCAGACATACAGTGTGTGTACACCTCATTTGTATCACCATGTTGAGTGTATGTGTTCTTGCCTGACTACATCCATCCCTCTAACCTTCAGTCCTTACAAATAAAAGAAGAAAAAAAATGGTGCAGACTTAATTGCTTTTCTTTGGAAACAGGACACACTCTTGAAAACACACACACCCTCTCTTTTTCATTCTTCTCTACTCAATGATTTCTCATACAGCGGAAACTAGATGTTTAATGTGCCTCCATGATAAGGATTGATAATAGACTGTTGACAGGCAAACTCCCTCACAGAGGGCAAAGAGTAACTTGGCTAACTTGATGTGCTTTTTTTTTTTTATTGACCGTGTGACAATTGAGGCCTTTGAGGTGCAGCCAGTTCAGTGTTGTAGACGGGTCAGTGTGACTGATTTGTAGTGTAACAGGTGGTAAAAAAAAAAAAAAACGAAAACAAGTGACACTTTCTCCCCACGGAGTCTGCTCTGGGACGTAACACTGCCCCACACTTGGACAGCCTCACAGCCACTCACAGCTGCGGTAGACTTAGTTTCAAAAATACAAATGTGGATGGAGCTGAGCCACAGCTAAGAAAACAGAGAAAAAGGGGCGTTACAATTTCTCCAGAACTCAAGCTGACATCTTCAAATGGCTTGATTTGTCCAGTCTCAACAGCCAAAATCCCAAAGATATTCAATTTACAGTGTCGTAAGACAAACGAAAGCAACACATTCTCACATTTAAGAAGCTGATGTTGTGTCGAGGGTCTGTTTCTCTCTCAGGTGTTTACCTGTCCTTTCAGAATAAAACACAACTTACAGTCTACAGTAAAGCCAGCAGCCCTGCGAGGCTGCGCTCAGGCTTTGAGCTAAATGCTAACATGCTCTCAGTGACAATGCTCACATGATGATTTTGGAAGGACATCAACGTGCTAGGCACTGTGTGCTCAATTTAAATTTATCTTGATCAGATGATGTTAGTAGATGAAAAGTCAGTGAACTGCTGTGGCCAATATGCAAAAAAAAAAAAAAAGTCATATTGTGATTATTTTGGCAGATATTGCAGTTGCGATATGAGTCCAGATTTCAGCTGGAATGGTCAATTTTGCATTTTGTCTAAAATTAAAAAAAAAAAAAAAGTATTTTAAATAAATAAATATAAGAAAATTAATTAAATGATGATGTCATTTTTTTGTTGCTAGAGCGTGTACCATACAGGCATGTTCTTTTACCTCTGGAGAATATGATTTGTTGGCTGGGGCACCTCAGCAGCACCACAGTGCTTCATTTATGGTATGTTGTGACACACTAGACCTTTTATCAAAAAAAAATTGCAACCCCTGCAATTTGGATATTGCACTTGACCATATTGCGATTTCGATAATATTTCTATTAATTGTTCAGCCCTATTAACCACCTTACAATTCATCCTGAGAGAGACATGAATGTCTGCACCAAATGTCATGACAGTCCATCCAGTAGCTGTTGAGACATTCCACTCAAAAACCATGGAAAAGTGAGAGGATCACCAAAGTCAGTGCGATTCATCCTCTGGGGATTATGAACGGTTGAACAAAAAATTTCTTCAACAATCCATCCAGTAGCTCCTGAGATATTTCGGTCCGAACCAAAGTTGCAGACCGACCACTCTACAGGCCGACATTTCCATCTGCTAGCGTGGCTAAAAACCAAACTTCCCACGTGATAATTTAGATTCCATATGAGGAGGATTGAAGAAAGCGCTCATCGTTTTCAGAGAGTGATATTTGAGCGAGCATAATCAGTATAACTGTTCATTTTGACTGAATTCAGTTCCTTTTCACAGATACAATGCCGTCACAGGAGAGTGGGCTCAAGACCAGATCCACATCAAGATGGCTGCTCAGGTATTACCTGTTTTAAAACGCACATTTTCACAAGAGAGTTTTGCAGTTTCATATCTCTTAATATTTGCCCTGCTTTCTCACAGCCGTTTGGGAAAGGGGCGATGAGGGAGTGCTTCAGAGCGTAAGTTGGAACTATTTTTCTTCACTTTTATCTAGAGGTTAATGCCCTTAAGTTCTAGTAACGGAGGCTGTTGTGGTCTCAGTGTAAACAAAGTGAGAGAGGAGTATGGTGCTCTTAGGTCGTAGTCTATAAGCGGTGCAGGTCCACATTCCTCACATTTCTTGCTCCGACTCAAGAGAATAGCTGCTGACGAATAAAACGATTTCAGAGCCAAAGATGGTACTGAGAATATCAGCCTGAACCAGAGCGACAAAATCTTCCATGATGGCACTGGGGCTTTATTTTTAACTTTATTTTCTCAGCACTGCTTCCCTGGATTTTTACTGTATGGAGTAAAATAGAATCTGAGCCTATGTTGTGAACGCTGCTCCGCTCTGTTCTCGCCTCTGCGTGACGTTGCAGAATGAACCAGAAAAGGGAGAATAGTCTAATTGTTAATGCTAAATCCTCAGTTATGTGGGAAATGTAACGGAGAGGCATCCATCAACTACTGCCCCCAATTCATCTGTTTGTCGTTTGCAGTACCGTCACAGAAAATTTCCTCTCAGACAAAACCGCAAGCCTGAAAACAACCCCCCCCCCCCATTCCCTACAAGCCCAAACACGTTAGGTCCTAAAAAAAATGGTATGGTATGGTAGAGTATGTTTTTCCTGTTTGATTTGTACATATGTGGCTGTGGAGCAGTTTTTCATTCTGACCCAGGGTCACTTTGGGAGATCAGTTCCAGTTGATGCTACAATCAAAAATGGCTTTAGATGTGTATTTTAATAAAGTTTTCCAGGTGTCAGGCCAATGTCAGCTATCTACTGTGCATAAATCTAAATGTAATTCAAATGCTGCTGCAACATCTAACTCTTGTTTCCTCTCCCTCCAGCAAGAAGTTGTCTAATTTCTCGCACAGCAGCAACTGGAAGTCGGCCTCTAACTACGTAGCGAAGCGTTACATGGAGACGGTGGACAGGAATGTTTACTTGGAGGATGTTAGGCTGCAGATGGAGGCCAAACTCTGGGGGGAGGAGTACAACCGCCACCGACCTCCCAAACAGGTACAGGACAAACATTATATTGATGGGACCAGACAATATGGATAAATATGGATAATATATACAGTATATATATAGATATATATATAGATATATATATATATACACACAATATGGATAGCTCTCAGAGTCCATGGCTGGACAATGGAAACTATTTTTTTCAATTACATCATCTTATATATTGATTGACTCATCGTTTCAGCTCTACTTAGATTAGATTGGATCTGCATCAAAAGCACTTACTGATTAAACATCAGGAGATACAGGAGCCAGATTCCTGCAGCCAGATGTGCACCTAAAGCTAATTTACTTGTTCCTCTGACCCAACCTCCATCAAATTCAAGTCAAATCTGTTCCTAAATGTCTGTCTAACATTATTTAGGTGGGATTTTTATGCATATTAATCATGTTGTACTGTATAGTAGTATAGTCTATAATAAATGTACGTATACACAGATATTTAAAAAAAAAAAAAATTAATTATATATTGAGAGACAATTTAATTAGTGTCTGCGTTTCATCATTAAGACTGAAGAATTGGGTGTTACCATAACTTACCACCAAAAACTGTAATTAGATCATTATCAAAGGGATGTATCAGCGTAATATCAGCGTCTGTAAAAAAATGGGACTGTATGGTTTAAAAATTGTGACATATGTATATTTTGCCCTTGTTTATCTTGACATATGTATCCTCGTCTTATTTCTCACACGGTCTTTTAGCTCAGCTTCCCCACATGGTGACATGTACAGCGTGTAACCATGGGTCCTGCAGCCCTGCACTTGGGCCCTGGAGTGATTTGTGAGTGAGCGACTGTTGTGCGTCTGTTTGTAAACCTCAGGTGGACATCATGCAGATGTGTGTGGTGGAGATGACGGACAGACCTGGCAAACCTTTCTTCCACCTGGAACATTACATCGAGGGCAAGTACATCAAGTACAACTCCAACTCTGGCTTCGTGAGGGACGACAACATCAGACTCACCCCGCAGGTGAGCGCGTATCCCCCCCCACTCCCTCCCCCCCTTGGATCTTGTTACACATTAATCTAGCAGTCACTTAACAGTCTTCATCATTTATTTCCCCCGTTGTATCACCTCAGGCTTTCAGCCACTTCACCTTTGAGCGGTCAGGACACCAGCTGATCGTGGTGGACATCCAGGGTGTGGGGGATCTCTACACCGACCCTCAGATTCACACAGAGAAAGGGACTGACTTTGGGGACGGAAATCTAGGTTTGGCTCTGCCTCACACCTTTTAGTCGGCTTGTTTTTGCGAAGCTTGGTTAGGAATTATTGAACGAGCGTTGAACCCGAAGGATATATAGCATCTCCATCATACCTGTGTTCCAGGTGTGCGAGGCATGGCGCTGTTCTTCCACTCCCACATGTGTAACAAGATATGCAAGAGTATGGGCATGACGCCTTTTGACCTCTCGCCTCCGGAGAATTCCCAGCTGGACTGCACCAACAAACTGCTCGTAATTTGAACATTTCCATAATATGCAAGGAGTAGGAATATGATTGGGAAGTTTATTTCCCTGTTCCCTTCGGCGTATTCTGCTCGTTCCGTCACCTACTGCTGCAGTTTCTTCAAGCAGATTTCATCCTGTTTTTATTTCAGAAGTCGGCCGAGACGGTGCTGAGGGGCTGCGAGGAGCTTTGCGGTTCCCCTCGCGTTCGCACCATGTCGGGAAGCCGGGCACCTCCGCTGTTGTCCCGCCTGTCTGAGACTTCGTCTGCAGACGAGAGCATGAGCGACGTGGAGTCGATCGACCCCTGCTCGCCTCTCATCTTCCACTGCTCCCCGCCGGCCGCACTTGGATCCATGGGCAAGTCGCCCATTGGTACGTGCGTGAACACATTACTACCTGCTGCACCATTATAATGGGATGTTTCATGTAGTTAAGCGTGGTGTCCACACTGTAAATAGTTTTGTCTTATCTCTACATTTTACCAGGTTTATCTTTTGCTGGGATGTATGAACAAGAGAGACTCGACAATAACAACACAGGTGAACACAAGGTGAGTATTTGTATTGTAGTCAAATCAGGAAACTACATCCAAGAGTTCAGTGTTTGAACAAAGTTGTTAGTCTTTTTTTTTTCCATTTACACCACATTTTAATCTATTTTAAAGATAAAATGTGTAAAATAAGATGAAAATGTGTTGGAGCCTTCATCGTCTGTTATTTAAAGTTGTAATCCTTAAGATTTTCTTAAAATCGAACCCCATTTTTGATCATATTTATGGCACATTTTTCTAATAATAGCTATTCATTGTATTTCCATTCTGTAATAAGCTTTCTATGTAGCGGTTTTCATCACACATATTGTTTTCGGGTTGTCTGTCTCGTGGATATCTCAGTGAAGGGATGTAACCTGAAACTAGCCTGAGTGGAGGAGGCAGACAACCGCGATGCTGGTCATTGAAGTTTTTATTTATTTTTTTTCATTTCTGTCTGTAGGAATCCGACAGCGGCGGAGACAGCGGATACCCCAGCGAGAGGAGGAGCGAGGGCGATCCATGTGACCATGTTGATGGGGTAACGTCAGACAATTTCCAAGACTGTTTTGCAGGATATTTTCTAGCAGTCAGTCTGAAATGGACAGAGGAAGCTCTTCTTTATTGACATGAACAGCTCACACACACCTTCCTCAGCTGACCTTTAAAGAAGAAAGAGTTCTTTTGATATTTATATGAGACACATTTGTACACATACTCTGACACATTATCTTACACAAATCCATGTTTAACACTCACTTACACTGACATGAAAGACTTTTTTTGTTGCTATATGCGGTTCACTCTTCTTTGTCCGTCAGTCGTCTGAGTAGCTGTTGGTCTGTCAACCTTTCCTCTTCTCCACATGAAGTTTACAGCTGTTAGATTTTCTGACAGTAGGTTCAATAATGCATGTTGTATCATCACATAGGCCCATCATCGATACCACAGACATTATTCCGAGTCGGATGAGGACAGTGTCAGACGGGTAAACAAACATAGAGACATCAGTGTGCGAGCGTCATCCTCACCTCAGTCATAATCAAATAACTCTTGCTCTAATATTTTCCTCATTCTGTCCTCACTTTGTCTTTTCCCCTCTCATCCCCTCACCACTTCATTAACAGTGAAATAAGTTCCTCACCCTCCTTCTAATCCAGCTCCTCCTGCTCTTTGTCTTCCCTCACTAGAGGAAGATGGTAGCTCCTCCAAGGGTCTCTGCAAACCTATATTCAGCCACTCCTGACAACGAATGGGTGATTACATGCATGGAGGCTCGTAAAGCCACGCGTCTCCCCGTGCGGCGCTGTGCAGTCTTATTGCTCCAAAGCTGCAGCTTTGCCAAAAAATGCATCAAGCACAAATCTCAAGTTTAAGATTTGAGCAACTCAGTGCACAAGCTGCCGCTGCTTCTATGTCAACTCTGCCCTTTTGTTCAGTTTAATGAATAAAAACAGTGGGGGAAAAAAATACAGAGAAAGACCATCTACCTCTGTTTCGCCAGCTCTGCCATCTTGCTCATGATTCCCGCCATGATAGCTTTGTGTGTGTGCTTGTGTTCCTATGCTTTACATGATTTTGCATCCACTGAGTGTTGAGCGAGCAGGGGTGTACTCCTCCAGCTCTGAGCACAAGGCTGATCTGTGCTAGATGAGATTAAAGCAGACGTTTCTGGATGGGTACACTCCTGAGAGTGGAGTGTGATTTTTTTAATTTATTTATTTATTTTGTAAATTTCATCATATGATTTGTTTTGTGATCCCTGTGGTGAAGAACGGGCAGTTACTTCCTCCATCTTGTGTCTCTGTCGGTCTGTTTCTACCCAGCTGACAGAAGAGAAGTGGAGCTTCTACCATTCGTCTCGCGCTCACGTCCACCGACCATCATGTGTGGCCACTGAGGTGGAGCGACTCAACGCTCTGATGCAGAAGAAGATTGGCCAGTCAATCCTCGGAAAGGTAAGAAAACACAACATTTTGGACTTTTTTTTTTTTTTATTTTCTTCATAATAACCAGCTCAATCTGAATCCACCTGTTGCTGCAGGACGCTGTTTTCTTTTTTTTCATTTTTTTTTAAGAAAGCAGTTTCATATGTTGAATATATTCTGGATCTCCTCCCAGGTCCACCTGGCGATGGTGCGGTACCATGAAGCGGGTCGTTTCTGCGAGAAGGACGAGCAGTGGGATCAGGACTCGGCCATGTTCCACCTGGAGAGAGCCGCCCTGTGTGGGGAGCTGGAGGCCATTGTTGCCTTGGGACAGTGCTATCTGCAGCTGCCTCATCACATACTGCCAGACATGGAGCTGGAGGTACCACGCACTATGTATTTAGAATTTTATTCTTCAGCCGAACCCTTGTTTTCTGACATTTTTGTGTTGTTTGCAGGATAATGCAGGAAACAGGATGAAAGGTTTCAAGTATCTTCTGCTGGCTGCTGAGGCTGGTGACAGATCCTCTATGATTATAGTGGCCAGAGCCTTTGATACGGGGGTCAGTCTGTCAGCTGACAGGTCAGTGAAGGTTGCTTGTAGCAGACAAACATGTTTCTGTTATAAAGATGATGAGTCCTGGTCTAACAGTCGTGATAATACTGCCCCCTGGTGGGATTTTTAGGACAGGATAATTATGAAGCTGAAGGGGTTTTGTGTAGATTTGTGAAATCTTGCTTCTTATCTTCAAATTGACCAGAAAGCAGGATTGGGGAGAAGCCATTCACTGGTACGACACTGCGTTGAACATGACGGACTATGACGAGGGGGGAGAGTTTGATGGGACGCAGGATGAGCCCCGTTACCTGCTGCTGTCCAGAGAGGCAGAGATGTACCAAGTGGGAGGCCACAACCTCACCGCAGACCCACAGAGAGCAGGTTCGACTCCACGCTGGCTAAACAGACCTCACTGTGCTGATTATACGACTATACAGAGAATACTGCACTGAAATCAGACTTTGGCTGCCTCTGTCCTCACCTCTCATATCCCCCCTCCCTCCCCCTACAGGTGATCTGTTTACAGAAGCAGCAGAAGATGCCATGGCCGCCATGAAAGGCAGGTTGGCTAACCAGTACTACATGAAAGCTGAAGAGGCCTGGGCGCTGATGGAGGAGTAATCCCAGACACACACTTGCATCTTGAAAATGCTACAGAAGTTGATGTGTCTGACTGAAAGTCAAGCTCATTTTTACACATTCAGGATATGACATGTTTGTATCCTAATGGTTACCGTTTACATATTTTTTTATTACAGAATATTGAATGAATTTTTGCTTTTGGTGCTATAGATCTGCGTGTGCGCGTGCATGTGTGTGTTCAACCTTCCAGGTTCAGGCTTAGATCTCCAGGTTTTCTGATCCTCCTGTCCTCCTGACTCTTTTTCTTTAATTTCCTGTTTCTGATTACCTTCTGGCTAAGTGACTGTTGCTGCATGTAAGAGAAGGCCTGAAGAATCAAAACAAAGAAAATAGTTTACTTACTTTGTTAACACACTTATGTTGGAAGAATGTATGTAAAGAAATGCTTGGAGTATAAAACTGTAAAATAAAGATTGCTTTTTATGGGTAAACGCTGTCATTATTCCTTCCTGTTGAAGTGGTATTAAAGGTGTGTAACTGGGCCATACACCTTACTGTATATTACAAAAATTCTCCAAACCTGCTTTATTTGATATATTTTATTTTTTCCCATTTTTCTAAACTTATACTCTTGCAGTATAGGGATGGTATGAAACTGAAAAGCAAATACCTCATTAGCTAAAACTTAAGTGAGCTGTCTTTGATCTTCTGTACAATATCGAGTGTATATTAATGTAGAAAATTGATGCCTGTTACAAAAAATGTTTTCATTGTTTTTAACTTGGATCTAACCGTTTAATGGAGTATGTAAACATAAGTACACATTCTAAAACTGGCTTTAAATAAATACACAGAGTTTAGCTGGTGTTTGGGTTTGAGGAACAGCTGAGGAAGTCATGTCAAAGCAGTTAAAAGTCATCCACAGTTCAGTCCACCTAGACTTTAGATGTAGTGGCTGTGAACACAAAAAGACACAGATCACCCGCGAGAGCGGGATGAAATGTAGAACCAACAGTAAAAATCCTGTGTACATCTTTGTTATAAAATTTATTGATGGTCAATGAGGAATCACAGTGGTAGCGTGGCCGAGCGGTCTAAGGCGCTGGATTAAGGCTCCAGTCTCTTCGGGGGCGTGGGTTCGAATCCCACCGCTGCCAAACTCTTTTCATGCGTTGTGGTTACTTAATGTACTCCACACATGTTGACAGGATTGACACGATGTACACAAATAAATGAAATGCCATTGTGATTTTTATAATAGTTTTAATCCTGTGGAAATTAATAGAAATGATAACGGTTCAGTGGAGTCGCTGTGCATCATGGGCCTGGGCTCCTCCCCACGTGTCTGTGTGGAGCAGAGTCAACATGGTACCGACACCAGCAGATTTCAGCTGCGATAGCTAGACGTCTCATCCTGTACGCACCGCATTTCTGGACTGTCCTGACACGGATGAGATAGCTAAAACTGTACAGTGAAGTGTGCAGGTGAGAGCTAAATCTATGCCGTTTAGGAGAAAAGACGGGTTAAACCAGGCCCCGATGACTGACTGTGTCTTATTTTGACTGGCTAGCCTTGCTAATGCTAGGCTAAAGTTGCCTGGCTAGGCTAGTTTGCAGCATGTTAGCTAGTTTCGTTACTTATACGTTTGTTTACACGAAAGGGAAATGTTGAGCTTGCTGCTCTTTGTCCTGCTTCCTTTTACAGAAGTATGTTTTTGTAAAGGAATGAAAATGTAACCCACAGTGTAGCGCAGGCCTGTGACAAGTGGCTGGATGGTTTGATGCTAGCTTGCTAATGCAGCTAACGTAGCCAGAAACTTGTGTTTTTTAAAATAATAATAGCCTGTCAAAAGTTTTATAACAGTCTGACATTGCTGTTTTATGTCTTAGGTATTTCAGTGTCTGTTTCAAAGTGTTTGTATGAAGGGCAGTCATTTAACATGGATTACAATGTGTTACATCATGTGAGTTTTACCTGGCTGTATGTGGTAGCACCACTTGACAGGCTGCATGATCATGGTCTTTCTGTTCATTAAGTGGTTTTACTGGTTCACTGTATTGGCAGGTTTCATACAGATACAGTTTTCCTTAACACTCACACCCTGAAATACCCTGACAAAATGATGTAGAACTTTGATGTAACCTTGGTATCCTGAATCACATTGTTCTTGTTAGTGCTCCAGCTGCTTGTCACCTGTTTTCTCTGTTACCAGTCTGGGTGGAGCCATTTGGCTGAATGATGGGAGTGCGTGTCTGCACAATAAAACCCTGTAACCTAGTGCTTCTTTGTTTCCAGGTTGGATCTTGTAGATCTGCTGCCGCTCCCCTCCTGTTTCATCTCCTCTCCCCTCCTCGCTCTGCTCACTTCAATATGGCCAGTGGGGATGACGATGACCCCATTATAGAAGAGGTATGTCCATAGGCTGAAGTTAAAGGATAAAGCTTCTGATAGTTTAATTCATAATGAATTTGTCCTGCTAACAAGTGTTGCCCATATGGCTGAAAGCTTATTCCTCTGTGCTGTAGCCCCCCTTTGTTGACTAAAAACTGTCACACCAATGACTATATACACACTATTTCAGTAGGTGTTCATCCTTATGAACACAGACACTGTATTTTATCTGGAACTGGAAACACTCATAAAGTATATATTAATCCACATCTAAAAATAGTCCCCAGCAAATGCATTACTTATGATTATAGGTAGCGATGCACTGATAAATATAATTCTTCAACTCGGGGTATCTGCTGATTCATAAACATATACCAGTGCTCTCCTTTTCCACATTTTAATATCTGTATACCACGCTGCACTGGGAGAATTTCAATGTAGGGTAGCATGAGGCCAGGGATTGCTGCTGAGGAGTAAATGAAAGTAAGAGATGGGAAAATATTTTGAGAACTATTTATACCCTTTATCCAATCAGGTCATTTTAATGAGATCAAGATCTTTGGCAAGAGAGGTTTGCGTACAGCAAAAGAAATAGGGCAAGAGATAGGACACACAACAAAACACAGTTAGTCTCACACTCACACAAGCACATTCAAACAGCATCAGAAACAATCGCGGACATCTCTAAAAAGTCAAGCCAATGGCTTTTTAGGAAAGGCTGCTTGAAGGGAACATCTACCAGTTCCTCGAACTGGTTTGTGTAGTCAGAGTAGCTTTTGATCAATGTTTCTGTTTCCTGTAGATTGATGTGTACCTTGCCAAAAGCCTCGCAGACAAGCTGTATCTTTTCCAGGTAAGGTTTTTCTTTATTGTTCTTAATGCTGATGAGTACGTCTTCCTTTTGTGAACAGATTCCTAAAATAGTCCTGATTCTTTTAATCTGTGCTGTGATTCATTTACATGCCATGAGTCACTTAATCAGCTTCATTGTCTTTCTGATACAGTACCCTGTCCGACCAGCCACCATGACCTATGATGATGTCAACCACTTAACGGCTAAAATCAAACCCAAGCAACAAAGGGTACAAAAGGCTCTTTTCTTACTTTACAACCCATCAGTATAGAAAACTAGAATGTTTATTCATCTGAAAGTGTTTGTAATGTTTTTGCACTAATCACAATACAGGTGGAGTTGGAAATGGCTATCAACACAATGAGTCCAAACTACTGTCGCAGTAAGGGAGAGCAAATAGCTCTGAATGTGGATGGGACGGCTTATGACGAAACCAACACCTATTCAGTGTACGTCTACTGTCAAACCTCAGCTAAGATCTTAATGTGTTGCCGTCTGTCGGCTCTTATTACCACTCGCATGTAGGAATAGTTTAACATCTACACTTTCTGGCAGAGAGTTACATGAAAAGATCAATACCACTCTCATATCTGTTCATTAAATATGAAGCTACAGCTAGCAGCTGCTAAGAAAGCTTAGAATTAAGACTGGAAGCAGGTAAATTATTTCTTGGCTGACTGGTTGATTGTCATAGCCAAGAAATAGTCTGGCACATAACCCGGCAAATTGTTGCTTGTACGCCACTTTTTGTGCGAATCAAACAAACAAAACATAACGTGTTAAGTAGTGAGCTTTATAGATCCTGGTATGTGGATTTAGTTACCTTTAGACAGAGCCAGGCTTGCTGCTTCTCCGTGTTTTCAGTCTTATTGCTAAGCTAAGTTAACCTTCTCCCAGCTGTAGATTTGTGTCCCGTGAACTGACAATAAGAGTGATATCAATCTTCTCATTTAATTCTCAACAAGAATGCAACTAAGCGAATTTCGCAAAATGTCAAATTATCCCTTGATGAGCGGCTGCAAACTGCAGGTGAAGTTTTTGTTGACTTTTCTTTAGAAATGAAGCTGAGTCATTAAACTGTTCACTTTTCTTTTCCAGGAAAATGATGGACAAACAGACCTTCTCCTCCATCCAAGCCACTACCAACACCTCCAGATATGCTGCTGCTGTGTTTCGCAAAGGTCTGATCCAATAACCCGTGGTTCTGTAGTCCACTGTAGCACCATGCTTGTGTTTTGGTTGTTCTGACTTTGCTGCTGCTGCTTCTTGTAAATACACAAAGGTCACTTATATGTTCACAGAGTCCATGTGAATCTTTATCAGTCTTACCTTTCCTTATCTTTTAGTGTTAAGTTACCACAATTTTACTGTCTTTATCTTGAAAGTAACCAAATATGTCAATACGATGGACTGTATGACACATAAACATGAGTCCACAATCATCCACTGCTGCATTATCACTGGTCAAAACCAGGGTTTGGTTTCTGAATGTTCTATTATTGATGTCAATAGGTGAGCTTCACGTCACACCTCTGACAGGAATCCTCCAGATGAGACCCAGCTTCTCTTACCTGGACAAGGCTGACAACAAAACCAGAGAGAGGGAGGCAGCCAATGAAGGTGTGTTTGTTTGTTTTTAATCTGAACAAAGTTGTTCAGACAAATCAAGCCATTTAAAGATATTACATTGCACTCTTTCTGTCATTTTACAGACAAAATGAATCGAGTAATCAAGGCAATAATTGCCAGAATAATTGAAAATGAAAATAATGGAAAGTTGCAAGCCTAAGCTCCTACAGCAGAGCTCACGTTTGTGTTTCAGCACCTTATTTATTTATTTATTTATTTATTTAAATACAGCTTTAAAGCGTGATGCTTTCATCAGCTTTGAAAAGTGTCTTAAAACCTTGTTACCAGATCTAGTCGGATATGAAGACTGTTATATGACCACAGTCTTCTGTCTGCAGGTGGAGACTCTTCCCAGGATGAAGCTGAGGAAGAAGCCAAGGCCATCACAGTGAGAACTCGTCCACACACACACACACACACACACACTACACACACACACACACACGCACACGTGAACTCACGATCACTCGGACTTCAGGTGCTCACGAAAACCCATAACTGATCAATTTCCCGCCACTATTTCACTCCAGGTGAGGTTTGCTCGTCCGGAGTCGGAGCAGGCCCGGCAGAGGAGGATCCAGTCCTATGAGTTCCTCCAGAAGAAGCAGGCGGAGGAGCCCTGGGTTCACCTGCACTACCACAGTGTCAAGGTATGGGGTATTGATAGGGTGCAGCACTTTGCACATCTGATTACAATTCACCACAATACATACGCCATGTGATGATATGTTATTCTATAGTGTGGCGAATTTAATGGTCACTGGTTCTCACTATGTTTTCATGAGATCTTGTCTCTTCATTTTTGTCTTTGCCATGTTACCTGAACTCAGGACGGTCGCTCAGAGCATGAAAGGCAGTATATGTTCTGTCAGTCGGTGGACGCCTCAGAGAACTCTGAGCTGGTCAAAACTCCTAAGTGAGTATAATGCATTTCATTACTTTGACTTGGAGTTGGGAGTATGATGGTAGTTGCAGTCTGTGCCGTATTCTTTTGATTTGGTAATGCAAAAGCCATTATTGTCTCCCCTGGTTCTCCGGTATTCAATGTGTAATATTCATTCTCCAATATTAGTAAATGTCCAAACTGTTGCATGTGTTTGGTCCATGTTGGATGATGTAGACGCACTTTTAAAAAGTAATGATCTTCTACTAAGACTATGGACATCTAGTTCCCATGTCTTTATGTAATTCCTGAAGCTTTCCTCCTTACCTGCTCACTGCTCTCTCTGACTTATTTCCCGTATTGTTTCTCAGGGAGTACCTGGCGATGCTGATGCCCCCCCTCACAGAGGAAAAAGTGTAAGCATTCCTCAATCTTCTGTGGAAATCGTAGATGTTAAACTGGTTGACTGCTCCAGAAATTAATCATTACTGTCATCTCTTTGTTTGGACTTTTAGTGTGAAGCCTGTTGGTCCCAGTAATGTGCTGTCCATGGCTCAGCTGCGTACTCTGCCGCTGGGAGAGCAAGTGAAGACCCTGATGAAGAATGGTGGGTTTACATATGTAAACTGGTCACGTAAGGAAACAGTTTTGGGGCAATGGAGAGACAATATTATATGCATTCTTTTTGATTGTTTAAACAGAAAATCAATTCACTTTTCACATGCAGTTTTTGTTTGAGCCAGACGGGGGTGACGGAGCATCAGTAATGATATCAGACCTTTGTGAAACTGTTTAAAACTTCTTCCTCGGCTACAGAACAAATGAATGTAATGTTGGTTGCACTCAGATGTTATGTGGTGGCATTTAAATGACAGATCTGTTGCTTGGTCAGGCTTTTGCTAGTAGTCACCCTCTGTCAGTTTTCTTTGAACTGCATCAGATTTACAGCAATTCAATTTTAAGATTGATGACTGCCCTTCCTTCCTCTGACATCTTCTCTCATCTCATCTCCAGTCAAGGTGATGCCATTCGCTAACCTGATGGGCCTCCTCGCCTCCGGCACAGACTCGACCTCAGTGTTGCGCTGCATCCAACAGGTGGCGCTGCTGGTTCAGGGGAACTGGGTTGTCAAGAGGTGAGTCCAAGCAGCTTTTATTTAACAGAATCCTTCCCCGTTTGTGTGTGGAAATTAAATATGAAGAGTGTACCCATTGTTCCAGTGCAGACCGATTCATTGTAAGGACTAATATCACATTTGAAATGTATAGATTAAAATAAGGATTTAAAGTTAGACCTAACAGAACCCACAAGAGTGTGTCGCAGCCTTCAGGGAGAGAGCCTGTGTTCTTTATAATTTAATATTTTTCACATTAAACACTGGTCTGGCAGCTGAGTGATGTTTCTTTGTGTGTGTGTTTTTTTTTTCTTAGTGATGTCCTGTATCCTAAAAACACCTGCAGTCCTCACAGTGGTGTCCCTGCTGAAGTGCTCTGTCGTGGCAGAGACTTCGTGGTGAGTTGCTGTCACGTCATGGCACTACTCCAAGTTAAACCAATCTTTAAGGCCCAAGATTTTAGGCCGGTTTAGTTTAGTTTTGAATCAGTTGTTTGTTCCTTTTTTTTTTTTTTTTCTAGATGTGGAGATTCACTCTGGAACGCTCTGTGATGAGAAAGGAGATTGCAGCCATCATCAAGGTAAGGATCACACATGACCAAAATACCAAGTTTACCCAAAGATGGCATGAGAGAGAATTTTCTTAACTGTGAATTTTAATCAAGAAACCCCATGTGAGTGTTTAAATCTTTGTTGTGTCTGGAGTGTTAATAACCTGGAAGTAGCAGAGTAAAACTGGAACTGTTTTAAGGCACACGGCCTCAGAATACGTGCTGCTTTCAGCGCTCATTTCATGGCAAATTAGTCCCATGGGGTGTGACATACATACAGTAACATACAGCACATCCAAGGATGTTATTTGCGGAGGTGTCATAATTTCCCTTTGGTAATATCACTCGTTTCTTAGACTGGATTGTTCATTTGTGCCTGAAGGTGCGACTGGTTGGTTATTCTTCAAGTGTATTCCTCTGATTCATTTTACAGAAAAAAAAGCAGGTACAGAATAAAGTCAGTCGGTTGTTCAGAGGCAGAGCAGCTTCGTGGAGCAGGAGTGTCTTTGAACACTTGCTCTAGCTTGCTCCTGTCGCCCGGAGGCAGCAGTTGCTATGGTTCATTCAGGGAAACGGGACTAAACAAGTCCTTCCTTTTGTCTCCGTCAGCTTCCTCCAGAGGATGTGAAGGAGTTCTTGGAGCATGTGGCAACACCTCGGATCAACCGGGGCTGGGAGTTCCTGTTGCCTACCGATGTAGACTTCATTAAGAAGCACCCAGATGTTGCCCACAGGCAACACATGCTGTGGCTCGGCATCCAGAGCAAGTAGGTTACACTCAGAGAAGCAGGGGCATAATGTGTTTTAACTGAAGAAGCTCTACTATCTCACTGGAGTATTATTTCAATCATGGAAGTGCTAGTAAATGTTTTTCTTGGAGGATAGTTGATTGTTAATCAGGTTTTATTTGTTCCAATCTCTTGTCTCTTTTTCAAAGGTTGGAAAAGGTCTTTAACTTCTCTAAAGAAGACTTCATGCCAAAGAATTCCCCTCAGCCTGGTGTGTACCGCTTTGTATTTGTAACGGCCAACTGTTGGTAATAAATAACACATTAAATGTTCAGCAGAGATGAATCTTACTGGAGATGATGTCTGTGTTGTAGAGCCTGTCCATGTCAGCGGAGAGCAGCGTCTGAAGATGGCTCAGGAGCGAGCACAAGAAAACCAGTCGTCCCTTCAGAAGGACCTGGACGCCAAAAGGGCAGGAGGCGGCGTCCACATCAAACAGGAACCCGTCAGCGACAAGGAAGACGAGCCTATGGACACTTCCTGCCACCCCTCGTCCTCCTCCTCCTCCTGCATCCCCAATGGCTCTGTAAACGGGTACCCCAGTGCCACCTCCCCCGGCTTCGATCACACTAACGGCAACACGGCGTCCCCGGAGCTGCAGGAGTTTGTGATAAAGACTTTCAGGAAGCATTTTGTACTGACGCTGAATGAGTTAAAGAGGCTGTTTAACCTCCACCTGGCTTCCATACCGGCGGGACGGAGCGTCTTTCACTCCATCTCGGACCACATGCTACAGGACGCCATACTGCTCTGCCACTGCAAACAGATAATGGTGCCTGTGAGTATTCGGGCAGGACATCGCCTTGTTATGGTCAAAATGAAGGATTCAATCCAAATCCTTCACACTGGATGCATCTAGTTTCCTCCCTTCTCTCAGTCTTTGTCTCTATGAGCCTAAACGGTGAAATGCACACTCTGTTAAGGCTGTGTTCAGACTGGCAGTGGTCTGGCAAAACATTGTTGCGGGTGTGTTGCAAAAGGTGTCGATGATAAGGTGACTAAGCGCACACCTGGAAATCGCTTTTCAAGGGTTATCAGGCATCAAAACTCTGCACAGCATTTAGTTGTGCTTTGAGGCAGGAAATAAGAAGTTTAAGTTCTCACAGCAGCCACAGCTTCCTCTGTCTTGACACTCGGCCAGTAAACGGTGGCTTTAGCTTAATGAAACTTGATGTTAATACAAGGCATGTATAATGTGTAGCTGGAGTTGGGGAATATAGATAAAATGTTGCAGCATATTGTAATATACCACATATTCTGGAAAGTCGATGAAGAAATTGTTGTGCCAACTTGCTTCTGTTCTCTGCCTGATCATCTCATTTTTTTTTTTTTTTGGAATTTACACAGACGGTGCACGTTAATCAGCTTTTCTGTAAATGTGCCAGGCAGATGGCTAATTCTCATGAAACGACAGATAAAGTTATGCAAACACGGGACAGCAGGATACCAAACTGACAAGTGCAACAAAACGGGCGTGTACCAGTCAGTGCACAGATCGTGCAACACAACAGGAAGAAGCGAGACACGCACAATAATACCAGTGACCACATCCACTGTTGAGTAAATGCAGCAAAGTCACTGACATGTTGAGCAGAACATAACTGAGATGAGGTAATGGCTCAGATATACCCCAGTGTCAACATCTGTTTTTGTTTTTTGTTGTTTTGCTCAGATGGACTCAGAGACCACATCTGAGGAGGAAGTAGAATGAAGCGATCCCCTGTTTCACCTGCACGTCAGGTTTTTTTTGAAACGCAGAGATTACTGTCCCCTTTGTCTTGGGGTCTGTGTCGGGGTCAAACTGGATGGGTGCTGCATAAGAGGGTTTTTCTCACTAGCAGCTCGAAGACTGCTATCAGTTTTCTCACGAAATAACGACATTAACGGTTGTTTTACTTGCGAGCTTTGTTGCCTGTAAAGGAGCAGGTGCACTGGAGTAATGCAGAAGTGGTTCTCAGGTTCCACTCAAATTCCAGCAGCCACCTGATACGTGTGTGTGTGTGTGTGTGTGTGTGTGTGTGTGTGTGTGTGTGTGTGTGTGTGTGTGTGTGTGTGTGTGTGTGTGTGTGTGTGCGTGTGCTCGTGCTCGTGCTCTGTGTGTTTTGTGCTCTGTGTTTGGACTAATGCTGCTGTTCAGAGGATTAATATAGTTAGATGTGGTCTGTTATCAGTCGACTTTTAATCGGCTGTCTTTTTGTGCGGTGTTTGCTCGCAGGGCGTGGAGTAGCGTGGTCTGTGCCACATCCTCCTTTTTCATCAAGCAGCCAGGTCTCCTGCCAGGACCAGCCCTGTCCTGGACTTAGGTCTTATCCCATGTGTATCCCTGACGTGAGAGGATTTCAACCGCTGTGGGGGAGGGAATGGCCGGCCGCCATCTTTATTATGCAACAGATTATTGGCCTCAGAGCAAAGCTCATTACTGCCGAAGCGGGGGTTAATCCGACAGGTTGTTTGCAAATGCAGGCAGATCTGGAATCAGGTGACTTGTTGTTTATGTCACTGTATTAATATTGTCTGGGTGTCTTGACAGTTCCTAGATCAGTTTTGAGTCAGTGGGTTGTTTCTGGAGGGTTAATCCTGGTTTGGGCTGCTCAGTGTTGATCCTTCTGGTGGTCGGCCTGCTCTTGTTTTGACTCTTCGACAAGAGATCCAAATAAGTGTCTGAGACGAAGGAAACAATTTTCCATTTAGTTATCATTTGCGAACTGTTGAATAAAATGGCTTTTGCACGCTTGAATCAAGGTTTTGATGAACGTGCGTACTTTATTATGTTCATCATAAACACAGTTCTGCCAGTCTAAACAACCTTGTAGTTTGACTGCTGAGGTCAGTCACTTTTCTAACTTTGCTCTTTCCTCCTGATTTTAGTTTCCTGCTCAGAGCACAGCAGCCCCCGACGAACAGAAGGTGTTTGGTTTGTGGGAAACTGGAGAGGATTTCGACAAGGTAAACACTGATAGCATCACTTTTGTCACAACATCCTTCTCGTCTCTCTGTACTTGCGGCTGAAAGGCACCACAAGCCACACATCACTTCAGCGATCACTGAATTTCTCATGAATGTCAGAAACCACACGCAGCATGGTTCAGTGTCACGAGATCTCATCTTTGACTTGTGTTGTATGACATTTTGTGATGTGTGCTTATTTGCTCTTTCTCTTACGTACGTGCGCACAATATGAAGCTACAGACAGCAGACGGTTGGGTTCAGTGCCTCTAAAGTTCACTAGTTTGTTTGTTGTGGTTTTACACGAGTGGGAGTCGGGGTGGGGGTGGGGGGGAGGGTCATTTGTATTTCTTCACATCTGGGAATAACAATAACACTTTGGTTTAAGGATTGAATAAACAAAATCTAACGTGTTAATCAGTGAGCTTTAGATGTGCCGATAGGCAACTTTTGTTATCTTCAGCCACGCTAGGCTAGCTGTTTCCCCTTTCCAGTCTCTATGCTAAGCTAAGTCTCATCTCCTGCTAGCTCTAGCTTCGAATTCAACAAGCGCACGGGAGATGTATCGATCTTCTCTTCTAACTGTAGTCAGGGAAACAATTAACGGATTTCCAAAATGCTGCACTATCCCTTTTTAAATGAACTCTTTGGTGTGTTTGCTCCTGCAGCACCGTCGGCTGCTGTTCGACCTGTTCTCAAAGAACTACCGGGTCAGGAGGAACATGATACAAGCCAGACTGGCACAGGAGTTTGGAGACGTCAATAAAGCGGACATCGACCGGCTGCTCAAGGTGAGATTGGTGACGAACTTAACTTGCACCTTTTTTTTCTTTTTCTCTCTCTCTCCACTGATCTAACGTCTCGCTCTGTTGTTCCAGGAGTGCTGCAGCAGCCACGCAGGGATGTGGTACCTCAAGGGAACGATACAGTCCTGACACTGAGATCCTACCCCCTGCGGTCACCGTCAGCCAATCAAATCCTCTCCTGGGTGTCCAGTGGGAGGGCAGTCAAGAGAGATGAGAGCCAATCACAGCTCGCCCCAGCTCTGAGGGCGGGCGACTGGAGGACAAAGATGTCAGCCGTCTGCTCTGCTCAGAACACGAAGCTTTTCCCGTTTCAACTGAAGCATCTCTGACGTTAACGTGAGCACTCTGATGCTGCACGGAGGATAGAAACTCCTCACATACTCACACTGACAGCTGGAGAATCTGAGGGGGAAATATGAATATTAGGAAAAAAATGAAGAAATAGCAAGATACATATACGGTTTATCAGTAGATTTCTGGATTTATGACCTCATGTTTGATTATTTTTGAATTAAACTTTTCCCAGATCAGGGTGGTGTTTACTACGGAAAGCAACCGTGGCTCAGAGTGCTTTCATTTAACTTAATTAAATTTTGCCAGAGAAAACACGTTTTACTGTATTATCAACAAAGCAAACATTGTTTAATGCCTTTTGGTTAAAAAAAAACCTTGAACCTGATTTTATTTTAATTTTTTTTATCCATTAACTTCACACATTTTGTTGGATCTGACTTGGTTAAAGCATATCAACTGAACAGAGTATTTATTCCACCCTTAATCCACAAATGAAAGTGGTGAGCTTTAAAGATGGCTGAAGTGATGTGCTTAATTAAAATTAAAGCAAATAGAGGGGGAAACGTTGCCAAACTCCTGAGTCGACAAATGTGAAACAAAAGGGAAAAAAAAATATGCAAAAACCTGCAAAAAGTCCCTCATGTCCTTATTCTCATGTTGTTCAACTGAAATCACTTTGTTTTTGGCAATCATGGACCTGGACGCTGCTACATCAAATGTGGCTTTTCCCACATTTCTGTATTATTCAGTCAAACATTTGAGAAGAAGTGGATTACAAGCGTGATGTTGAGGTTTTGTTTTTCCTGGTTGAATGTACAGAGTTTCAAATAGTTTTCCTATGTGAGAGAAACTTGAGTGACTGATTTTGACGAGAGCCAATAAAGATGCAACTTGGAATAAAGTTTTGTCATAAATCTGTTGGGATTGTCGTACAAACATAGTGGAATGGATGAATGGTGTCTATGGACTGGATATTGGCCCAGTACAAACACCGGACCGTCGTCTGGGTGATGGGGGGAGTTTGTTGCTATGGATACATTGGTTTATGGCCATGTGCTGCTATCTTGAGCCTCCATCTAAAGTGCCTCTGCCTCTCAAGGCATTCAGGACAAACTCCCACCCACTCATATGATGAATTACAGGAACAATAACACTTAGTTTCACTGAGATACTTCATGACATTTAGACCTTAAATCTGAAAGTGTTCTTCATTTCAGGCTAAATTTAGAATTTCCTACATCAGAAAATGACAGTTGTATTTTTTTTTTCATTGGTTTGTTACTTTGCTCAATAAACATTATAATGTCAACTTGTCTTGTGAGTTGTTTTGTCATTATTACAGATGTCAGTGGTGATATGAGATGAGAATGATTTGACTTGAATGTGCCTGAACAGCAGCTCAGTAGAAACTGGGACATTTTGCCTCGTACATCCCTCAACTAATGAGGTTAAATCTTTATTTTCTATTAGTCCTTTGTTTGAACAGATTGCACTGTAATACTCGTGTTCGCTGCAGATTGTTGTTTAAAGGACAACAGTCTGTTGATGTTTGGTACAAAGATAAATCATGAACATATTGTCTCATCAGGTCCAAAGACCACAGTGACAATCAGGTACATTACCATCAGACAAGGAAGCACCAGGTTTAAGACTTTTTATGACGTTAAATCGGCTTGGGCGATATCCAAAATTTAATATCTCGATACAGTCCAGCCCAAATATCGCGATATATGATAGTATCGCGAGTGGGTGAGGGGTTATAATATAATTACATTGTTGTATCTTATGCTTCAGTTGTTTGCTTTTTTTTTTTTTTTTTTTTTTTTTTTTTTTTTTTTTTTTATAATACACAATCATATTATTGTATTTTATGTTTCAGGTATAAGTGATGCTGCCACTAAACAGCAGTTTAAAGTTCAGCAAGCAAAGCAGTGAAATAAGGGTCGGACTCATCAGGTCGGACTGCAGAACTGCAGCTTTTTTTTTTTTTTTTACGTAATGAAAAACATTGCATATGGCGGGAAATATCACAAATATAATAATAGATTCTATGTTGCTGCATCAACACCACTTCCCATGGGGCTCGGGGGTGTTGCAAAACTAATTTGAATTGTTAATGCCTATTCTTTGGTCAGTTTTATTTTTAGGCTGATGTGTTGGGTTTGTCTGAAGTCCAGCAGGACGTGTGGACGGCCGACATTAAAGCAGTTTAACACATCAGACGGCAAAAACACTATTCTATCATTTTCACAGTAGACATATGACGTCCAGGTTCGACTGTGACACAGAATCTATACATAAGGTCTAATCCTCTTTACAATGGACTGACTCAGCAAAAAAAAGACACACAGCTGCTGTCTCAGCTTGTTTCATGGTTTATGGCTCAGAGCAATAACATTACCTATGAGGTCCAGTCATGAAACAGGTAAAAACACATTGTACATACATACTGCAGATTACTCAGGTCTAGAATATGATTCAAACAGTAGCACATCACACTTGCATTAACTACACAAGACAGAAATATAAAGTGTCGGAGGAGCATTAATAATGCCTGTGCAATTCTAAAGTGCATCTCAATGTGATTTAACAGGACGTCTACAAATATGTGCATAATCTTTAAGCTTAAACAAGGACACGGGAACGTCAGGCAGCAAAAGCAACAGCTTCTAATCATACGTGGCTTCCTGAGGCTAATATACCAGGAGGCCGTTACTTTATCAGGTACATATAGTTATTATTTTGGTAAACCTCCGAACTTCCCTTTAATATAACATTCACTCACAGTCATCTAACCTAACATTCAATAATCAAGTAGAATTTAAGAGAAATGCATATTACAATTAGAAAAATCCAAATACATTTGAGCACCTTGAATCACCAGCTTTTACTTCACCTCCTTCACCAATATAACATCAGGTGCTATATCGGTCGCCCCTTTCCATTGGTCGTTCATATAGGCCTAGGCAAAACTATCACCAAGAAAGCTACATTTTTTTTTTCCATAGTTGCAAAGAAGAAAAATAAAAATAAATGAAAAAGTTCACATTCGACCATAGGAGATCAGTACACAAAGAGCAGATACAACAGTAGCACTATGTTTTACAGATCTGTCATTTCACAGTAATATTCCAGTTTCCTGGAAAAGGGGTATGTTAATTTGGGACTTAAAAAAGTCTGTCCATTTCTTTCTGGGTAATTACAGGAAACTACCATGACCTTTAAAATAAAGTGTTACTGATACAGCTTATGAAAAGGAGACAGATTATTCCCCAGAAATGATTTCCTCAGGAGCTTGTTTAAAAACAGGGCTGTGCAAAGTGAGGTAGAGTGATTGGACAGTAGAGACGGCGGCGTTAGGCACTGGTGTTTCTGTGCAAAATGAGCCACATCTGAGACGTGAGCTGGTGGTGTTTGGGCCTTTCATGTTTCTGCATCACTCTTGTGTCTTAACCCCTTTGCCGGTCATTTCTGGGCAAATAACGTACAGTAAAGTGTACACTTAGTAAGTCTTTCCAAAGAGTCGCTCTGCAACTGGAAGATGACGATTTATCTTGCAGCAGGTCTTTTTCTTGCTTTTTTTTTTTTTTTTTGGAAGCAACTAATTCAAAACAGGCAGCAGGTCACCAGCTGAGGGTCTCCCCCTGTTTTCAATCAGGTCCTCTTTGGTTTTCCGAATGCGGGAGAAAATTTCCCTAAAAAGTTCCTTGTACTCCGGCTGGTGGAAGTCGTCCTCAAAGTCCTCCATGTCCGTCAGAGCAGGACAAGCACCGGCGAGGGACGGGGTCTGGACCGATTTGTGGCTCTGCCCGTCCTGCTCGTCCTCCTGCGGCCCCAGGTGGCAGCGGCGCAGCAGCTCGTCGTACTTCACCTGCAAGGCACTGTACTGGGCGTCGACCTCGTTGAGCAGCGAGATCCCGCGATACTTCACCACCTCGGCTCGGCGCACGCAGGAGCACTCATGGTCGTAGATCCTGTCGGGGGAGTCGGGCATCTGCAGCGCCTTCATCAGCCGCTCGCTGTCCCAGCGCTTCAGCACCCTGGGGCTTTTGCCCACATCCGCATCCCCCTCAGCCGCCTCCTCCTCCGGGTTGAGGAACACCGAGTCCGGCAGCAGGTTGTGGATGACGTCCGGCCTGGAGGATCTTGTAGAGGACTCTGATTTCCAGAGCTGACGAAGCTCTTCAGCCTCACGCTCCAGCTCAAACACTCTGGCCTGAAGAAGAGAGAAGAGTGATTTAGAAAAGCGATGCTGTCAGAGAGGACCGACACAGACTGAACTCTCCGAGGGACGACTCAATGAATCCAAGGATAAAAAGAAAAGAGCAGAGCAGCAACTTTTTTCTCCTTTATATGTTAATAATGTTGAATTATCTTTCACCCTTTCATCTGACATTACTGTTGTATATTTATGTAATTGCACCTATTCAAAAATTTGTTTATGTACCATACCTGACATCCCTCCAGCCTCGTCAGCCGTTGCTCCAGCGAGGCGTTCTCGCCGGCGAGCAGCTCCGCCCCTCGCTCCACCTCCTCCCTCCGAGCACGCTCCTTGGCAAACTGAGTCTGGAGGGTGCGCAGGGACTGTCGCAGTGATGCCTGCTCCTCCTCGCGCCACGACACGTCGGTGGACACGAGGTCGTCAGAGGGTTCATCAGGATCGTAGTCGTACCTGTACAGAAACACAGACCGTTATAAACTGTATGGATTTTTGTCATAAACCCATGTTTACTCTTACCATACTTTTCCATAGACCTTGTTTCTGATTGGATTTTATGATTTTACAATATGATGAATGCTGATCATCTATCTATATCTAAAGCCAGCAGCTGATTAGCTTAGCTTAGCATAAAGAAGGGGAACTGAGAGAGGGCCCAGTTGGTGGTCCGACAGACTGACCTTTCCATCCATAGAATGAATGGATTAGAGGTCCTAACAAACGCCACAATAATGAAATGTTTCGACGGCTACACTTAATACATCTGCTGATGAAGACCATGCGATACAGTCAAAACCTGCAGACCAGGCCAATAAGAGGACCTTGAGAAGATTATTTCTACACCTATTCTTAATCAACCAGTATCTTTTATATCAACCACGCAGGCTGATACTTTGTCCTCTCTTTTACAACTGACCTTGGCATTTTATCTTCAACACTTGTCTGCTTTATTATAAGGAAAAACAAAGTGAAAGGTGACAGGAAATGCAGAGTGGAGCGAGATGATGACAACATGTACCAAAGGTCACGAGCCAGGTTCAGTCTTTTTACAGAGGATATGTACATGTGACACCTAACTGACAGATAATGTATATTTTATAGCGAACAGTGAGGATTTTAATGCATTTTTAAAAAAGAAGTTTATTATAATATTTGTATTTGGCTATAAATATCCCAATATGTACTGCATCAATTTTGGATACGTGTGTATATTTTTGCAGGTATGTTATGCATACAGTATTTTCTTTTTTTTAACCAGAATACGCCAAACCAATACACAGACGAACAACAGGAAAAAAGTGAAACACAAAAGCAGGTGATGTAAGATAAAGAGAAAACAGCTGATAAGCAGAGAAACGCACACTAAGCACAGAAGAAACAAGAACTTATCAGTAGAACCAAGGCGATTAGAAATCAGCTGAAGAATCAATTGCAGCTTCAGAGAGATATTGAGACATGTTCGTTCCCTCCGGCTCGGACTTCGACCTCTGTCCTTCCAACCTCATCTACATCGCGTTCGGACCCGTCTCGTTTTATCAGTGAGGTTTCCAACCATCTGACCTGGATGTTTTTGATGGAGCGGCCCTCACAGGATTACACAACACACAGACTAAACTCAGGCAGTGAATGAACTTCTTCGTCTTGGTCCAAGTTTAAGAGGAAGTGACCGCAGCATGAAACATTCAGACTGCTGTGAGGTAGACATGGCCGACTGCCAGCGAGGAGGATTAGCACACATACAGAGAGGAGAGCTGAAGACTGGATTTGCTCTTTCCCTTCTTGAAGCTTACAAAGAGCTTCTGGATCAGTGACAATGCAATTAAGATTTAATAATTTAAATTAATTTAAATTTATCAAAAGTTAATAAAAGGGTTTGATTAATTTTTCCGACCCTTGTGAGCCGAGTCCTCTCGTCTCTGCTCCCGTCCGAGTGAGGCGACGAGCAGCGCTTGCAAATCCTCACGTTTTGATTTAAAACGATTAATTGATTATCAAAACTGTTCTCTAATTTTATGTCTGTCTGCTGCTTGATTAACTGACTAATCATTTTCAGCACCACTGATGTAAATGCAGCGTTTCGAGCATCCTCACCCGAGTGTGTTCTGCAGCTCTTTCAGGCAGGACACGCTCTGACTGCCGCGGGGCGACCGCCTCTCTCCGTGCGGAGGCCTCTGAGGCGGAGGACTCAACTTCAGCTTTTCCACCTGATGCTGCAGCTCCTCCACCTGCGTCTGCAGCAGCTCGACCGTTTCTGTCAGCCTGCACGGAGAAGATACAGAGCTCTGTTAGGTCACTGATGAGGGATATTTTAATCCGAAACCAGGGGAATCTGCCCACTAACACTTCTACATCTCCCGTCTCACCCCTGGATCTTCTGCTGGGCCGTCCGGTTGTCCAGAACCAGTTTGTGGTTGCTCTGCTCCAGCTCTCTGGCCGACACGTCCAGCTGCTCGTACACTTTAGCATGCTGATCGTTGACCTGCCTGAGGAGGTCCACCTGCTTCGTCAGGTACTGGAGGAGAGAGAGAGAGAGACGCAAGTGTGAAGACGAGAGCGGGAGGGACGGGGGTGAGGACATGAGGGAAAGGACAGTTTGTTGCACATCATCTACTGTTATCATTATTATGAGATAGACTGATATTATACATTAAACTACAATAAAAAATATATATAAATACACATAAAAAAGAGACACAGGAACATTAAAAACACAGAACAAAAAAAAGTATTTTAAATACAAGAGAAATTGATTATCAGTAAATATAAATGACAGTTAATACCGCGGGAGAGGAAAAATCCACAGTATTAAGAGTTTCCTTTTAAAAGTTGTTAGATGTTGTATGATGGACTCTGACTTGAAAGGTGTCTGGCATCATCACAACAAACGGACTTCATGTCTTAAACCTCCTCCTTCCGATTCATCTGAAAGGCTAAATGTAATATTTTTTACTATAAAACATGAAATATGTGGACAAGTCAAACAAATAAATAATAAGTAGGTTAAATTACCAGCAGAGTCGGGAGTTTCGATTAATTAAAAAGGTGCTGATGAGGGAACTAAACCCTTGTTATTATTGTTATCATCACTATTCTCATTAGTTAGCTGTTTTAGGTGCTAATTTTAAAGAATGCAACTTTGAAGAAATGTAAAGAGACAATGGAAACGCTTATTTCCCAGTAGCACCTAAATGTCTCTAAAAGCTCCCTCAGTGGAACAGTTTCTTTAAGAACAGCTTTGTCTTATCAGCCGTTGCAGCCAGGACACTTTGAACCTTTCTTCACACAAACTGAAACCCGCTGAAAACCAACTTCACGCTGACAACAGACCTGCCGTCAGCAGAACAGTTCAATGTCAACCTAAACAAATACGCTGCACATAAACAGTCAGACGTCAATGAGTAACGTTGTATGTACAGTATGTCAACATTCGGCAGGATGGTTCTATTTTTAAAAAGGGTTGTTTTCATAGCGTTTCTGCTCCATTAGATTCTTTTTATTCCGGGTAAAGAGTGACAGTAAACGCAACAGGAAACGGGTGATCAATTACAACACAGGTAATGAGCTTGAATCAAAGCTGTGACGTCACAAGTATCCAGCACAGGTCTTAAGAGAGATTAAATCTACATGTCAGCAGTGACATGTAGAGAGGGATTTACTGCCAGACACCCCGGACTGACCCTATTCGCGGAAATTAAAACCAGGCTTCAAAATCCAGAAAGATGTGTTAAAGCATAAGTTAAGATCGAGTTTCTGTCACTTGAGTTTGAAATAAGACCTTGAATTAATGATTTTGCTGCTGAGTTCCTGCTTGTACATCTCTAAATGTGAACACGGGGATACACAGAGACGAGAGGTACGCAGCAGGAAGGGTGGAGGTCTGGTTTCTAAAGTGGGGGAGGCAATGAAGTCAAAGGCTCTTCAACAATAACAAAACAAGCATATACACGTAATATGAAAGTTTTTTTTTTTTTTCTTAATTTCATAAAAATCTCACCACTAACAAACAGTGACTTCTAAATGAGCTGTTTATCATGTTTTCCATAATATCAAAGCTGCATAACAACAATAATCACCTATAATTTTATTCATAGAAACCTTATACTTGACCCTGATAAATATTATTATTATCTAATATTTAAAAATATTTGGCAAAACACTTTCCAATTCCAAAAATGAACCTTTAAACTCAGTACGTGTTTTATTTCTATCATTACTGAAAAGAGATCTGCCTTTTACTGCATCATGCTTGATCAGTTCTAGCATCATTTCAGGAGAATTATCTGTAAATAAAAACATTTTTAACCCCCTTTTTCTTTTCTTTTTTTAGCCATTAGTGGTGTCTGCAGTCTTCCACACAAGGCTGGCCTGCTTGCATGTTGCCAAACAAGCAAAACCTGGGGCAAAAGAAAGTTAGGAAATCCCTTTCTACTGCATGTGAAGCGTAAATGCTGCCAGAGAATAGAAATAACTGGAGGAGACTCAGGACTGACGCAAGGGTATTAAAAAGCAGCATGAGGGGGACATGCCCCCCACCCCCAGCGGAGATTATGTCCTTACACAGCAGCATGTTGTATTTTTCTTTTAGGCTAAATTGAGACATTTCTAATATAATGTAAACCTCTGATTGTACAATTCAATACAGCAGGAACTTCACTGACAGTTTGACCACTTTTCCCAGTCCAGCCTCATTACTCGCAGTATATCCCAGTCTAACAGAGACACAGAAAGTCAGACAAGTGACAGAGATATCGGACAGCTCTTTTACCTCGATCTCCTGCAGCTGCTCCTGGTTGGTGGAGTACATCTGCTGCAGCCCCTGCTCCAGCTCCCTGTTCCTCTCCAGGAGAGTCTTCCCGAGCTCGGCTGCCAGCTGCAGGTCTGCAGGGGAGACGGAGCGAGGAGGGAAAGGAAGCACAGCAGTGTTTCAGAGCTCATGGGTTAGTCTCACTGGCGGAGACCTGGGGACCTTATACTGTACAAGCAGCTTTGGGAGGTTTTGTTGTTTCTGGCAGGAGTCCAGTAACCCACTTTTCTTTTTTTTTTTTTCCTTTTTTAAATTTGTGCCACATGGTTTATCCACCTTCACTAACTGACAGACATTAGTGCAAATGGATCTTGAAGGTGTTTTTGATGGGTAGGGACTGCTGCTTATTTCTTATGCACAGGTATGAATTTCCTCTGACATTTATACAGCCCCTTGTTTTATCCACCCTCTGATATTTAACAAAACCCAGAGTAAATAGTAAAAATGATACAACTGGGATACAAATATGACACAGAACGAGGGAATATTTCACACACAAACATAAGCTTCAGTGTTAGGACATGCAATGAAGACAAAAGGGACGAAGGAAGTCAATTCTTCATTTCAGATAGACCTTTTCTATTTTTTCAATTTGCCGCATATGTGAGTGTCCTGCTGACTTCTGCCTTTTCCTGCCGCCGGCAAGGTGCTTCATCTCCACCAAAACAGCTTGTGCACAAATTAAACATGCTAATTCAAAATAATAACCATTATAGTTTAAGACAATTTAGGAAATTCCTACAAATGTATTCTGTTGTGCATCTGCAGGGATTGATAGCTAGTTTTTTTTGTACATGATACACATGAATTGCACCTCTGTGTTACAGCTGTAATGTGCATATTTCTGTTATTTGACTGTGAGATTAAGTATCAATATGTTAAATATGTTATCTTTAAAGGATCAAAGACAAAGACTGAAAGGAAATTGTACCATGTTCAAGGTCTTGCTTGTCGTACCACGGTTCCTCCTCCTTGATCTCAAATTCCTCCTCAACAATCATGTCTGTCAGCATCTTCACGACTGAAAACGCTCACACACACTTCAAGGGATTATTCCGGGTTTTGAACATGACAAAGACACGGTTTAAGAAACGGTCCAGTGCGCGTCCTTTACGCCGCTGTCTTCCCGCCTGCAGCCGGCACCGGTGTGCGCTCATCACCGGACAGACAGACGGATCTCTGCTTTGAACCGCTGCTACCTTGCGAACGTGTTTCCGGTTTTCCACTTCAAAATAAAAGCAGCGTTGGTGACCGTGTTGCAATCTGGTTGAAACGGATGGATTACTAAAGGGGCTAAAGGGCACAGGGTGTAGGGCCATTGGGGTCCAAGGAGTCAGGGGGCCGCTGGACCTGAGGTATATGGAATGGCTGTTAACATTACTTCTTAGAAATATGGGCTTCAGTTAATATCTTCTGAAATTTTATAAATGAAACAATCAGTCAATTATTACATGTAGTGGTATTGAAAATGCTTGTTAGTTGTAGCATCACAGTATTTCTATGATGAACTAATGCTATCATGCCCAAGGTTTTCTGTCTGTTAATTACTTGAAACTGAAAAAAGAAGTTTAATGAAACAGGACATTTCACAAAAAGAACACAATGTAAACAATAAAGGTCCTAAAATAGATTGTGACACAGGGTCCCTCAACGAGACAAGGCCAAAAGGGCCAAAAGGATATGGAGTAGCATAACTCTGGCTTTTGCCTGGTTGGCAATCCAGTCCTGATATGACAAAAGTTGGATGTAAACAGTTTAGCTTCAGTTTTAGTAGAAACTGGCAATCCCACTGCAGTTTCTTTAGAAGTTGCATTTTCTACTTGAATATAAATTTAACCCAACAAATAATCCAAGGACTCTAACATCTCTTTCCTGATGTGCATTTCTTTTGTGCTTTTATTTTGAAGATTACAACGAGTTGCTTCCGGTATTGCACTGCCTCTCTATGTGAGTTTCACCATCAGCTCACCACACCTGCTCCAATGTGTTTGGTTCCACCCTTGGTAATCGCATCACAGAGTGTCGGTGACCACACGGGGGCGCTGCAGCGACAAAACACAACTTGAACTATTTACATCAGCCTACATTTCATATAAATATTGTACTTTATCACCATCATCATCAAATTCATCTGATAGCAGGAGATAAATGTTATTTTTGTGAATCCACATTAAGAGTTTACATACGGGTCTATGGTGGAGATTTGGCCACAACATTATAAAGAAGTAGTTTGATTACCATAGTGAATACAATAGTGGCCATATCAAACATTAAAATACAGTTTGAAGTGAGAAAAAAGATTTGGGAGTGATTACTTTTTTTGACCGGCCACATTTTTTACAGGTTTGTGATCTCACAAAACTGTGTTTGGTTTCATCTTGGTGATTGTTGTTTTCTGACTCTTGCCCTGCGGCTGGACCTGAGCTGGACAGGAGACACCGACTGGCAGCCAGCTGAGAGGCTGTCAGACGTCTGCTCGGCCTGGATGTGGTTCAGGCCCTGGGGCCCCTCATCCAGAGTCACCGTATGAAAAATACACAAAAACGATGACAAGGAGACAAAGACAACTACAAGAGACAAAATGGACACAAAGGGGCACAAGTGCCAGAAAGCCTTTGTACATGGTTAACGTTGAGAAATGGTCTATTTCAACCCAAACCATGACGTTTTCTTAAACTTAACCAAGTAGTTCTGTTGCCTAAACTTAACCACACTGTGAGTCAAAACTGAAGCCAGACAGCCCCGAAGGCAAACTTCCCCCAACAGCAGGCAGGAGAACCAGCCAGAAAAAAGGGCAAAGGAGCAGACACAAAAGACATACAAAATGATTACAAATGATTTCCAATTCAGTTTATCGAGAAAGAACAAAAATCCAGTGCTATTATGTGTATTGCAGACGTTGTTTTCCAACAGTTGGTGGCAGTGTAATCTCACATTTTCCCGATTTCCTTCTTAAGCACATCACTAAAGTCGTCATTTCAACCAAACAAAGAGGACATTTTCAACATGTTCAACAAACACACACTGATTTCCTGTAAATTATTCATTCCAACACATTAAAAGAAATAACACGACGTCAACATGATTTTATTTCCATTAATGTTCTTTAAAAGAAATGAACATGATTAAACAGAGCAACATCACACATGGTGTTGACCCACAGTTGGTCTACACATAAACTAAAGCATCTGCTCAGCAGCTCAGTTATATTGCAGTTTCATTATCAGACACGGACAGATGAAAACATGTTTGCTCTGAGAAACATCCTGCCAGCTGATGATAAATGATCTGCTGCTCTGCACCCAGAGGATGATGATGATGATGATGATGATGATGATGATGATGATGATGATGATGATGATGATGATGATGACGAGTACAGCTCCAGCTTCTTCACCTTCCCTTTCGTCCTCCATCGCTTTTCGGTTTCATTTTTGTGAAATTATGCAAAATTCATAATACAGAAATCTTCAATAATGAAAGATATAGGGATACTTTCTGTCTTAGCATCCCTGATGAAAAAGTTATTTGAATATACAGGTAACAAAGGAAAACATACAGCATAATGTGTCTTAATAAGGTTTTGTGCCTCCACGTGCTGCCAGAGCAGTTTCAATGCTCCATGGCTTTGATTCTCCAAGTCTCTGAACTCTATTGGAGGGATGAACGACATTGTTCCACAAGATATTCCCTCATTCTGTGTTTTGATGATGGTGGTGGTGGACAGCGCTGTCTCAAATCTCCCGTAGGTGTTCCAATGGGTTGAGATCAGGTGACGGCGTAAGCCATAGTATATAATTCAAATCATTTTCATACTCGTCAAACCATTCAGTGACCCTTTGTCGACATGGAAGAGACCGCTCCCATCAGGATAGAAATGTTTCCTCATAGGATAAAGGTCACTCAGAACAACTTTGTATTGATTTGCAGTGACCCCTCCCTTTAAGGGGACAGGTGGATCCAAACCCTGGCAGAGCAGAGCCACCCGACCCCCTCAGTCTAGGGGTCAAGCGTTCAGGCCTGTATCTGGTTTTTCTTCTAATTTGTCACACGTCTGTATTAGACAACCAAAGCAAACCATGTCTCTGTAGCTGTATTGTTTTCAGTGAGTGGACTGCGTCAGTACGTGGTGAAATAAAACATGAAATGAAATTTGTCCTCAACATCAAGATCACAAAAAAAAAAAAAAAAACCCACACAGAAATACTCTTTGAAAAAACCAAAGCCTTACTCACCAGAGGCAAAGTACCGGTTCTTAGCTGAGGACATAAGGACCTTTAACACACGGCTCTGCGTGATAGTGTTGATTGATTTGAATGGATTTTAGGGACTTAATAGTGTGGTTGATTAATAGCAATTACTAAGCAGGAGCTTCACATTTCTGGCCTCCACGTAATTGCAATTTTAGTCACACACACTTCTCATCTAGTTCATTTATACTTGGGTTTATGACTAAATTTCTATAAAACCATCCTGAATTTCCCCTGGGGGATAAATAAAGTATCTATCTATCTATCTATCTATCTATCTATCTATCTATCTATCTATCTATCTATCTATCTATCTATCTATCCATCCATCCATCCATCCATCCATCCGTCTATCTATAAAACAAATGACATTCCATTAGTCTCAGGTGTACTAATTAGCACGTTAGCATGCTAACACACTGAACTAAGATGGTGAAACATTACACCTGTTAAACATTAGCAGCACATTAGCAAGATGATGTTAGTTAGGATTCAACTCAACATACTGTGCATGAGCGCAGCCTCACAGAGCTGCTAGTGAAGTGTTGGTAATAGTTCATCAGTGGAAATGAGATTATGAGACATTTTAACTTGGAAACCCAAAAAGCCTCGAGAGAATAAAGATAAAAAAAAACAAAAAACTGGAACACTGGAAATCCTCCAGTATCAGAGTCTTCTGTTCGCCAACTCACTTCTTCCATTAAAATTTCATATTTGCATCAGTTAATGTTGGTGGTGCAATTAATTCATCAATCATCATTACCACCCATGAATCTAAGCCCTGATTACTAAGTGTCACTTAAAGCAGGAAGCTGAGTCAGAGCAGATTTTCACAAACAGACTGTGTGAGAATAGTTGTAAGTCTGGGAGCTGCTGGAACAGAAGTCAAACTGTCACATCTCTCCAACTCACTTACCCCGGCCCACAGCATTCAGCCAGGTTGAGGATTAGATGCTGTAACATCACAAGCTTTCCCTTTAAGGCCTCTTAGCTCCAGCTCCTTTCATGTCCTATAGTGCTCTCCCCTTTTTTGGTGCTCCACCCCAAAGTGTGTTCCCTCTCTTCCCATCTGTCCTCCTCCATCCTCCTGATTCCTGCACCTCTGTTTTGTGGCTTGTCAGCGAGATGAGAGAGAATGCAGAGCAGAAAGCAAGAGCTTCTCTGTGGGGATTCGGCCTCTCAGAGTGATAAAATAGCTGTGATCTTTCTTTCTGCAGAATCCACACTCTGTTTGTGTTTCTGCTATCTACACGTACATGGCTTTTTTTTGCTTTTATTGATGGTGAACTGCCTTTTCATTTTGGATTTCATGGGGTGTGAAATGCCAGAATGACAGAATGGGACCCCATGCTCTCCTGTAGCCCTCCCGTTATTTTATCTCCCTGTCAGAGAGGGATTAGAGGTGTATTACAAATGCAAAACGAGGTTTCCAATCATGCTCTCTCTGTGGTGGCGAAGGAATCTTCAAGTAGCACAATAATGGGTTTGCAAATGAAAGGAAGTTAGATAAACTAAAGGAGGAAATTGAAATATTACAGGCGAGAGTGCGAGCAAACAGGATCATTACCACTGTGCTCATCAGCCGATTGACACGTTCCTCCTCATCCCTGCAGCGTTCAGGGTTAGTAATACTGTTTCTTGCTTCCACAGCGTGGAAGCAGTGACATTAATGGGCAGCAGCAACCCAGTAATGAGCCGTTAAAAGAGAGATTTGGAGCTTTACTGATCCGTTTCCATACCAACTGTCTTAGCTGTGGGGACTGGATCCTCTCAATATTTTTTTTTTTTTTTTTTTGGGTGGGGAGGAGGGTGGGAGTGGGCTCGGTGTAATGCGATTTGAGGAAGTACTTCTGGGTAGAACTTCAACACACACACATACACACACACACACACACACACACAATGCATATGACAATGTGTGTGTGTGTGTGACTGCTTGTTTTAAGTTAATCTTCAAAGCTCTTCCTTTCTGCAGAAATCCATCATGACAGGCGGAGAGCAGCGAGCCTGCAGTGATTTTAATTTGTTGTGAATTTTTTTTTTTTACTGACTTCTGTTCCTCTTCTCTTCCATGTTTTATTTTTTTTCCCCCTTCATTTATTGTTTTCCGTACCCTTTTGTTCTGGAAAAACGCACACAAACAGCCAAAAGATGGGAGGTATACTTGTATTGAGAGGAGCCGGCGTGTTGCCATGACAACCAAGCGTTTGCAAAAATCACCGTGATGCCAACTCTCATCCAGTATCACATATGGGCTTGCGTTCGCGGCGAAGGGGGAGAGACAAAACGCTGGCATGAGGCAAACAAACACACATGCTGTACAGTGTGTGCGCATGCATGTGTGTGTTGCACATATTACTTTTATATTGCACCAGTTCAGTTGTTTACACGCACTGAATGACATACATGGAGATGGGGGGAAAAAGAGACACAGAAATAACAAGAGAGAAAAAAAGATGATGATGATGATGATGATGATGATGATGATGAGAAATTGGATTTGGGTTAAAGATAATAAACTGTTATCACTGAAAAGCAACATCAAAGGCATTGTTGGCAGGGGAAACTATGAAGATTTAAAAAAAAAAAAGAAAAAAAAAAAGTTTAATTTTATAAGTAATCTCCGCACCCTGGGGCTCATGGGTAAAACAAAACTCTGTGAAGTAGATGAATTTAGCTAATCTCTCCCGCACAGCTTCAGGGGATCACAGAGGCACAGGAAAAGAAAATCACCCTAGTGCCTGGTTCGGTGGTGAAATTTTATGAAACAGAGAAATCTCAGACCGCAGAAACAGTACTGAGCATGAATGGTCTTAAACTCAAGAAGAAGAACCTGCTTTTAATCACGATCCAAGAGGAAAATCGGTCTGAGACGGGATGAAAGGCTTCTGCATTTTCAAATTGAAAAGAATAACTGACATTCGTCTCCTGCTCAGATGTTTTCTTTTGTGTGTGTGTGTGTGTGGATGAGAGGAGACGTGGCTGATGTTGCATCAAAACACACTGCTGATACAGCAGACAGGAGGGATGATGGATGGTGAGGGAGAGGAGGTGCTAAACTCCAGTTTCATAAAGGCAATCCACTTTACAGCTGAAATGATTACTGGCTGAATTGATTTGTCATTCATGATCCCCAAAGGATTGATCTCCTGACTTTTCAGTGCAACCCCTTTTTGATGATAAAAATATTGTGCATTATGCCTCCCCATAATCTGAGGTCTGCGTGAATCCATAGACCATAATTTGGACAGTAATCATTACACACTTTTGTTTCTTGAGGAACTACATTTAAGTCCCAAGTCTGAGCTTAAATTTGAGTAGGTTTTCACAAATATTGAAAGAAATGCATGTGAGATGTAGCCCTTTCAACACATAATGCCCAAATACCCAAGTATTTGGGCTTGTACTCACTAAATGTCTCAAACTAGTACCACTTTTCTGACAGCTCATGAACACCTATCTCACGCTTGATTCAGGAGAGCTTGAAACTTTCATATACATAATATGAACTAGTGTATGGTGATTTATTAAGAAGCACATATATGTATTAGTATTATTCTGTAAACCACCGTGCTCCAGTTGCTGTCAGGGGCCCATCCCACTTACGGCTTTGAGTCATGGTCTTTTATTTATTTATTTTCCTCATTGAAATTTTCCAAAACTGCATGTTTTATTAAAAATCAATATTATTTCCACCCACCATTTATATAATTAACTAACCCTCTTCCCAAAAATGACTAAGTAGGGCTTGCTGGGAAATCCTAATCTGACCAATGAGCTTGCTCCCTGTCATTTATGATAATTTACGTGAGTTACGTCAGTTTTTTTCCTCAACCTTTTAGCAAGAAGCTACTTCTTTAGCTAATGGGCGATTCAGTTAGTAACAAAATGTTAAGCAAGCCCAAACAACAAAGCGGCGCTCAGAAGAGGAAGAACAGAAGAGAAAAAGGAGGAGTTTACTGATGAACTGACGACATTAGATAACATTTTACTCACCATCCTTCAAGTTCGTCGAATGCTACTTTACGTGCAGCCGGAGGCTAACGTTAGCTGGATTGGCTACACTCAGTGGAGGAGCGCAGAGGCAGGGATGCGGAGTGGAGCAGTGTTGTCCATGACTGATGAGCGCGGGGCCCGGCGCATGAACTTCAAATAGGTGAGTACAGGTTTCTCTTTTTTAGGGGGCGGGATCAGAAATTTAAATCTATAGCAACGTAATTGTTGCCTCTCATAAAACGCACAGCTACTGTGATCTGTGTTTGTGATAACATGCGGCCGCTGTCATTGAGGATGAATTCTATAAGTGCAAGTGGTTGTATGATCAGGTGCTGAGTCCTCAGCCTTCAGCCACACCTTTTGGTCCACCAGGAGGGGAACTCCCCCACTGTGTGATATTAATTGTTTAAGTTTGGTTGACTGCAAATCAGTTACCAACACAGTAAGAGTCTGTGTTGGTAACAAACTAATGAGATGAAGAGGGTGGATTGGGATAATATTACCATGTGTGGCTGTGGCCATTACACTCAAGAAAGCAACATCTATCAGAGATATCAGAGGTAGTTATCAACAATTGGGTATGTTGTAACAGGTGTGCAGGAAAAGTAGAAAATGGAAAATGCCCTGGTAAACACAGGAGAAACAGTGTTGTAGATGAGCAGAAAATCAAGTCAAGAATCTTCTCCAGGATCTAGACGGACATGGCGGACAACGACTGAGAAGACTTCATGACCAAAACCTCAAGAGGATTCCCCACAAGATGCAAACTCCTGGTAAGGCTCAAAAACACAAAGGCCAGGCTGCAGTTTGTAGAAACATACAAAAAGAGTTATATGGACTGATGAAACAAAAATCTTTCATAATGCAGCGAAGGCCTAATATTATAAAATCAGATATATGATAGATTAAAATTAATAAGAATAGATACTTTAGAGAGACAATAACATTATCAATAATTACAATCAATACTTGTTGCAACCATAATCTAGTACATTTGTGTGTTTTCTGAGTGAATTTGCTGTACATGCTCCCACACTGCACCTCGTGTGACTGTATTTCTTCAGATTTGATAATTTTGAAAAAGCTGAGCTGACCACTTCTCTCGCGCAGCACAGTCCAACTGCTGAATAAAGACAACACGTCCTGGCAGCTGACTCTGTTTTTATCGTTCCTGATCTGAAATGCTTCTTCCCGTATCAGCTTCAAATACAACATTTTGAAGCAGCACGCATGCACGCACACACACACACACACACACACACACACACACAATTTTGTCAACAACTATAATCAAAATGTGTATTTTTTTGGAAAAGTTTTTGTCACCGTCAGCCAAAATCCTCGCTGTGCTGATTTTATTTCACAGCCAGTTTCTGTTTTGGATGCTTCTTCACAAAGCTGATCATGTTTTATCAGTTTTACAAATAAGAGGTGCAGCAATATAAAAAAAGCTTTTCCTCTGTAGTTTAAATCGGTGAATATGGACAGATTTCCTGCACACACATGCAGTGATATGGCCTCTTGTCGTGTCTCAAGACAAGATTTAATTCCATTGTAAATTGTGTAGCTAATTTACATAAATAATTCATATTTATTACTTTTATAACATCTGAAAACAAAATGATGAGGTATGACGTGGTATAATATTCCTGTGATACACTTATATCTAATATATATGATAATAATTTCTGAGCTGATTTCCGGGCTTCTGTTGCACTCCAGTGATTAATAAGACATTTTACAGCAGACATGCTACAGATATATACGAGATATGTTAGAAAGTGTCTCCATTTCATAGTTTGTACATCTGAGAGCTTAGTTTAGAGTTTAGTTTTCAACTTGTCTTGCAAGTCACCCCCAATCTACATGAAGTCAGGAGTCATTGGTGTTAAATTCAAAGTCCAGTTTTTCCTCATGATATCAATATTGATTTTTTGAAATGTATTTGGAGCAGACTATTTGTATTAATCCCTTCAAATGTCTTTTTCTGATGTACGCCAGGCCACAATTGAACACACAACCTTAAAAATTTCGAACCAGTTTTGTAACACCCTGAACCATTCGAGTGTTTACTTTGGTTCACTGACCCTCATAAAAAAACTGGGCCTGAAAATGTCCCTCAAATGTCACTGTTGAAATATCTGAAGGAGTAAGATGAATACTCTGGAGTTTTGAGGTCTTCAATTCGATCCTCAGGATCTGCTGTGAATTTTGATATCCAGCACCCACAGTGAAGTGACCCCACCCTGAACTCCATAGAAGACATAGAGACATAGCAGCTGGAGCTGGGGGTTGTGATGGAAACCCATTATTTAGCGTCAACATGAGGGTGGATACGTTTTTTTAACTGTATATATTGTAATGTAGAATTTTAATATTTTGTACCGGGCACACAAACATAACTGAGACACAACTGTGGAAAAGTTTTTGCATTGCAGGGCTCCTGTACAACACTTAATTTCCCATTCATTCACATACAGTATATAGCTCCATCTCCCATTTAATCATGTTTGACCCTTTATTGCACCTCTCTTTAGTGTGTTCAGTCTTTGAAGTGAAATGTGTATGTGTGTGTGTCAGTGTGTGCAAGTGTGCGGGGGGGGGGGGGGGGGTTTAGAGAGGAGCTGCTTTGTTCAGCATGCAGGTTTTTGTTGCATGATGCCTCAAACACTATTTAACTCGGGATCTGTGTGTGTGTGTGTGTGTGTGTGTGTGTGTGTGTGTGTGTGTGTTTTCCATCCCGTTCATTGTGCCCCACCCTGTCTTCTGTGCGTAAAACCTCCCACGTACATCATCACACACCACGTTTCTTCCAGCAGCGGGACGCGCGGAGGATAACCGCTCACCTCACGGACAGTTGGGGAACAGAGATGGGAGTGGAGCGACGGCTTCTCTGGCTATGACACGGACACACCGGGCGGGAAGGATGGCTCTAACCAGCCGGGAGATGTTGTGCTTGATCGGAACCTGCCTCTGGCTGCCGCTTTTGGCTGAGGTACGTACTGTAGCCTGTTTTATGATGATGAGGATGATGGGGTTGATTTTGCAATTTGGCCTGATTTTTTTTTTTTTTTCTGCTTTTCTCTTTTCTGGACAGTCACGCTGCTGCATTTGACCAAAAACCTTTATTCGATCGATAATTTACTGATAATTAGATTGACAAGCCTGTACCAGAATTCAGGGCAATGCAACCAAGCTTTGAGGACCGGCTCATATACAGTAGGCTATGTTTTCACGCTTTACAATAAATCCACAGCCAAAGTCTGTCATTCGGCGTAGCTGAAAACACATTTAATGGATATGTTGCTGTATTGTAAATGCACAGTATTTTAAACCCCCGCACGAGCAACTCTGCAGTCATGCAACCCTCTTAAATTGTCTTGCGGCGCGAGCCCTTTATCCAGGATGCATTTCCAACAAAGCAGGTGCAGGTCGGCGCAATGAAACGGCATCAAACAGCTCCAGCCGGAATCATTATTCAGTCATTATCCACTTTAAAGCGGACACTGTACACTCTCATACGGACGTTCACACACACACACACACACACACACACACACACATTCATGCATGGTATCAATCACACCCCCCCACCCCATCTTTCCCCCTCGGCGGGATATCATGAGAGGAACCCATCGGAGGCTCCTCTGCCCCCGCGGTGTTGTGGGAATGAACCCTGCACGGGCTGTTGGAGCTTGTCACAGCAATTCAGTCAACTCAGACATGTTGAGAGTGAAAACTGGTGAAGCAGGTGTTGTTGTCAGGTGTGAGTCAGAACATGCCGAGTCTCAGCTGGAGGTCAGGTTCAGTAATTTATAAGACAAAATTGGTTAATGGTTCTTATTTCTTATGCTGACTCTGAATGTTGGATTTGCAACGAGCTGAGTATCAATTAATGATACAACAATCAATTAATCAGTTTACTCATTAATTTTCGTTTTTTCTCTCTTCTCCTTTACTACTCTGTGTGTTGTGTTAATGTACAGCATATATATGAGCCATGTAGCCTGTGTAGTCATTAGTGGAGAACAGTGATATACAGGATTTAATTAGACCCACTAACACTGGGAGCAGCCTCCATGTAGCACAAATAGCACAAGGTAGATTAGTTTCAGCTTTTTTTCTTTTTCATTTCAACTTCATTAGACAAATCCTTTCTCTGGGAGGATCCTGAACGCAGCAGCACTTTTGTCGGCATCATCAGAACAAAATGTCGAAGATGTAGGCCTGCACAGGTAAACAGGAAGGAACCAGACTCCGTAACCTATAAAATAGGCTATGCTTTACCCTGCATCACATCCAATATTACTTAGTTTTCTGAGATTAAGTTTAAGTGTCCTGAGTGGAGCCATGGCAAGGCTCAAACATGTTAATTTGTAGCCATATTCTGATTGGTTGGTTGGTTTGTAGTTGTATTCTGTTGGGTTGAATCTTAGCCATATTCAAATTGGTTGGTTTGTAGCTGTTTTCTGATTGGTTGATTTGCAGCACTATTCTGTTTGGTTGATTTGCAGCACTATTCTGTTTGGTTGATTTGTAGCTCCATTTATCTACTTAGTGGTGCAAGTGGTCACCATGTCACCAAGCTTTCAGCACCACTTGTTTCTCAAGGACATATGAATGAAATTGTGTAATGATGGACAGCTGGAAACATCAACTAAAAGCACTTGTCACAAATTGTGCTGCTACACAGAAAGAAACATTGTCATTTCCCAAAACATAACCAGCGACAACCAGTCAGGATAACACAATTTTTATTATTTAGGACTAAAAGCTCAGTTTGAAAACATCACCTTGGAGAATCTTCCATCCTACAGTAATGTCTTTTCACCAAGAGCAGAAATGGACTCTTCTTTTTATTCCTTCCCATCTCTCTGTACACAACCTTCCCCATGGTGTCTGTGTGTGTCTGTAGCTGTGTTTGCAGTGGATGCAGGTGTTAGCGCATCATAACTGATTAGCGCTGTAATCGAGCTGTGTGATTGATATGAATGGAGATATCAGCCCCCATGTTCACTACCTGCATTAATATCATTAGGATGAGCAGTGCCTTCTGGGAGGTGTTTGTATGTTGGTTTCGTGTGTGTGTGTGTGTGTGTGTGTGTGTGTGTGTGTGTGTGTGTGTGTGTGTTGGAGAGAAACAACCAGAGAACAGAACTCACCCGTGTCAAGGTGAAATGTGTTGTATTTCACTGCCCTCACTACAGTTATTCCACAGTGGTGGCTGAGGGTGTGTGTGTGTGTGTGTGTGTGTGTGTGTGTGTGTGTGTGTGTGTGTGTGTGTGTGCGTGCGTGCGTGCATGTGTGTGTGTGAGAGAGAGAGATAGCGGGAGAGAGTACATGGGTGTGTGTATTATATACTCGTGTGTGTCCTCTTCTGTCAGGTGCCCTGCTGTGTAGAGGTGTGACCTGATTTCTGAAACTGAAACTAACACTCCTCTGTCAGATATCATCTGATGCTGTCAAGTGCTATTGGTGTGTCTGTGTGTGACGTGTGTGTGTGTTTACACTGTACACTATGTACCTGGGTACTTTATACTTGTAATATTTCTTTCCTTCAGTTGGTGATCCCTGCAATCAGTGAATATTACAGTTGTACCTCTTGATCGCTCTGACTTTTCTTTGTTCTCTGGTTTCTGGCTTTGACCCAAGTGACTGTATTTCCTATTCAAAAATATGTAGAAACCACTCAGAGAGAGCACCCCTTTAACAAAGCTGCACAGTATTTTAATAGACAATGCTCGCGCCCGCACATGCATAACCTAAATAAATATTTGGGCTTTGTGCAAAGATGAGTCAGATTCATCTTTTACATGTCCATTTAAAATACCTCCCTCTGTGCTGAGAGCCTTCAGATTTGTCAGATCACTCTGAGTTAGTATGTGCTTGTGTTATTCCACATTTGGTTGCACGTACACATTGCCTTCATGGAGACAAACAACAGCAATAGTATTTTTTTCAAAAACTCTGTTTATCTGATAGAGAGCTCTTACAGCTGTACGAACACTGACCGTTGACTCCTGACAGGAGCAAAAGCAAAAGTAGTGGGAAATTGTTATAATACTGCAAAACCTTCTTAGAGATGTAAACTTCCTTTCACCTTTTAACACTGGCTATAGAGAGGTTTCAATACCATTTTTTAATTCCCAATAACAATTCAGATTCCCGAACTTGTGCATTGGCCAATACCAATGCTGGTCTGATACCACTGGTGGGACTTTTCAGTGTAATGTATTGACAAATTGCTGACATTTTGCTAATGGCTAATGTTACACAATTAACCAAAAATAAAATCTTTGTACCTCCAAAACTGCAGCTTACACAGGAAGTTGTGCCATGCAAACACTGGCATCTACTGTTCTAGAGCTAAACAAGAGATAAACTGAAGTTTTATCTGGGTAAGAAACTAATAAATGACATGGTATCGGATGGCTGCATAGACGTCCGTACTCGCAGATATCCGATACCGTATAAGAGGCATTTCCTATACTAGCTACAATTTTAAATGGATAAAATATTTTTGCCCATCAATCTGTACTCAATAACCCACAATGCCAAATCAAAAATATGTTTTTAGGAATTTTTGCAAATCAAATGATCAAAAATCAAAAACTGAAGTATCTCATTTACAAAAGTAGCCATTCCACCATTTTCTTGGCTGCATGCTTGAGGTCAAAAGGTGAACCAATGAACCGAAACCTTTCTGTATTTGGCCGCGTTCATCATTCCCTCCGTTATGTCCAGTCGACATGTCCCTGCAACCGAGGAGCATTCCCATAGCATGATGCTGCCACCACCATTCTTTATGAGCAGTGCTTGGTCTTCACCAGACGTAATGTTTGGAGTTCTGCCCAGAGAGCTCAGTTTTTGTCTCATCAGACCAGAGAATCATTTTCCTCATGCTCTCAGATCCCTTTAAAGGCCGTTTGGTGAGCTCCAAGCACGCCAGCATAAGCCTTTTAGTAAGTCTAGTCACTCACCACAAAGGCCTGGTTGATGGGAGTGCTGCTGAGATGATTCATCCTTCCAGCAGGTTCTCCGTCTCTGCAGAGGACTTCTGGAGCTCTATTAATATGAGCTTTTGAGTTCTTGGTCACCTTCCTGGACCAAGGCTCTTCTTGCCAGCTAAGTCAGTTTAATACATTTAAAAAAAAAAAAAAAAAAAAAAATCTAAGAACATGTGTTCACTTTGTCAAATATGGCATTTTTATTCATTTAAAAAATAAATGTGCAAAACGTGAAAGGGACTGAATACTTTCTGAAGCCACTGTAATGTCACATTGATGTTACGTAGGATGGATTGTAGAGATGAACACTGCAGCCGTATGAACGGTGATATTGTACTGAAGAACAGTGGTTCGACCTCTTGGCTGAGGAACCAAACCGAATTAACCGAAATGCCTCGAATCAGTAAAGTGATTAGTCATTTCCACCTCTAACAAATGGCTTAATGTTGGTGCTTTCTGCATCAATAACTGATTATTTTTTCGTGGGCCTTGGTCTATATATCCACTAAAATATCAGTGAAATCTGCTGAGACGTTCTAACTAATTAACAGACAAATAGACCAGAAAACAAAACCTCCTTGGCAGTACAAATAATCTCTTAATATCTTAATATTGGTTATTTCATGCAACATATCTAACTCTGTGCATCTTTCTCTTCCCGTCTGCAGGTGGTGGCTGAGGACAGTTACTTAAACGAGGTGCAGAACTCAGGTAGGTGGGAGGTGATACTCTGAACACAGCACTCTCATCCCTTTCTCCATCTGTCCTCTCCTCCTACACCATCTCTTCCCTCCAGTTTAACCCTCATTCTGACTCACATACACATGAAACCCCTTCTGCTGCCGCCCTGCTCCCACACTCAGCTTTACCTCTCCTCTTCCTTCCGGCCTGCACCCCCTCTGCTTTTCATTTTCCACTTCTTTCTTTCTTTCTTCACATCCCTGAGAGGAGTGAAGGCCACGATGATGATATTGGTGGTGGGGGGTGGGGTGAGGAGCTCCTCCTTCTCGGGCTCATTACCAGTGCTGAAATATCTGTGCTTTTGAAGCTACGTACGCACTGACAGACAAGTTAAAATTATGTGCTGTTACAAACACACCTCTCGTCTATCAGCAAAACCGCTTCTATTATCATCTCAAGACACTTTTTAAATGGTTGCCCACATGGATGTCATGGATGTATTTTCAACTCAGCAAACGTTGCACAGATATTGTGCGTTTCCTCCTTTGCTGCATAAAATTGTATCAAAATCAGGTTAAATGGTGGAAAACAGAATTTCCCCATTTTCCATATGTGTAACGATGTGTGTGTTTTGTGTAGTAGATGCCGCTGCCACCCCCACACCCCCACCCCCCCCTCCAATACAGCAAACCTCCGAGTGTGAACCGTGTCAAATACCCATTGTGGCTGGGAAATGGATTATGGGAGCAGGGAGACTGAGCGTTCCCATGGCGATGGGCAGGGTACCGTTGTCGTGGCGATGAGGAGGGTGTTAGCAGCAGTGAGTGTTTTGTGTGTGTGTGTGTGTGTGTGTGTGTGTGTGTGTGTGTGTCTGAGCGCTGCGGGTGTTGAGATGAATTAAAGAGCTTGAATGAGATACACAGGATGGAGATGTGGGAGCAAGAAGTGAATTTTAAAGGAAGAGGAAGAAAGGGGAAAATTTAATGATGAATTTCAGACATGTGGAGTTGAAATTCAACTAAAAACCAAAAATGAAATGTTTGTTAAGATGTCCATCTTTCACCAATGACGGAAATGAGGGTTAAGACAGAAATACACTGAAAATGTTGCCTGCTTTAGTTACGTAATACTTTTTTACTTATTTAAAATTTCATCAAGCTGACATAAAAGTTTTATTACAATTACAGAGCATATACAGCTTAAAACATAATTTAATTTAGCTAATCATTACCAACACCAACTGCAGTTACAGCAAGAAGAACATAATGTCATCAAAAAAACAAAATGAACACAAGAACATGGCATGATTTAAATAACATGGATATATTAGTGTAGTGTATGAATTAGGAAAACAACATCGACAAACAGACTGGTAGATATTTGCCTCAATATTACCTCACATTGAACATACCTGCATAGGTATAAATATTGTTTTTTTTATATGATATCCTAGATATGAATGTCTGTGGCTGTAAAGAAAGCTCGAGGGCTCATAGATGCAGGTTTTATTTCATACTTCCTTCATTGTTGTTCCTTCACTACTCATCTGAACTGACTCAGCTCATATAGAAATATATGAGTGGGTTTTATTCATGGTGAATTAACTTTCAGTGTTAATTATTTATTTTCCCACATTTCCCCCACACTTTTCTCAGCAGACATGTTCACTTTTCATGGCAGTAAAAGTCACGGTGAAGATAATAATGAAATTAACCACAACTCTTATGTAGTCAAGTGTCCCAGTAAACCGTGACAGTGTGACAGGGAGGCAGCATTAACAAAACCATCTCCCTGACACTGAAGCATCTAAATGGAACTGAGCCATACTTCATTTTATTACTCACGCCTGTGTTTTTCTAAAAAATGTCTTCGATGAAAAACCCTCGACCTTCATAGACTTAAACTGACTTCACCTGTGTCATCACGATAAGTGCTGAGTGAGTGCCAGAGCTCCAAACACTGTCTGAGGACATTGTAAAAAAAAAAACACATTATTCTGTAAAAAAGCTTTTCTGTGGCCAGTAAAGTTTGAGGCTTGTATTTCATATTTAGTACGTAAATGAATTGTTTCTGTTGTTTGCTCCCTGTATATAATAAAGCAATATTGTTTGATCAAATCAACATCTTGAAGTCAACATCCTGCCATCATAAGACAACAGTAGCTGGTTAGCTGAAACAACCAGTTAACCAATCAAAATAAATTAACAATATTTACATATAATAAGTAATAATAGTTTGTAACGATTGATTAATTGCGTCACCTTTTTAAGCATCTAGGGGTTCCAGGAATCCAACATGAATTAAATAAAACGCAGGCACCTACAAGAACACATTTTTTTCACAAAGTATTATTATAGAAAAGCTTAAGGTTGTGAGAAATATTGTTTCACTGTATATACACACATACAGCAGAAAAATATAGGATCTAAGCCGCACAAATGGCTGCTGAAGATGGTTCTTCTCCATCAATGCTTTACATATTTTATAATTATGAAAAACTGCCTCATCAAAAAGTCTTCATTTAATTTAAGGTGCTTTTGAAATCAATCTCATCAGCTGCATTTTAGTAATTAACCCACAAACCACTGCGTCTCTGAAGCCTCCGTTCACTCTATATGACTGACTGGAACAATAACCATTGGATCCAAGTTTGAACCATATTCATTATCACAAGGATTTAAATAAGGGTAAAGCTCCTCGGTGAAGACAAAGTCAGTAAATGAGAAAATAAGTGTGGCGGTATGTACATCGTAGAACGATATCACACCTCCGTTATAATCCACAAACACTCCGACCCTCTCCACTTTCCCAAAGTATATGAACACACCTGGAGAACTGAAGGTTTCAAACTTGTCCTCCAGAAACCAGATGGCCCAGAGTCGAGAGGAAGGACTCCGAACAAGCGCCCCCCTCCTCTGGACCGAAGCCATGGCCACGCCCACACACCATTCAGTCTTTTGACCCACAAACACCTCAAAGTAAAACTTGCGTGACGAGAAGCCTCTCTGTCCCAGCACTGCGAGGTGTTCAGTGAACATGTTTGGGTTCAGGTTCTGGAGTCCCCACAAACCTGAGCCCATGCTGTATCTCACCTGCTTCCTGTCATCAGATATAATGAGCAGAGGGTGAGCTGTATCAGGATCCAGCAAAATGTTCACCTCATACTGGCGAACGTACCTCAGCGTGGCGTCTTCAGATGCAGAGAATGAATTTATTTCTGTGTTCATGTTGTTCAGTAACATTCGCAGCTGAGACACAGAGCTGACCAAACATTTCTGTATGTGCTGTATCTCCACGTGTCTGTCAAAGCTGAATGAGGACAAGTCCATGATGGGTGGTAGGTGGGATGCATTTGGGAAGTTCTGGAGGAAACGGAGCTGGTCTTCAGTCTGTTTGAGCTCCCTCAGTTTCACCGCTGTCCTCTGAAGCTCAGTGAGCTCCTGCTCCACACTGCTAATAAAACCATCCGCTCGTTCTTCTGCAGCTTTTTGCTTCTTCTCCATCACTTCTACGAGCTCCGTCTGGCTCTTCTGAATCTCAGACACCAGTGCTGTTAAGTCCTGCACGCTATAAGCTATAACATCCTTGGTTTCTCTCTTGCTTTGTTTTACTGACTCCGTCATGGCTTGCACCTTCTGTTGCCTTTCCTGGATCATCTGCTGCACTTTTGCCTCTGTGTCTCCCAGCAGATCTTTCATCTCTTTGTATGCTCGAGGCACAGGAACAACATCATGGTTCACGTGCTGCGAACTGGCGCAGACGTCACACAGCAAAACTTTGTCCTTTCTGCAAAACAACACATGGAGGTGGTTGTGCTCCCTGCAGAGCCTGTCCTCCAGGTCCTCCAGAGGATCGACCAGTTTGTGTCTCTTCAGTCCGGCAGCTCTGTGATGAGGCTCTAGATGAACGTTGCAGTAAGAAGTCAGACACTCCACGCAGGATTTGACGGCCTCTTGCTGAATGTCAGTACAGATATCACACAGCACTGCACCGCCAGTGTTAGCCTTCAGTTGGTCTGGGCTCCAGATGTGAGCATCTGTCACCTGAAGCAACATGAACTGTGATGCAAGCTCTGAAATGAAAGTGTTGACCTTGAGATTGGGTCTCCGCTCAAACTTTTCCTTACAAACCGGGCACTGGCAGATTGGTTCGTTGTCCCAGTACGATGTGAGACAGGATATACAGAAGTTGTGTCCACATGGAGTGGAAACTGGTCGAGTGAACATGTCCAGGCAGATTGGACAGAGAAACTGCTCCTCAGATAAAAGAGTGACGTTGGAGGCCATTTCTAAAACAAACAAACAAACAAACAAAACAAACAAACATCACTTAATTAATTGGTCGATCAACACCAAAACCACATCTACTGGTGTGCGTTCTTGTATGAGGTACAAACAAAAGAGGGATCCATTCATCAAAATAAATTACTCCTAAGCACTGCTGGCACCTTTTAAAGTCATGTTAAAATGGAAGTTAGAGCATCTTGACTTCAGTAATGATGTATTTATGAGTGAAACAGAATACCTGGGCTTGGTATTTAGAGCGATGTTAATTAGATAGTTAACATGTGATTGGTTCATATAAAATGATATGTAGCTGCAGAAGACTGCCTCCCACACCTCCCTTCGTAACATATATTAACCACATTCTTTGGAAATGTAAAAAAGTTTCTGCCAGCTGAAATCTAAACACACACCTCCTACCATGATGTTGCTCTGCTAACTACTATGACGAACTGTAATGTGCATCTGTATAAGATAGTTAGGGTAGGTTAGTTGTTTCAAATCAAATTTGACTGGATAAATTCATGTATATGTATATATACAAATGGATAACTGAACAACTGAGACAAAAACACAGGTTTAATTAGAATGTGGAGGATGTATTTTTCATTTCATTGATGTGAAAGCTCCAGAAAATGTAATAAATGGACTTTGTTGTGAGCTGTTTCCAAGGTCAAGTTTGAAATTTGAATCTCAACGTTTCAGCCAACTTGAACAGAAGTCTGTAAAGTGCATTTAGACAGTTTGAACATCTGCAGTTACATAACAACTGATCAAACTGTTGGCGTCTGGTGACGATCATGTGATACGAAAGCTCACTAAATGGAGCTTCTGGTCAGATTATTTTGTGAACTAGACAGCACATTCAAAACTGTGCTTGACTCAGCAGCAGCGGCATTTCACAACAAACAGGCTGAAATTAGCAGAGAGTGGGATGAAACTACAATTTACACGTTACAATGAACATTTGACATACAAATGACTACTTACATGTGGTGGCGTAGGTTTGTAAAGCTGAAAGAAAAACAAGAGAGCGCTCAGCCGTTTTCTAAAGAAAGGACTTTACTTTCAGTTTCTTCCTGTGTCATGTTTCTTAAAGGGACAGACACCCTTTTTGTCGCTGTAGCCAGAAGCTTTTTTCTTTTAGGTTTGGATACTAGTGAGGGTTGTTTTTGGGTCCAATGCTTGAGTGTGTAGTGTATTATTTATTGTTTGAGGATAGATCTGTTTTAGTTCAGTACATTTCTGCCTGATTGATTTCCTCTTTCTCAGATTCTCCAGTGCTTTCACTTCTTCCCCCTGCTGCTCTGTCTCTTATCTCCCTCCAAATTGCACTCAGAATGTGTGTGTGCGTGTGTGTGTGTGCGTGTGTGTGTGTGTGTGTGTGTGTGTTTCTGCATCTGCCTGCACTGTAGTGTTGTAGTGCTTCTTTCTTGGTTGCTATGCAGCAAAGTCTGTGAGTGTGTGTTTGTGTGTTAGTGTGCGAGTTGGGCATAAGTGTTGCACTGTGTAGATAATGCTCCAGGACGGCCAAGCTGTGTGTGTCGAAGAGATAAGACTGTTGCTGGTTATTGAAGCACCTCCACCATTAATCATAGTTTAGTCGCTGCTTGGTCTCAAAAACCCTTAAAGCTTCAGTGTGGAAAGTCCTGAAATTCTTAAGACAAAGTATAAAACACAACACGGCAGCAATACTCCATTTGGGGATTTCCATGTTTTCGGATTGATGGTTGCCTGAAAGGTGAGGGGTGGTGACAACTCTGCTGCCATTATGAATGATGAAATAACATTAATTTATAATTTATTTAATAAAGTCCTGTTGATTTATTCAATACTGAGCACTCTGGGGCTCCATACAGAGTAACTCTGAAGCTGTCAGATGAATATAAAAAAAAAAAATTTCCCTCTGAAATATATGCTAGTGGAGGAAAGTTGTAAAGTCTCCCAAGTGGATTTATTATATTTTCTATATGTCACTATAATATCAGAAAAACTATTTCACATGTGAAAAGCCACATACAGGCATGTGCAGCTGTGTGATATGTAACATGTGAAAATGTGATTTTAAGCATTTTAAGTGTGATCAATTTACATATTGGTACATTTAGACTTTTCACATGACACAAGCATGTGTGCTTTAAGGACAATTCACATGTGAATTAAATGTGAACATGTAGCTTTCAAGACACTAAACAACAGTCCACAGCCAGGCCAGCGGCTCTGTGAGGCTGTGCTTGGGCTCAGTGGTGCTTTGAGCTCAAAGCTAACATCAGCAAACAAGGACACAGAGGTACTTTATCTTATCTTCCACGCTCAGTCTATACCTCTTATATAAACAAACTACTCATAGGTCACTTTAATATATCACTTCTTCACTCTTTTACAGTTACTTTACACCTCTGAGCGTGTTACTCTTTCTGGTGATGTTATGTGTGCCGCTCTGTTCCTTATGCTCTGCAGTGTGATCCCTGTTCATTAATGTGTGATCTAAGTTTTCTACAGGCTACAGTGCGTAAGCTATTCTGCTTTGTGGCCTAATTTTGCAACACTTTGATGTCAGCAGTTTCCCTCTCAGTCTGCCTAAGCTTCACTCACACATTCCTCCTTCTCAGAGAAGATTACTGCGAGTATCTGGTCACCTCCAGGTTAAATAAGGCCGATTTTAAGGTTATGGGAATTTCTCCAGTTCAACATGGCTCAGCGTGGGTGAGTGCATTAGGCAGGATCCTACTGTGGCAGTGGACAGCATATGAAAATCATCCATGTAAGCTTTTATGTTCAGATAAAATATAGACACGGGGTTAATGTGATTTCAATAAGAGCAATTCCACTCCTCCTTCTGCTATCAGACTTTCCTCATTTCACTTCCTTTCATCCACATTGTCCTCTCTGACCCAAATCCTTCTCCTCCTCCTCCTTTCATACAAAACATCTTATTCTCGCATCCTCCTTAACATTTCCTTACACGCCCCCCTCCCTCTCTCCTTCTGTCTCTGTGCAGTGCCTCTGTCCTGCTCTGAGGGATTCACAGAGTTGGGATACTACAACGGCACCGTGTCCCAGACGGACTCTGGCGCCCCCTGTCTGAAGTGGACCGACTTTCCAGACTATGTCATGCAGTACCCGGGCCGAGGGCTGGGCGACCACAGCTACTGCAGGAACCCGGACCGAGAGTCCAACCCCTGGTGTTTCTTCAGACAAAACTCTGGAGCCATTGGCTGGGCCTACTGCGACTGCCACCAGGGTGCGACCACAGATGGTCAGTATATGACTGATCTAGGACCATTTGTAAAAATCGTAAACTTTATATTTATAGAGTTATAAAGCGTTATGAAGGTTTAGAATAAAACACACGAGGAGGAACAGGAGACATTATTAGAGCTAGAAAATAGAGCTAAAAGAGAAGAGAAGAGTGAATATTGCTCTTAAATCAATGTAAGCATCAAAAGGACACAACAATGTTTTTTTTTTTTTTACAATTTGTTACAGCCTCTAAAAAGAATATCGTAGAAACACGAGCATAGCATTTGAGATTGTATGTTTGTGTGACTGTTGTGTACATGGCGAGGCAGTTTTCTACACTGTGACCATTACCGCTGTATATTCGTGTTTCCTGAGCATTAAACCTCCTCATCTCTCTTTGTTTTTTTTAGGTGCTGCTCGTCTCGTTGGCAGCTCGTCCTCCGGCAGCGGGCGGGTTGAGGTCTACCTGAATGGCCAGTGGGGGGCAGTGTGTGACCCCCACTGGACAGACAGAGACGCCAGTGTGATCTGCAGGCAGCTGGGCCTGGGGTAGGAGGAGACAAAACACAAGTTTGATCTGTAGTGGAGGAAGTACTTGGATGCTTTTAAGTAAAAGTACTAATACCACACTGTAAAAATACTCCCTTACAAATAAAATACATGCATTGAAAATATTTTCATTAGATTATTATTACTTTAATGCGTAAGCAGCATTTTACTCCTTTACCTGCTCAAGGCAGAGCTATTTCTCTACTATTTTACATAGGGCTGCAACTAATGTTTATTTTTATTATTGATTAATCTACTGATAAGCTTCATAATTCATCAATTCTTTATTTGGTTTGTAAAAATTCAGAAAACAGTGATAATAAATGTCTGTCACAAATTATCCAGAATCCACAGTCACACCTTCACAAAGTTTTTCCAACCAATAGTTCAATCCTCAAAATTATTAACAACAAACTGAAGCAGTAAATTCTCTCATTTGCTGAAATGTTTGATGTTTTAGGATGAAAAATTACTTAAATGATTACTAAAAAATAGTTGACAATTCATTTTCTGTTGATCAACTGATTATTGATGATTTTCTGTTCTGACAGGGACATTGGCACGGCGTTGCAGCACTCGCAGTTCGGCTCGGGCTCCGGCCTCTTTCACTACGAGCGTCTGGGTTGCCGCGGTGATGAGAACACCCTAAGTAAGTGCCGGAGCAGGACGTTCGTCACCGGCGACTGTAGCCATGGAAACGAGGCCGCAGTGGTGTGTGCACCGCCAGAAGGTCAGTATGACTTCTACAGCGTCATGGCAACCAGACCTGAATATTTCCCCGCACACACCTGAGAGAGACAGAAACACTTTTATTATTATACTTGTTGTTCTTAAATTGTTTGTTTGCCTGTTATAGAAACTATAGTAATACTTTATGCATCCGTAATTTTGCAGTAATTTACTTAATGTCATGCTGATAAAGGAAATTTAATTTGAAATAAAAACAAATTTGAGGGAGACAGACCATCTGAGGCACACAGGAGGATGCTGCTGGATTTCAGGTGTGTTTCTACATCCCCTCTGCTTTGTAGGCAGCGGCCCTCCGCTGCGTTTGGTCGGAGGCGAGGAAGACTTTGAAGGTCGAGTGGAGGTGTTTCACGCTGGAAGGTGGGGCTCTGTCTGCGATGACCAGTGGGACGACAGAGACGCCGAAGTGGTGTGCAGACAGCTTGGTTTTGGGTATGCTGAGGTTTTTCACACCTTCACACTACACCAAGTTAACATATGTGATGACATTCTGTCCCCGTGTCCTCCATACTGGCACTTAACTACAGGGTTAACATGTTAACTCAAACACTATTAATCTAAATACGGCAAAGTTACCAGGACGATGTAGGATGTCTTCTTCTTTCCTGTTCTTCTGCTTAGGGATAGTGAAGATTACTAAGTCAGCTGGTGCAGACTTGCTGTCGGAGGGTTTTAATTTCCGCTTTCTGGTTTGGGATGACCCTCAGGGTGTGTGTTAACGCAGACTAAGTGAAAAGGACATGAGGAGGAAGCTACTTTGGGTCATTTTGAATAATATAAATGGGACATGGGAAATTAGATAAACAGGAGCTGACACTCTCTTTAAAAGCCCAATAACAAAGTTATAACAGTTATTTTGTTTCTGAATCTCTTGAGTGAGTAAACCATTAGTGAGCTGGAACGTTTGACTTTGAGGTGGAGCACACGGGTGTCGTTTGGTTGATTTGGTAAAAAAACAAAAAAAAATCTCAGAGAAAACACCGTCTGAATCTGTGCAGACGCACAGAGTGTGCACTCCTGCAGAGAAGGTTTAACATCCCACACGACTCTGAGTGATGAAGTTGTAGCTGTGAAGAGAGAGGAATCCTTCCATGTTCAACACGAGGTTGTATTTCATCTCCTCAAACAGCGGGGGGACACCTCGCCATCTGCGTCTGTGCCTCTAAATAATAGATGTCTTGATGCTGATGCACGGGTTCTCACACAGCTGCACACAGGCACCGAGGTGTTTTGACACTTGAAGACAAAATGAACCAAAAATGATTTGTTTTTCCCACCGGGAAAGTTTTTTTTTTCCTGCAACAGATATGTGTGTCAAACATTTAAACACTTATCATGTTCTCAACAATCAAAACAACCCCCCTTCCCACAGGGCATGTGAAATAAATTCTCCAACAAATACGATTTTTAACATCAACCATCCATCTGCTCACAGATTTCTATGTTACATGAGTGACAACACAGATGACAAAATAGTCTTTTCATCTCTCCTCTGTTGATTTCTGAGGCCATTTCCTACTTTAAAAGCCACATTTGAATAATTATAATAATAATAATGAAGAAAATGAAGGTGTTGAGGGAGTTCAGCATCCAGTAGTCCAGAGCCATTCATTATATTCTATTCTTCACTGTGCTTTTAACAAACCTTCTGCATATTATTTTCAGCCTAAACATGAACGTCACCTGCACACACACAGGATCAGGAATACATGGAAACACACAAACACAACAAATGTTGCATTTTGGTATCAATAAATCATCACCACATGAATGCAACAGCATCTTTGTAAGAGCTATTTATTATTTATTTGGATGAATTGGATTTTTTTTAGACATATGCTTTATTTAGAAAGTATTTTATGTTGCTATTTTTTGTTTTGTTTTGTTTTGTAAGAACTGGACGGCACTATATTTATCTCAGGTTTATATTGAGTAGGTGTAGAACTCATATGCACCTGGGAAGGTCGACAGTTTTGAGCTAGGCTAGTGGCTCCACAGACTTCGGTGACTCCCTGACTTTTCTAGCGCGACTATGACGTTGACATTTGTTGTTTTTAGTGAAATATCTTGACAACTATTGGATGGATTGACATGATTTTTTTTTTTTTACAGATATTCATGCATAGCACCTTTATCGGGTCAAAAATTCACTTTGATAAGTTGATACTTCACCAAATACCCACAAAACAAATGTTTCTCCCATCAGCCTCACCTGCATTTAGCTAATTAGCAAATGTTAGCAAATATTTTGAGTTATGGAAGCAAACCACTCTTTAAATATCAGTTAGTTTTTTAGGATACTGTTGAGAATGGCAGCTGAAGTCACTTGTGAGCCAATGTGTAAGAGCGTTACCATCATACCTAACCCTGTTTTCTAGTCAGACGATCCCTATCAATATCTATAAAATCAGTATCAGAAAGTCAAGTCAGGTAGACTCAAGTGGCTTTACAATCTATAACATACAACACCCTCTGTCCTTGACAAGTGTCTACACTTCAGATATTCCAATAGGATTACCAGCTGATTCCCATTTTACAGTGTCGCTGTTAAAAAAAAAAAAGTAGGTTTACACACAATGTGTGTGTGTGTGTGTGTCTGTTTGTGTATGTGTGTGTGTGTGTGTGTGTGTGTGTGTGTGTGTGTGTGTGTGTGTGTTTGTGTGTGTGTGTGTGTCTGTCTGTGTGTGTGTGTCTGTGTCTGTCTGTCTGTCTGTCTGTGTGTGTGTCTGTCTGTCTGTGTGTGTGTGTGTGTCTGTGTGTCTGTGTGTGTGTCTGTGTGTGTGTGTGTGTCTGTGTGTCTGTGTGTGTGTGTTGCAGGGGTGTGGCGAAGGCCTGGTCCTGGGCTCACTTCGGTCAGGGTTCAGGCCCGATCCTGCTGGATGCTGTGAAGTGCACAGGAAACGAGCTCTTCCTGGATCAGTGTCCCCATGGTGACTGGGAGCAGCACAACTGTGACCACATGGAAGATGCTGGAGTCTCCTGCAGCCCTTATACAGGTACGTGTACTGTACACGCACACACACAGGCTACTGTACACAGCGGTAGGCTTATAAAGCTGCTATTTATAGCGCCTGAACATCAATAAATCATTACCACATGAAGCAGCAACATCCTCTGTGTGACAAGTGGAAACAGGACTAATGGCAGCAAAGAAGAAACATATCTACTGGCATGAAACAGCAGCTACAACTTAACTAAATAATCTAAGATTAATAATTAATCTGGAAAAGAAATATTAGGGTTAATGTTAATGGCAAATGAAGCATGTCGTAAAATGTAATCTTGCCTCGTGGTTGCACTTTCAAGTCAAGTGTATCTACCTTTAATCACATTTACGGTCCCGGAGGACTTAATAATGACTCCCCACTATGAAATGTTTCAGATGGCGTGGTGCGTCTGGTGGGAGGAGACAGTCCCTGGGAGGGTCGAGTCGAGGTTTTCCACAATGGTGACTGGGGAACGGTGTGTGACGACCACTGGAGCCAGCAGCATGCAGAGGTGGTCTGCAGACAGCTGGGCTACAGGTATGAATACGTAACCAGCAAACCAATCAAAATAAGAAGTAGTAGTTTCCTGACTCCTGGTCAGTGTTAACAAAACTCAACACTTCCTGATGTTTTTTCACATTAAAAGCCTACCTATAAAAGACGGTGGTTGGAGGACGTGTTGGGTTTCATTCAAGGTATATTAATGTTGTTTTGGGGTAAAATGTGGCATGACTCTTTTTGTGCTGATGTAATTAGTGCTGTGGTATTATACTGAATTTATCAAGACAAAAGGTAAACATGGGGGAAGTTTTGTGTTTGGATTAACTGGGGAACAGGGGGAAATTAGAAATAAAGGCCTATCACATCTTGTTAAAACACAACCACACAGGCAGATTAGCTGAGCCGCTGAGTGTTAAACTCTGAGTAAATATACTTAAAGATTAACTTGACAACCCTGGAACATTTTGTCTTTACTGACCTGCACAGGTTTAACTTCTCACCTTGCTGCAGTGCTGTAAACATGTACTCCAGGACCCTGTGGCATCACTGCTGGGTGTGGTTATACTGTAGGTGCAACAAAGCAGCTGAAACCCTACACTGCGTGTGTGCATCCATACACATACACTGAGTAAATGCAAATAATAGTAAAAACAACCTTCTTTAAATTATCAATAATTTGGTTCTGTTACTCCAACTTAATGATTTTATAATTATTTATTTTCTTTTGTATTTGTTTATTTAAAAACAACTCGAATATACAATTTTACTGCTTGACTGTTCACTTAACTCATATACGTTTTTATAATGAAGTCATTCTGCGGTACATTACATATTTTTAGTTGGAGGAATTTCACATCATTATATTGGACTTTTGCAGTGACAAGTTTTATCCCTGTTACTCCAGCTGTTATTATTTCATTATCATTTGCTAATGTCTTAGTGTAGATATGTATCGGTGAACTTGCTCAGTCTTGCAGGGTAATTTTGTTTTTCTACCTTCTGTTATGTCGAACATTTGGGACTAAAAGACAAAGTCTGGATGTTTTTTCTCTTGTTGCTCTGATTAAAGTCTGTAGCCTGTTTATTTCCCCTGGGTAGCTGCGATATATTGAACATTAAGAATTTAGAGTTGCAGGGAAAAATACACAATAACAACAACATCAGCCTCATTTTTAATATTCTGGAGTCTGAACAACTAATATTCCACTTGTAGTTTTGCGCATTTGGACAACTTGGATAACTTTTAACATTAACATTAACCTCCTCTCCACCCTCAGGGGTCACGCTGAGGTCGTGTCAGATGGGACGTTCGGCGAGGGTGTCAGTCTGATCCTCCTGGACGACGTCAACTGCGAGGGATCTGAGACCTCCCTGCTGGACTGTCCACACGGGATCTGGGGGCGGACCGACTGCTCCCACAGCGAGGACGTCGGGGTTCGCTGCAGGGGCCGATCCAGCCACGAGACAAACGAGGTGCCGGTTATCGCACCTTCCACAGGTGAGATATTAAACCTGGCTCGAGCTACTCTATTATTTTTTTGTTTTTGTTTTATTTTTACCTTTATCTCTTCAGGATCATTTCGCTGAGATGCTCTTAACGCTCTGATCAACATTCAGTTAGCGCATTCACACCTCGAAGCTGCCGAGCGCAACCGCAGCCTTTAGTGTAGCAGTTGTAGCAGATTTGTTTTCCCCCAAACTGTTGCTCTCTTCCCCAACCAACTCTGCTTCCCCCAGTGTGTGTGGATCAAAATAATCATCAGGCCCAGCTAACGATCACGTGAATCAAAGCTGCAAAGAGCAATAAGATGACAGAGTTCCTGTCTCAGAATTTAATCACAAAACATTTGATTCATAATTTTTAGAATTTCTACAGAATCCAGTTTTAGCACAACGATCAGGAATATATGGTCGACACTTGAGTATCCTGTGTGTCAGCCGAGAACAGACCAGACCGCTGTGCAACATTTTGAGGGTTTTTGTTCACTGGTAAGTGATTACAGTGAGAACAGAGGAAGGCAGGAAGAAACCAGGCCATCATTGCACTGCACTGCAGAAGTTTGGTGACTGTGCAACTGCAATTAATTTTGTACCAAAAGGCCAAGCTGTCCCTGCAGAGTGCTGGTCTAATGCCAGACTGTGAGCCGTTCACTCCTCTTTCACTCACAGAAATAATATCTATCTCCACATCTATACATCTATCTATAAATCTATCCATCCATTCGTCAATGAACGAATGAAACTAGTTCTGTATCGCTACCTCATTGTGAAAACAGCTGTGTGTGTGTGTGTGTGTGTGTGTGTGTGTGTGTGTGTGTGTGTGTGTCCATCCATAGTTTAAATGCCACATGTTGACAGCAGAGAGAACAGAGCGTTGTTTACTGTCTCAGTGCTCCAGAGGTCCTGTGCCTCCTGTCGACACACACAGTCCATTAGAATGAGAATAGAGGCTGAGTAAAGACACACCAGGCTGGAGATGACATTTAACACTGTCAGTGGACATGAAACTCGCTCTCGGTACGTGGAGACTGGAGTATGTAGATGCACAGACATGAATATCAATGAGAGTTTTGTGTGTTTTTTTTCTGTCAGGTCCCCTGGTGCGCCTTGTGGGTGGCAGCAGCAGGAAGGAGGGTCGAGTCGAGGTGTATCTCCATGGTGACTGGGGGAGTATTTGTGACTCAGGCTGGAACGACCTGAACGCAGCTGTTGTGTGCAGACAGCTTGGACACAGGTTAATGTTAATGTTAATGTTAATGAAAGAAAAAGAGTCTGATGACGAAAAAAAAAATAAGGCACAAAAATTCACATCCTCTCACAAACGCCTTCGTCTTTCCAGTGGGGGAGCGGTAGCAGCCGGAGGGTTCGGTCAGGGGAAAGGGCCCATCCACCTGGACCAGGTGAGGTGCACGGGGAAGGAGGAGTTCCTGGGAGAGTGTCCCTCTCTGGGACAGAGCGTCCAGGGCTGCAGGCGCAGGGAAGATGCAGGGGTGAGGTGTGACGTCACGCCGCAGGAGTCTACGGTGCAGGTCAAGCCTCAAGAGCTGAGCTGTGGGCTGAGGAAGCTGGTGGAGGAGGACAGCAAGAGGAGGAACCAAGGAGAGGAAAACATGCTCAGGTGAGATTTAGAATTTGGACAGAATTTGGACAGAATTTGGTCTTACAATATGTCCAAATCCTTGGCTTTGTCCTGGTGACTAATCGGTGGCAAGTGTAAATATTGAATACACGATACAAAATTACAATAAAACTGACTGCAACAAAAAGACTGCAGTGAGTTATGGTATATTTTAATTAAGTGTATTTATTGCATGTGAAATAAATGACCCCTCACCTCCCACCCACTGTGCATTATTTATCTACATTGTGGCCTCCTATTTTCCATTAAGTACAATGCACACAGCCATTAGTCTTATGTCTGAATATACAACCTGACCACAGATTTTCTGAGTCAACTGGCTGTGTAAGAATTTGATGAACTAGCTTTATTTAGGAATATGCACCATAGACGTTTTAAAACTGGACAGAGTCCTCCGTTAAACAGGGTCACAAGATTAGGTAATAATGCAACAGTCACCTTAGTTGTTATAGTACTTAAGTGGTAAAAAAAAATAATAATAATGCAATTAAAGGAACTGCCAGTGTTACTCACCGAAATGAATATTATGAATTGAGGTGTGACTGACATGTTGAATGCATTAAAACATTTGCAAAGCCAATTTTTATCAGATTTATACACATTATAATTTTAAAGCTGCATCATTTGCATCCAATATTTGGTCCATGGTTTCGTGACTAGTCGTGTTACCACCACTGTCGATCGGTGGAATAAAGTGAGACCAAAGTGTGATACAGGCAAAACAGGAACCCGCTCGCAAAAGCATTGCTCCATAGTGTTATTAGTGGTCAAACACTCCACTCTGTACTTTTCATTAATCTGACATAAAGTAACACAAAGTTAACCGGGGGCATTTTGGGCCCCTGTGGGTCTGATGCCCCGGGGCAGTCTTTGAGTGGGTGGGAATTCAGCTTTGAACCGTACCTTGTGAACAACCTTCAGAAACTCAAATGTAGAATAAAGACATAATTTCGATTGTGATCTTTTCCCCTCTCTGTCAGGACCACATGGCCATGGCAAGTGTCAGTGTGGCTTCAGTCCCAAGGAAAAGATGGCGGTCCTCTCTGCAGCGGCACTCTGATCAGCCCCTGCTGGGCCCTGACCTCAGCGCACTGTGTCAGCAGGTAAATCTGACACTGAACCATTAATCAGTTCCTACACTGGAGACGTCTTCAGCGGGTCCACTGAACACTAACAACTATAAATCCACCTTAAATTCATCCTCTCTCTCTCTCTCTCTCCTCCAGGTTCGGCCGCGATCCTTCCATGTACGTGGTGCGTGTCGGGGCGTCGGAGGAGACTCTCACCCCGGAGCAGGTGGTGGTTCACAGGAAGTTTAAGGGGGAGAGCGGAGGTCATGATTTGGCTTTGTTGAAGCTGCCCAGCACCAAAGGTCACTGTCTGACCTTTGACCCTAACACTAACGCGGCATGCCTTCCTGCTGCAGACACAGCATCGGGGGGAATCGTGCCATCTTCTTGTGTTGTCATGGTTACCACTGGCTGGACAGGACCAGGTATGTGTTTTTTTTCCCTCTCTAGAGAATATCTCTTTTTTATATCAACATCCGAACGAATCAAAAAAATATGTTTTAGATACAACACCAGTGCAGCGCAGTAAAAAGGGTTAGAAGACTGAAGCCTCAAGTCAGTATTTTTATATGTTTGTATCTATTAAATCACGTGTGTTAGCATCTGAGCGGACAGCTTGTTTTGCCACCGATTTCATCAGATTCACTTTAAAAATAAATACATAGATATAAATGATAAATAAATAATAATAAATAATAAATGTAAGTTTGAACTTGTGGCAGGTTTGAGCTGCTTCAATCCTCACGTGACAACCATGAGAAATTAAAATTGATATACAAATAACCTGTTATTGTTGCGAACTGACATCAGAGGTTAACTGACTCTGTTAAGGGAATAAAACAGAGAAAAGCAGCAGATCTTCACATGTGAGAAGTTGGAACTAATGAATGTTTGCCATCTTAAGCCATGCTAGTGATAATGCCCTGGGGATGTTAATGTTGGGCTGTCGGTCCACCATTTTGGTCCAGACTGTAATATCTCAGCAGGTAGACGTTCATGTTCCTCAGAGAATCAGTCTAATGACTTTGGTGATTGTCTGACTTTTCATCTAGAGCCATCACTATTTTTTTTTTTTGGCATTTTGTGCTTTTATTACAGACAGGCAGTAGAGAGATGAATGGAAACAAGGGAGAGACTTGGCCAGACAGGTCATACTGGGTCTCTAAGCCCCTGAACCACAGGGGTGCCCCTGTTTTTCCACTTTTAGTGAAATATCTTGACAGTTATTGGATGGACTGCCATGAAATCTGGTCCAGACATTCGTAGGTGCTCAGAGGAATAATCTACTGACTCTGATGATCCCCTGATTTTTCCTTTAGCGCCACCATGTGGTTTTGAGTGAAATGTCTCAACAACTATTGGATCAACAGCTATGAAATTTGATTCATGTTCCCATCAGAATGAACTGTAATTACTTTGAATATATATTTATGACCAAATATATAACACCTAACTAATGACTTTCCCATCAGCCTCAGGTGTTTAGAAAATGGATTAGAAAATGTTGGCATGCTAACACACCAAAGTAAGATGGTGAAGATGGTGAACATTATACCTGTCATCATGTTAGCATTGACACTGTAAGTCTGTTAGCATGCTGCTGTAAATTACTTATATGATTAATTGATAGTCAGAATTATAAATTTTATGCTGATTAATTAATCAACAAATTGTTTCAACCCTTCTGTAATGTCACCTCTTTAGTCATTTTCTCCATCCTCTCTCCTAGACTCAGTTCTTGCATCCTGGGTCCCTTTGATGTCGTCATGGCAATGTAAGAAGCGCTATGGCGACAGCTTCTCCAGCCACGGCACACTGTGTGCCGGCAGCCCTCCAGACACCAGTCTCCTCCATGGCGACAGTTGTCAGGGCAACTCTGGTGGTGGGCTGGTGTGTCAGAAGGAGACGGGTCGATGGGTCCTCACTGGAGTCGTTGCCGGGGGTTACAGCTGCTCTGACCCCTCCTCTCCTGCGCTCTACACTCGAGTCAGCCGCTTCAGGAGCTGGATCGACGAGGTCATCAACGTGCAAGTGCGTCCGGAGGAACCGCACACGCACACACAGACACAAGAAGATCTGACACACAACGATCTAACGCACACACACAGCGAGGGCAAAGATAAATACTTCCACACGCACGGCAAGCTCAAACACACGCACGACCAACCACAGACAAATGAAATCAGTGAGATTAAACTGAAACACACACACACTCATCACTCACACACTGATCAGCACGTTAACACACACACTAAGAGCCCACAAACCCACCGTGTAGGGGAATCAGACACAAACACACAAATTCTGGTCTGATTGAGGCCGTGCCATTGGCTTACCATCTGTGCCATGTGACCGCCTGAGGAGGAGGAGGAGGAGGACAAAACTTAACTTTGACAGCAAAAGAAAAGAAAGATGCTCTTAGCTTAAGTCAGTAAAAAACGGCAGTCTCTGTGCTCATTTCAAATCTGAACTCAGTGTTGTGAATCCCAAGTGTTTGCGGTTGCTAAGCATCAGATGAGCAGTGTGGGCAGACCCTCCCATCACTGCCAGGATGTCAGCGTGTGTGGGTGATTTGTGGTGCTGTACATGTGAGTTGCAGTCCGTTAAGAGCCAGAACAATGACTGACGGGTCGGCGACATTTAAGGTTGAGCCCTGGCAGATTTATCAGCGTGCCGATGAGGGCCTTTCACTGATACTGAAAATCCAAAAAATCAGCATGGCATGTATTTTAATGACAATAGCGTTAGCATCAAAACATTCGGGGGGACATTTCTAAGACGGTCACACAAGAATCTATGCTAAAATTCACCTATTAATGTGTCTGCTGTGTGAGCTGTTAGAACAAACTAGTATAAAGGCTGACTGCGTATCATCCCTGTCCCTCTGAGATTATTAGTGTAGATAAACCCCAAACTCCTGCAGCGGGTGAGGCAGGCTTGGACAAAAATTCAGATGTGGGTGATGTTGCTTTTTCAAACAGGGCTCCTCTCTTCAGGCTGTTGTCTTATACCTTTACTGGTGAAAGTGCTGTTGTTCGTTCAGACCCATGACTAAGCTATTTACCTTGGGACCACATCAGTGATTCAGCATGTTTTGCCTTCTTACCAGTGATGTAAAATTTACCCTGCTGCTGACTGTTCTGAAAGTCATGCTGTCGTTTCCAGAGCAAACGCTGGACAAAAGAGAACCTCAAAGCCTATAATGACGTCAAATACACACATGGGAATTTAATGCACAAATGTCGTTCCCAAGTCCCAATTATGTATCACAAAAGCTGAGGGTGAATCAATACAGAGAGCAATTGGGAAATCAAAATAATGGAGACACATATCAGAGGTAAAAAAAAAAAAAGGGAAGGAAATGCTGCACAAATACTGGGAGAGCTTCCACGACTGCATCAGTCCGTGGTCAAAAAGCTCCTCAAAACTCACTGTGTAGGATTGCTTTTAATGTTTAACTGCTACCTAGTGCGCTCTTATTATTCTTTGTTTTTAGTTTTTCTTATGTATTATCCTCTGTGGGAACCATCTTTGGGAATCTCGAAAAGTTTTCTCCAAATAAAGAATTATTATTATTATTATTATTAGTACCTACTACCTTCAAACACATCAGGAAACTATAAGGTAAAGGCAGCCACTTCCTGATACAGCAGCCATTGTTAAGGGTTTACACATTGTAAATAATGACTTTATTTGTGGTTAGTAAATAGTTCAAGTGTATGACAAGAACAACTTTTGTGTTGCCATTTATAATTACAGTTTTTGGTTTTTGGCCACCTTGCACCTCAGACTTGTGTCGTAAATGCAGCAATCTTCTCAAGTACTTCCTACTTCCCAGGTAGCTTTTTGGTTACCTCTGATGTTAATGCAATATGGGAGATCAATCCACAGACTTGAAACTTGTGGAATCCATCACAAGAAACGTTAAATCTTCAGTTATTTTTGTCGGTTTCATTATTGTCGAGAGCTAATGCAGTGCAGATCAATTACACTGCATTACCTCACAACAATAACGGACCTTTTAAAAATAATCGCGCAGGTTTTAAAGGTCCGTTCATTGATTTCTATTCCAAAGGGAAAACAAAAAAAAACTGCTGCCCGGAAAACTGAAACACTACAATATGGTTTTGTCAGCAGTTACATCAAGTGTACACAGTTTGTTGTGTTTGTAGTTAAGGAGGTAAAACATGCAAAAAACCCCCCCCCACAAAACTGGTGTGGTGCTTCAAAATTGTACAGGACAATTCTCTCCTTTCAAAGCCATTGGAAGCTGACTGTCGGGTCACAAAATATCTTTTTGTACTGATTCCAGCAGATGGCGCTAGATAGCTAAATGAGTAGGCAGATAGACGGGTAGATAGCTACTACTCCAGAGTTTAGATAGTGTGTGTACTGCATTCATTCTTGACTGAATTAGGTAGCTGAACTGTTGAAGTTTAATGTTGTCTGTTCTCTTGTTCGCTGAGCAGATGTGTGATCCAACCACAAGATGGCGACATTGCTCTATTTTCACAGGGCCACCGGCCGTTGGATAATGTGGCCCTGATGGTTCTTTTTTATACTCTTGCTATTAAGTGTACGGACTTGACTTGTGCTTTGATGTACTGTGAACCACTGTGTCGTGAAGCATCTTGTAACCTGCGACTGCTGTTTCTCCAACATGGACCTGTCCGATGCCTGTTGTTATGATCCTGTACATAAACTCAAGCCTATCACTTACTCCTTCCTTCCTGAGACTTTGATGTTTTACCATGCAGATCCTGTAGGTTAATGTAAATACTGTATGTCTACAGCTGGACGGTGAGGGAGCAGAGTAAAGTGTTTCAGATGTAGGCCTACTTTACCTGTGTTAAACCCATCGTCTGTTCCTCAGTGTAATGTGCTGAATCATGGTTGAGTATTAAAACATATACCTGGTGAGAAAACGTCATCAGTGGTGGTGTGGTCTCTCTTTTTTTAAATTTCTTCCACATAATGGTGACCGCGCTATTTTTAGTTTGTATCCACATTTTGCACAACAGTAAGAAGATGATGTTTACGTCTGGAGGAGACATTCAGAAAGATTAGATGAAGGAAACCAGCACTTGATACACAAGATCCTTTCTGTTCTGTCTTATAGTGAGTTCAGTATATATTTCATTAATATAAAAGATTCTTAAAGCCCTGCAGGAATAATATGCCATTTCATTTTCTACATTCAAAAACGTGGATTTTATAAGTTAGAAAAAAAAATTGCTTACAAAACGTTTATTGCCTCCATGTAATTGAAAAGTAAATCTGCTTAGCTGCTGCTCTCAGTCACCCATGAGCCCTGTTAATCTTTTCTTTTGTTTGGATGGGTTTCTCTCTGAAAAAGAGGGGGGGATCAGAGGATACCCTTGTTGCTGTGGATTGGCCAATTTTTATTCAAAACTAGAAAAAGTGATTTATAATGAGCATAAATGAGTCAGCTTTTGGGACACGGCAGAATATTTATAAATCTGACTGAAAATATGCTGAAGATTTGAATAAGATGGACCTCAGTGACTGAAAATAAAAAAAAGTACTGGTGGGGCATAAATGACTTATATGGAAAACATTTTATTTGTAAATATGTGTTGTAACTGTAGGGAAGTAAAACAACACAATATTTCTCTCTCACATGTAGAGTGGAAGCATAAAGTAGCAGAAAATGGAAAGTACAAGTAGGTGAAGATCAGTTTATATGTATCTATTTACATGCTGGTGTGGACAACAGCCAAAATTATAAGCCACAAAAATGAATAGAACAAATCAGTTTCACACAAATTTCAAAGGGCTAAGTCGCATCTGTCTAAAACTGGATCTGCAGCAAGAGTGAAATCTTCAGAGTTAGTGTTAAGCTCAGGGTTAGGGTCAACTCAAAGTCTGGAGTCAATGACAAAATACAGTTACTCTTCGTTAATCTGGTTCATTCAGTGTGCGACAGTATTAGGGGGAAAAAAAACACAAGCTCGCATATTGGTTTGAGAGATGGAAAAACAAAAGCCGATATACTTTCCAGGAAGTAACGCTGTGGTGTGTTGCAGGCATGGCTTCCTGCAGCAGTCTGCTGTGTGAAGTGTAGTTTCACTGCTCTATCTGCCTGGAGGTCTTCACTCAGCCCATGTCCATCACCTGTGGCAACAACTTCTGCGAGGCCTGTATCACTTGGTACTGGGACAACAGTCGCCACTGCCAGTGCCAAGGAGACCAGAGTTAAAAAAAAACAAACAAAAACAAAAACACAGCATCATTTTAAAGGGATGGAAGAGGGAAGCATTGATGAATCTGTTGCAGTGGACGGAGATGAAGCCGGTGACATCTGCACTTGGAAGGAGCTGAAGGCTGCAAAGTTCTGCCTCGAATCTTTGACATCTTTCTGCGGAATTCACCTGTTGCGTCACCACAGAGCTCAACCCTCAGGTCAAGCAGCAGAGGCTTCTTCTGGACATGTTCTCCAAGACAGACAAAGAGACTAGTTGCCAGTTCTGCATCGGCGAACATCAAAAGACTCAACTCAGAGAGACGGAGCTCCGAGTACGACAGATGATCCAGGAGAAGCTGCAGAAGCTCCGAGGAGGAGGAAGAGGAGGCCAAATGCCTGGTGGAACTCAGCAGGACAGATGCTCAGAGGAACATACGCAACTGTGTGCAGGTGCTCACCACTCCGGTGGCCTTGATTGAGAGGAGCCAATCAGAGTTCATTCGGGTGATTAAGAAGGAGCAGAAGGCGATCGAGAGGAGAGCTGAAGATGTCATTACAGCTCTTGAGTAAGTAATTAGGGTACTACAGTAATGATTCACAGAGCAGGAGCAGCTCTCACATACCATCCATTTCCATGTCTTCCTTAGATTGTCATCTCTCTCCAGCCTTCAGCACGTGAATGATCAGCAAGAGTTCAACGTCCAGAGAAGCCAACACGAACAGAAGAACTCGAGGACACTGTGAGATGAGAACTTTGAAGACAACACAGAAATGGAGAAGTTTCCCGATCAGAGTTTGAAGTGGATTCGGCAACAACCTTGGACCCTGACGTCGCACATCGTTTCCTCACTCTCTCCGATGATGGGAAGGAGATAAAGGAGGGCAAGTGGCAGATGAGACCTTTCAGCTCGTAAAGATTCACAGTGTTATTGGGTTCACTGGTTGTGGCAAAGATGGCTACTCCTCAGGGTGATTTTACTTTTAGGTTCAAGTGGAAGAGAAGAGCAAATGGGCCATTTGAGTTGTTGGAGTCTGTAGACATGAAGAAATTATTTCCCAAATCAACAGAACATGGATACTGGACGATAGAACTGGGAGATGGTTATAAAAACCGAAGCCTCTCCACCTGCCTACCTCTATCCAGGGAGGCTGAGAAAGGTTGGGGTGTTTGTGGAGGGACAGCTGTCCTTTTATGATACTGACGGCAAAGTCTCATATGTACTCATTCATCGGCTCTACCCATGCTGTTACTGCGGCACTGGGCGTAATCCCTGTAAAGCTTGTGGTCTAGGACTTTACAGAGATACGTCTGGTGACATTCTTTGTCTTTATTGTCAACAAATCCCATGAAAAGAACAAAACCAACAAAGTGTTAGTTTGCCTCTCGATGCGCTCCGAACTCTCATCTCGAATTTGTTCCTGCAGAAGATGTGATGCTTTAAAAGCATGTCACAAATGTATTGTTTTTTTTTCTTTAAAAGATGCTCACAACTGAACAACAAAAAGAAGTAATTAGTACGTTTGTTGGGGACGAGTTTCAGCCACAGATTATTACATGCTAGGAAGTATTTCTAGCAGCTGGACGGTGTATGTGGGATTCATATAAAACAACAGCACCCATGGTCATTGTTGCCCAGTTTAACAATATGGTTCATTTCAAACAGAAAAAGCTACATCAGGCTCCAGCAGGATCATCTCATCGTTACTGTTCATCTTCTCGTGGATTTCATGAAGAAAAACACTGAATAAACTCGGAAGGTATACAATATCTTTTATATAACTAACTAGCCCATACAAATAACTCTACTGCTGTTTATCACTTCAGAGCAGAAGCCCTGCTGTGGTATCCTCTGCAGTTTTGCTTTCAGTTCTCACTCAAACCACTCTGCAGTTTGTCTTCCGTTCGACAAAACAGAAAATGTAAATCAGAGAAAGGCGAGTCAATGAGCTTTCAGCAGTGAAGCCTGTCAATGATTAATAGTGACGGATTGGACCAGAAAAGTAACACCACTCCCTGAAGAAACCCTTGTGATGCTGAGATCAGGGTCAAACAGTACTTTGAAGTATGTTGTTACTTACTTACTCATACTTAACCCAGTTTGGTAAATTATATCATATTTTCATCATCAAGCCGCCCCGATGCTGGAAAGTGACGCCATCATCAACCTGAAACCAAAGTTCTCACCGCAAAGAAAAAGTGTGCAGATTACATAAAAAAGTAGGCTAACAGTTTTGCTTCTCTCCATTACCTCGACTTTTCACTTCAGGCTCTGCTGTGCTGCTCCACAGAAATATTTAAAGGACTGCACCAAGTTTTTTTTATTTATTTAGTTTTGATAGAGACCAGCAGAGTGATTCATCTGTTCATCCAGGTTTTCCAGGTACATTATTCATCCTTCATTCCATATAGCACACTTACACACCGGTCCATGTTGACATCTCGACAGACTGTAGCATCTCTCAGAGCTTAAGACACTGCACGGAGGACATGTAAGATGACCAAGAGGCATTTTAGATACAGATCTACTAAGAAAACTAATCATCACTAATCAATGTTTCGGGTTCACCGTTTCGATGAAACACAGTTTTCCATTACTTGTAATTGTATGTCGTACAATTTCACCAACAGCCTGTGTTTTGGAAAACTAGCTTCAGTTTGTCACTGAAAAACAGGACATTTTCCTCCGAAGCAGGAATCCATCAGGTTTCTTGGACAGGCCTTTATGTTCTGTTCTGATCTGTTCCTCATTTCAGCACAAAGGTTCAGAAAAACACTATAAAGCATGGTTTGTGAAGCTCTTTGTTATAGATGTAAAAAAGAATCTGAATTTACTGAGTTTTGTTTTTATAAATTTTCATTGTTTTTGAGTTTCACATTGGACAAAAAAAAAAAAAAAGAAGCTATTTGCTATCTCTTACGCATGATTATAAATGACTGGAAATATTTGTAAAAGCTCTGAGAAGATAAACGGGGAACTCGTCCTTTAAGACCTCGACAAAGTCAAAAGTAATTTAGATTCAAGAGTCTCGTTCTGGGTCAACTTCTCTCCTAATTTTATTGACACTGAAGAGTTGGAGGTCAGAGAGAGCAAGACGAGCTCCCTCAAGACTTCCTCCGTTTTTTTGTGTGTCTTTGAAAAAAGTAAATGCGAATGTCCAAGTTATCCAACTGCTGAGCTCTCCTCATTAATCACACAGAAAGCAGAGGAACCAGGGGGAGCTGTCCTACATCCCAGGGACATGGACACACACACACACACACACACACACACACACACACACACACACACACAAAATAACTGGGACCATCATAAATAACAGCACAAAACCTTTTTAAATAAGGCTGTAGCATTACTCAACACTTGACTGTGTTCAGTTCGGCTGAAATAAGAGCACGAGAAGACAGAGGTGGTGAGACAGAACAATGCACGAGCTGTTGAATGGACAGCAGTGATGGTTTTGTCCTATGCGTATGTTAGTGGCCTGGAGTCTATGCAGTGTTACTCAGAACTTAATCTGACTTTGTTATGTGATGACAGATAAGTATGGAGGGCAAATATGATGCCAGCTGTGATGCTGAAGTGTTGTTCAGAGCATCCAGCCACCCACAGAAACATGTTGTCATCTAGAGCCGGTTTATTTTAACTTCTTCCTTAAACATCTGCGTCTTCCTGCTTAATGTCACCTCGGACGAACTGATTTCCTTTCCTAAAATTGGACAAGAGACTGCACGAGCAAGATATTCAGCATGACTAATCAATGTTGCAGTGTTATATAATCTGAAACGTGTCTTGCATATCTCTATTAGCTCCAAATTTGGTGATTTCAGGGTGAGACTCCGCTGATGAAACGCTCTCAAAATAAAGGCTGAGAATGTCAAAAATGTGCAGTGATCAGGCTAGAAAAAAAAAAAAAGAAGAAGGCCAAAACAAAACAAAAACAAAAGGTCTGTTATGGTGTCATTTTTTCCGGACAGTAGGCATGTGGCAGCGGACGTGTGAAACCATCACACCCAGGGTAAACACAAAACTGTTTTGGCAGGTTGTTCAGTCTGGGGATTAATTCCCAGGGAATAGATGCCTTTCCAATAAGATATTTGTTGGACAAGGGACAAAAATGTTTCCGTATGACGACAAAAATAAAATCTGACATAGAGGGATGGCGGCGGTCCTTCAGAAATAAACGAGGCGGGAGAGACAAACCAGTGCTGAAATAGTATTTTTATTAAATACTTTCAAGATCCAAGTTTGAAGAATAACAAAGCTATGATGAAGACCAACTAACACTCAGACAAACACTTGATAGTCGTCAATTCATGGTTGTATTTCATTGTACATCATGATCATGCAAAAAAACTCCAGCATCCATGTGAAGGCTGGGGGAGAAAGCGCAGCCCAATAGTATATCATTACAACGCAGGGAAAACGCTAACATCGAGGGCCTCATACCAAGCTACGGCTCCTGAATCCTTTTTTTTAAAAATTTTGCATTTTTTTGTTTTTTAAATATTTTTCATGTCACCTATTCAACATTCTGGACGGAGGAAATTCTTATTTCAAAAGATGCAAATATCATATATTAACACTAGGCTCCATCCTTATTCAGGTAGGTACATGGTAGAAATGCGTAACTGAAACATGCATATAACTAGGTCTCCCGCTCTGGTTCAACAGTGTAGGTCACAAAAACCTACACACCCACACCAACTCTTTCTCTCTGACTCTCAAAACTCCTCTCAACTGAGCAGGCACGATTTAAAACCACCAAGGGTAGATTACAATAAATAATTTAGTCCTGATCAATCTATGATCATTCAATCTGTAATTTTGTGTTGTCTTTACTTTCTCCCTCTTTTCCCTTTTTTTACTTTCTTTCTTTTTTTATTTTTTTTTCCTGTGTGCGAGGGAGAGTGCAGAACTCCAGCTTGGCAGATCGGCAAATTACCAAACGACAAGTTAACAGCAACAGCGACGACAACAAAAAAACTCAAACCAGTAACACGGGAACAGAGAAACAACAGAGAGAGGTACAACTAAACATCTCAAGAGCAGGGACTTGTGGGTACACCGGGGAGAGGAGGAGGAGATATTTGGAGGAGGGGGCGGAGAGAGAGGGGGGTGGGGTTTAAGATACAACTGTCGCTGGATGGATGGAGACAATTAAGCAGCACAGCAAGGGTGGCACCGTGGTCACACAGTAGTGGTGCAGATATGTTACAAAGACTAAACACACCACCAGGCGCGTGCGTGTGTGTGTATGTGCATTTGTTTGTGTGTGTGTGTGTGAGTGTGTGTGCGTGCGTGCATATGATATGAAGAGATGGCTCACAGCATTGTGGAATTAGGAGTTAAGGAAACTATGATGAAGGTTTTCATATCTTAAAAACTCATAGTTGTTGGGAAGAGGGGTCAAACTATTTTCAACCTGTTATTTCTTTAATTCCCCGTCTTCAAAAACAGTCTTACGGCCATGGGACTAGAGCTGGTAGCCTACATGAGAGTGTGTGTGTTCATGTTTGTCGAGAATAATCAAAAGCTACCAATATCTCGAGGAAGTATTTTCAAGGAGGCAAATCGAAGTCTCTGAGGAAAATGTTGCTCCTAAACTAGCTCAGGGGTCACAGAGGTCATGGGGTGGTTGCTATACCCAGATGCACAGGATGAGTGTCTCTTAGATACATGTACATATATTACACTTTTCTACATATATCTATACATACACTGTATTTACACAGTGATTATAAACAAACCAGGCCCTTGCAGAAAGCAGGAAAAGGAGCGGGAGGGACGGTTAAAAGAGGGAATGGTTAAAGAGAGAGGGTAAACGGGGAGAGAGCAGGAAGGGGTGAATGAGGGAGAGGCGGCGGGCAAACATGCAAAACGCAGACGCCTTTCCCGGCCCAGTCTCTCCCTCCACTGCATACAGACACAACAGAACGTGTTATCACGCGCAGGTTAGCTTTTAAACTTGCACAGTAAAATCCCTCTTTTTAAAAACTCAGCTGCATTAAAAAGGAGCCTCGAATGTAGGATCTGTCAGACAACAACAACAACAAAAAGAAAAAAAAAAGGCTCCGGTTTTTCACAGGAACGCAAAGGGAACAGGACGGTAAAAACACAACAAAACACATAACCTCAAATCAGACGCCCCCCCCGCCCGCCCCGCCCCAATCCCACGACAATACAATTTTCCGTTCTGTTGGAAAACAAGCACACAAACGAAAACACATAAACACATAAAAAGCCTAAAGTTCTACACTTTGGTGCTTCATGTTTTTGATATCAAGTTTCTCTCATCATCAAGTTCTCTGACTGAGCCCACTTGATTTTTTTCCCTCTTTAATTCAGTTGGGGAAAATCTCCCTATGTGTTTACATCAACGCCCGGGTAAAGAGCACAACACTTTCTACCCGGTAACCCCTAGAATGCCAAAAATGTGTCCAAAATCTCAGCTGCTAACTTCACACTCCTCTCTGTTCCTCCCTTATAAGATAGTGAATATAAATGCTTGGTTGGGTTTTGGTGGTTTCTGGTACATCTAGTCATAATTTACACAGTATATTCATAACTCATACTCATAAACTGTCACAAGTTCAACTGTAAATCCTCTCCTCCCCCAGGACGTCTCATCTCGCGCGGGCAGAAAAAAGATGGCTGCCAGGGGAGGGATAGAGGGCAAAGACGCGCCCTCCAATCAGGCGCCAGATGCATGCATCATCCCATGGGGGCGGTGTCTTGTGTTCAGCCGGCCCCCAGCAGGTCAAAGGAGGGACAGGATTGGTTGGTATCGTGGAGAGGGATGCGATCTCGCCCGGCCGGGCTCCTGGCACTAGCCAATCCACGCAGAGGACGTGCCTCTTAAACACGCTCGCTGAAAAAAACTGCCCCCCAAAACACACACTCCAGTAGACTGGAGGCTCAGGACCACTGGGAGGGAGGGGGGAGGGGGGAAAGGAGTAAATTAGGTTCTGTTTTTGGCATGACAATTCAGTGGTGGCAAGAGGAAAAAAATTTCATATAGTGGCTTTAAAACTAGTTGTTTTCACCATTTTTGTGGAAGTGTGTGTGTGTGTGTGTGTGTGTGTGTGTGTGTGTGTGTGTGTGCCGATTACCTGATCACTGTAGTGGTGCAGCAGGCGCTCCTGAGCAGTGGAAGTGAACATTGAGCCACTTGCCATCGCGACGATGCCACACCCTGGTCTCCTCTGATTGGCTGGAACGAGGGAGGCCCGTGGAGTCCACAAACTGTGTGAGCCGGATGTAGGCGATGCACGCCGCATCCTCACCGATCAGGTGCACGTGTGGGTTGAGCAGGGTGGTGTGCACGGGCTTGCTGTTCTTGCTCAGCACTGGAAAAAATAAACAGAGACACATTCATTCATTAATCCTTCAATACCGTCTGTGGTCATCTACACAGACCCGTGGAGTTTTAACAGCAATGTCTTCGCTTCTTTTCTGTACGTTAATGTCCCTGTGTTACATGAAAGGTGGTATTTAAAATCAAATGTATTATTATAAGAATGAAAACAGACACCAGCTTCAACTGATTCAAAATGCATCCATGGCTGCTCAAGCAGAGAAATACAATCACAGCTATGATCTATTTTAGTGTAACTCTGAAAACGCTGCAGAGAGATGGGTCAGGAAAACTCATGAAGGGAAACCGTTACAAAAAAAACTGTTAAAAAACTAGAAAAACAAAAAGCTACACTGATCAATTCATCATTCTTTCATTAATTTAGAGAAAATTCATCTGCAACAATTTTGATAGTCGATTAACCAAATGTGACAATTTGTGGCTTTGTGATAGAAAACAATTACATAACAAAGCACATGGCAGATCAATGTATAATGAAAATAATAACTAACCCTAGCTACTAATGAACCTTAAGAGTATAAGTTGGGATATTTCAGCGGCTGCTGTCGACCACAAAAGACAAATTTACTTGATATTTACCAAAAACTGACAAGACTTTGTGGTGCTCTTCTTCCCATCTGAGAGCAAACCTCACCCAGCAGGTTTTCAGAGCAGAAAAAAAAAATAAAGAGATGAATTGCCTGTGCGCAAGAGGAGACTCACAGTTTTCAAAGTAGAACTTGTGAAAGTCCATGCCCTCCACCAGGTTCCCCAGGGCCTCGGGTTCAAAAGAGGTGAGTCCAGGATCACAAATCCTCCTGAGGAAGGAGAGGAGGTGAGCGAGAAAGTGAAAGAGTGGGAGACGGAGAAACAAAGACCAGAGAGTCGTGAGAAAGCAAGAAAAGGAACAATAAGCACAAAAAAAAAAAAATCAAAAAAAAAAAAAAAATCACTACAAACAGTTGTACTTACGTGTAGGCATCAAAATCTCCATTGTTGATCGCTTCAATCAGCTGCTCCGTTATCTTGATGATCTCCTGTTTACGGGCTACAGAACGAACAAGAGAGAGACACACACACACAGATGGTGAATGATGAGAAACCACTTGAGAGGGTGAGACAACAATTAACTAGTGGTGGTTTTGCTTGATGACATTTTCTCTCATCACTTTAGCTCCTGCTTTCCTTCAGGCTCTCTTCCTCTGCGGCTACAGCTCGACACTCCTCTTTAACCTCATCAGTCTGTCTGCGGCAGCGGCTTCCTCACTGCGACTCGACCTCGTCACTGTCTGTCGCTTCTCACCTTCTGCACAACCCAGAAACTGACTGAACGCTACAAGGTCCTCTTACTAGCTTTACCCAGAGCTTTCAACCTCAGCTCCTGTTTTGACGAGACCGAAGCTTCATACATAATGACAACTGACCTAGCTCCACGACATGAGCGAACTATCCCCTGAGGAAGAACACGAGATGCGTTTGAAAGCTCGTCCATCTCTCGCCAAAGTAAATTAACCGTTTCAAGACCTGAACATGCATCAAGCCAAGTGTGTGATAAATGATCTTCTTCATTTCAAAGTGCTTCTAAGTCTTGAAACAGGAGAACATGACCTGAAATTAAAGATTCAAAACCTGACTAAATGGCTTGTTAAGGTGGACGTCATTTCCTGCCTGCTCTTCTTCATTCTGGAGGAAAAACCTGCCGTTTCAGAGAGACGTGAGCTTTCAGCGTGCAGCAGCTACAGTGAGTAGAGGGCAGGGAAAAGCTGAGGTACAGTTAGTCCAGATGTGTTCTTACTCTGCTTAGTGTTGCTTTTAGCAGCGACAGTGTTGCTCCCTAGTGGAGCGGCAGGCATGGAGGACTGCGAGAGCTCAGACTCGGGGCAGGAGCTGTTGCCTGTGCTGTTCCATGCCATGCGCTTTACGTCATGCGGTGGTACTGAAACACACAACGGATGGTCAACAAACACAAACGACATGGATGGATGACAAGAAGACAGAAATGCACACATGTGATCACACACACACACACACACACAAACACACACACACACACACACACACACACACAAACACACAAACACACACCATGCAACCACAGCTCATGCAGTTAAACAAAAGTGCCAAAACTGAACAAGAGACAAAGATGACGTGGGTTAGTGTTCAGCAGAATGAGTGAGGCATAAACAACACTCAGAGTTAGTGTGGGTTTATGACAGACATGCAGATGGGTAACATGAGGACAGGATGGCAGCTGGAAGCGAGATCAGTGCAGCTCTGATCGTGATGCTGCGTGATGTGGAAGTCATTTAACTGCCTGCTCTGCTCACATCTACTCTGCTCTTAATGCTCGTATACATTAACAACAGCCTCCTCTGATGAACTGCAGCGCCCGGCAAAGAAAGGATCGAAAGCCGTTGTTTGTTATTAGCTCATGTTATGCCTGTGGGGGAACTTAGCATGGTCAGGAAAGGAAGGCGGGAGTGGAGAAAGGTCACAGGAAAGGCAGAGTAGAGAGGGGAGAGAGATCAGACCGTCCTTTAGTGCAGGTGCGTCTGACGAGAGCAGCAGGACGAGGACAAGAGGTCAAGAGATGAGAGGAAAGATTAGAGTGCGGAGGGAGGGAAGATTTGTGAGAGGAGACAGGAGGACGAGAGAAGGAAGTAGTGGAGAATGGTGCTTAAAGAGAGAGAAATGGAGAATGAATCGGAGAGAGGATTAAAGAATGTAACGGAGAATAAAGCATTAGAGTGGAGGAGAAAATGTGAGGACAAGAGAGAAACACGATGCTCTATGGTGCGCATGGTTCCGGGGCCCTGTCAGACTGGGAGGCTGCTTTAGGACACACAGCTGCAAGGTAAGCAAGGCTTCCTCCAGCTGGAGCTGTCACATTAGGAGGACAAGGGGATAGATGCCGTGATCACCAAGAAACACACATACACAGACACACACACACACGAACACACACACACACACACACACACATTTCAGGGTTCCCACAGTGGCCCTGATGAAAAAATTTCTACAACTTTTTTTTATGACTTTCCAGAATGAGGTCAAAGTGCCTCTGTGACCGGAAAAATTAGTCCCTTCTGTTTTTTAAAGTTTGTTGTGAACACAGAGAGGTGAGGCAGTGAAGGTGTGGTCTTGCTCCTCATGAGTGAGCAAACAATGTACAGAACAATGGACATACACAGCAGGAAATAACTGTATGTTGTAGGTATATAAGACAAGTCGTAAAATGGTAAATTAATATTCCGTTTTATAACAACTTGGCTCTTACTTTTGTAGTTTTAGACTATTAGGTTTAATAACATTGTATTAAAATTAAGTGCTGAGATCTGGGTAACAGGGCAAAAAACACTAATGGTGAGACAATCACACATAATGTAAACTACAGATTTATTGATATTGATTGGGTATCAAAAGATGTATCTGATCCTTATTAAATCCTCAGAGAGTTTATAGTGTATAGGTATTTTAAAGCTTTATTGTGATGATTAAAATCATCATACCTTATTTGTATTTAAAAACTGGTTCAAATATGGGGGTTTTCTTTTAAATGTTTCAGTAACGAACCAGCTAACCGTGAATAACTCTGTACTTTTGGTTTAAGAACGTGTTGCTCAAATAACAACTGCAGAAAAATGTTATGCTCTGAAGCACTGAAAACTTCTGCCAAATCATCAACAACAACTGAGTTATTGGGACACAAAGAACACAGTCCTGGGGGCTTGTTTAAAACTTGTCTGACTGCTTGTGTTTCTTGCCTCGTCAGAAATCTTTTTAGTGACCCTCGTGATCCCAGATCTCGCCAATCAAAATGGAGGGTAAAATGTTATTTTTAACACAGGGGTGATGTCCAAAACTACAAAAATAACATCCAAATTGGAATAAAGTGGAATTTGCCCCTCGAATAAATCAAAACCAATATCAATCAGTATCAAATTCTATGATGTTCCCTGAGCTTTCCTTGAGAATTTTTTGGATTTCCCTGAATAGAAAATCTAAAATCTAAAATCAAACATAAAAAAAAATCAAGAATATTTGAAAACCAGTGGGAACCCTCAAAAAGCTTGGTGGATCAGAGTGAGGGAGCTCAGAGATGTAAGACGTCATTGCCGGTACATAAAGCCAGGGGGGAGTGGGGGGTGGGTGGGGGTGTTAGGTCCTTGCCAGGGGCAACCGTATGGTTTCTGGTTGCCATGGATAAACTTACTGGCAGGTGAGCTTTGAGGTGAGGGCAGAAGTGGGGGCATCTCCTCTGTGGCGCTGCTCTGACTCAGCGCCGAACTGTCCGCTAGAACACACACACAAAACGCAGCCAGACACACAATAAATACACACACATACACATACCACAGGCACACAGTCGAGTCAGAAGAGTGTGAGAGACACGTGTTTGCATCTCAGCACGCCTGTCAGTCACAACAGTCAAATACACACACTTCACTAGATGGGAGACAGAGAAAGAGAGAGCGGATAAGAACAGGAAAAAGGGAATAAAACACTAGAGTACCTTTCCTACCTTTCATTTCCTCCTCATCGTTGGTGGCGTTGCTCTCTGTTGATCCCTGGAGTGCAGAGAGACGAACACAAAGACACTGAAACTAAAAAAGCCAGGATCTAGACCAACAGGCCTGAGAATGAAACAGCAGAGTGAAGCTCTGCCTCTCATTCAAACAGAACACAGGTCTCACCTTGACTCCATCGGGAGGGTTGTGCACCACTGTGCTCTGCGATTCCTGCGATGCGGAACAGAACAGTTAGTCCGACACGTCACAATCCTCAACCAGTGCCTCTCAACTGGCTTCAAACTGGGCCCCTTGTTTTACCTCAGCTCTGGTGACGCAACCTAACACATTATGTCCTTCCTGGCAGTTGGTTTGTCCCATAAACTTGCAAGTGCACTGTCAAGGCTATAGCTGGGAGATTAATCGATATTACCATTTAATTATTATCAGGACTGCAGCTAATGATTCATTTCTTTATCGATGAATCAGCCATTTATTTTCTCAGTTAATGTTATTGATTGTTTGGTCTATAAAATCCCAGAAAAATGCTCATCAGAAACCCTAAGGTATTCATTTTACAGTCAAAGATAAGGACAATGGGGGCGTCGCATAGCGCAGTGGGTTACGCAGGCTCCCCATATATAGAGGCTACAGTCCTCGCTGCAGCTGGCCCCTGGTTCGACTCCCGCATCGGACGGCCCTTTCCTGCGTGTTATTCCCCCTCTCTCTGCCTCCCCATTTCCTGTCTCTCTACTGTCCTGTCCATTAAAGGCACAAAAAAGCCCAAAAAATAACTTTAAAAAAAGATAAGGACAATGATAAGTATTTACATCTAAGAGGCTGAAACCAGTGAATTTATTTTCACTTAAAAATGACTCTGAATATAATTGATTTATTACCAAGATTGGTGAAGATGAATTTTCGACTTTCACTGGAATCTTATTGTGACGACAGGATCGTGCGCTATTGTCTTAAAAAAAAATCTTTAAGCTAGTGAAACACTTTATCTGAGGCTGAAACTAACAGATGTTTTATTCATCGACTGATTACCCATTCATTTTTATAATTATTCAATTAATTGTTTGGTTTACAAAATACAAGATAAATGGTTCAAATTCTCAATTTCTCACAAGTGGCGTGTTCATGTATCTTGTTTTATCTAAAAACAGCCCAAAACCCAAATATAGCAGTTTACAAGAATATAAAATAGAGAAGAGCAAATCCTCACACAGGAGGAGCTGCTACCAGAGAAATGGCGGCATTTTCCATTGAGAGTCATTGAGTTAAGCGACTAATCAATAATCGAAATAATTGCTTTGGTCAATCAATTAAGCGTTTTTTTTTTTATCTAATGTAATACATAAAAGTGAGAGATTTCCATAACATGAAAACTATTCTTATTAACACTGATTATAACCTGATCACCCAGCCCTACTCATGGCCTATTTTGGGGTCCGGCACCACCTGTTGAGAAGCACTAAACCAAACCAGACCAGACAGAATTGTCCACACACACCACTACTAGATGTCAAACGTAATGCATGCTAGTAAAGCATCTTAAAACCACAACATGCTTGTACTGGGTGTGAGGATAAAGTTTGGCAGTATGATAAGGATGTCGATGGGGTTGTTAATGAAGGCATGATAAACAGGTTAGTGAGCACGATGGCTGGATGGACGTGAAGAGTTGGATGACAAAGTAAGATGTTAGGATGGATGGTTGCAAGGCCGTGTTGACTTTAATGAGGAGGTTGAAGGATAGCTGGTTAATCATGGCAGGGAAGGATTATATACAGAGAATAACACAGAGGCCATTACATGATAAGACTAAACTTTGCTTGGATATCAGCAGCTGTAGCTCTGAACCAGGACTTTACAGTTCTCTGTGCTGCCACTTTAGAGGCACATAATCCTGAAGACAAGGTCATGCTCCTTAGAAATCTGAAAGGTGCATATGTGCAGCCTGAGATTTGAAATAATTTCCCAAAAAAGTGTTTTATCTGCTTGATTTACAAGTCAGGAACACATGTGCACCTTAGGGAGGGAGGGAGAGGGGAGTAAAATGGCCAGAGGATGGGTACTGCCGGGACAGGGAATGTCACGGTGCAACACCTCCTGGATGGTAGATGAAGGATGACAAGCAGCGACTATGACAATGGAGGATGAGGCACAACGGGCTACTATGCAACTATTGGGTGGGTGGTTGTGGTGGTGGTGGTGGTGGTGGGGGGGGGTTAAGAGGCGGGGACCGACACTGCGGCGGCCTACTGTACCATCTGGGCGTTGGTTGCCATGTTGGTGTCTTTCAGGGCATTGATGGCGCTCACTATACTGTTCTTACTGTTGTTGGTAGAAGGCTGGGACGAGAACGCAAACACTCAAAGTGAACACATACGTTACAGACACGCACACATACACACACACACACACACACATAGATGCATTAGAATTATACGCCTTTTAGGGAACGGGGCTAATTGGTGGTGGAGGCTCCCAGGCTGTTGAGAGCTAACAGGGTAAATGAGAGGGTGAGTGCCACAGAATGGCCTCTAGATCATCCTTTTTACTGCCTCACTAACCCTCTATGCCTCCGCCACTTAACTGCACAGAGAGACCCCTGGGGCAAGAGGAGAAAGAGAGGGAGGCAGGAGGCAGGAGAGAGAGGAGAGAGATGCTTAGTAGTAGCAGAGAATGATGGAGACTGCTGGGGAAACAGAGCAGCGAACCTCTGACAGAGACCCACTAAAAGGTGAAAGAGTAAAACCAATATAGAAAAAGAATTAACTGATAATAACACACAAGAATATGACGAACTGTTTAAAAAAAAAAAAAATAAAAAAAACTTGTTTTTTTAAACTTGGAATTGTGGGGTCTAAAAAACAGGCCACAGAAGGCTGAGAAGCCCTGAGGTAAAAGCCTCTATAGAAATGAACAAGAAATTTGAGCCAAAAAAACAAGACCTTGAAAACCAAACAAACGTCATTACTGTATGAAAAAGATACTGCTTGAAATAAATAATACAAGGAGAAGAAAGTGAGTGAGCTGAGAAGAGACAGTGAGAGGCACAGAAAAAGAACAGAAGGTAGAAAAAGGGGGTCAGCTAACAGAGGAGAGACAGGACACGATGTAGCAGAACAAAAGAGGGCAGAGAGGTGACGAGACAACCTTACCTTAGCAGAATCTGACTTCTTGTTGAGTAAACTTTTGCATGCTGTATTTAAAAAAAAAAAAAAAAAAAAAAAAAAAAAAGGATAGAAAGGGAGAGAAAGGGGAAGGTAACTGAGTTTTACTGTTGACGACAGCATCCATTAAATCCACCCCATTCTTTTTAGAAACCCACAACATGAGCAAAAAATCTGAATCTACAATTTGTCATATCTACGTAACCCCCACAACCTGAGCCTTTGTGACAAAGTAAGCCTAGATGTTGTTAGAGAATAACATGCATTTAATGGATTTCTTGGGCATTTTTTTTCTCCCTTGGCTGTACAGGTTGCTACACTGCAAAACCCATTCACATCATAAGTCCATTCATTGCCATCTGGGGATAAAAGAGAAACATGAGAGCAAAGTAAACTTCCTCAATCCATTTCCTGTCTAGAAGACCCCAGCAGATCTAAAAAGAGAGTGATGGTCAGACTCAAACTGCCGCCAGGACTGATGGTGATGAGCTAGGTTAATGTAAATCATTGATTTCCTTTAAGGGCCCCAGTCACTTTTCCTCTCAGTCTAAAGCTCTCAACTGTCTGTTGCTTCCTTTTCTCTCATTTTCTTCTGACACACACGTTCCAAAAATCTTATCTTGTGTTTCTTACCTTCCAATAAGAAATGGGAGAGGGAGAGCGGGGGAGAGAGGGGAGGGAGGGTTGAAAGAGACGGCTTTGTATTTCAGTATAAGAGTGGAGATAAGGGGCACAGCATTTACAGCAGCAAACAATATCAAGAGACAACTCATGCTCCTTAATCTCGGCTGTTGCGTCGTTATGCAGCTTCTTTCTTGGCCTGGCCATGCAGCATCCAAAGAAAAATATATTAAATAAAATAAAATACGTTTTCATTCCAAAATCCAGGGAAAGGAGAGCTGATTGTTCAGAGCACAAACATCTGCTCTTCATTCGACTAAATCTTCTACCAAACAGCCACCGGGGTGCTAATTGTGACAGCATGGGACCACCGTGTTCATATGCTCTCTAAATACAAACCTTCCCTCCTCCACTCAAGAGAATGATCGCCACTGTCACATGACAGGATGGCTAAAGTCAAGATGACCCACAGCAGGGAGGGCTGCACCACCACTCAAGCAATATGCCAGCTCGATGATGATCAGGGAAGGATGTATTGGAAAGCAACAGAAGGTGTATCTCCCGGGAACATTTTACAGGATATAACCACACAGGACACCCACATGCGAAAGGTAGCAAGGCAAACACCTTTCTAGGAACATACAGAAACGCTTCAAACGCACACTTCTGTCACATTTTGCTATAATGTCATTAAAAAGGGAACATCATGAGCAAACTGCCAAGCCTTGCCTCAGCCATACTCTACAGAGAAGTGCAGGGAAGCAGTTGTAGTCAAAAAAAAAAATAGTGCCAGGATTTGTGGTGATGAGTGACATCATCAGAGGATCAAAAAACAAACACACACAAAAAAATAAGCTATTAAAAGGAAGGAGGAGAGCTGAGGAGTCCAGTTTGGAGTGATGATGTCAAACATGATATTCACAAAAACTTACAAACAGGCAACTTGGTCCAGTGTCACTGAGGAAGCCCTCATTTGGAGGGCTCTACCTGACAGTCAAACCACCACAAACACCCTGATACTCAGCGCACCAATCACACACTGCAGGAGTAACCACTGAGGTCATCTCCCCTGTCACATTTTACCTTTATCCTGCCTACACACAGATCCTGGTAACTTATTAGGAGATCTATGCACACTGCAGAGCAAAGAAGATTCTCTCGTCTGAAAAGGGTGACAAGGAAGCCCATCTGCTCTACACTGTTTCTAATGTACTCAATCCATGGAGCCACCATCGGAATCGCCGACCTTTACCACCCATCCCCACCCAGCAGGATGAGAGCCAAGTCTGCTTTTAGTACTTTCAAAATAAAGGAATCCTTCCCTCCGTCCACGGTGAAATAAATGATGGGAAGTGTCACCTAGTATTTGACAAATGCAGCGGCAGTCCTGCTGCCACGTTGGCTTGCGGCATTCCTTCGAGGAGGCACGGAGACTTTTTTGAAAGTACTAAAACAGACCTCAGGAGGGGTTGATGAGACATGGGATGCCTTTAACCTCAAGGGATTCAGCAGGAAGGCCGCACAGCGATGATGGTTTCAACAGTTGGCTTTCGTAGCAGCACCAAAGGCAGCCCTCCCATCCTCCGTCTCAGTCTCAACCCCTCCCCTGGCTCCTCAACATCCGCCTTTCCCCTTTCCCCCCACCAGACCCAGGTCTGACGATGGCAGCACGCCAACCCAGCTCTTGCCGGCCCCCTGCAGTGTCAGTTCCCGCCCCCAGGATACATGCCCCTCCTCATCCCCTGCCCCAGTCCACCCTGTGCCCATCCTCGCAGCCCCGGCTGGGGGAGAGCACACGGGTGTATGGGGTCAGCTGGAAGTCAGGATGGAGCTTGCTAGAAGTGACGACATAACTGATTTGGGAGATGAAATGGGAGTTACAAGGTTGATGCTGAGTGGTGGTGAGGTGTAAATGTAAAAAGTACTGTTAAGTGCAGGTTGAACTCTATCGATTACTATTAAGTGATGCTGATGTTCATGACTGTGTGCTATAAAATCTGATGTCTTTGCATTAGAGCAAAGACAACACACATCCAGAATAACTTAAATGAACAAAATTTGTGTGAGTATGCATGCATATGTGTGTGAATGTTGATGAAGATGCTGGCAGAGGCTGCATGCAGGAGTTTGGGAGTGTGGGAATGAGGGCCCACCCTGTACTATGAACCAAAGACGTAGTTGTGTGTGTGGAGAGGAAGTGGATGGGCGTGTCTCTGGGACGTACCTTCCTGAGCCAGTGAGGCCGTGGAGGAGGCGGCAGCAGCAGAGTTGGTATGCTGCCGGCCCACTATTGGACAGAAATGCTACAGTTGGGAGGGGCTATGCAAATTAGGCAGGTCTATCTCACGCTGTTCAATCATGGGCCTAGAAAGCTACAGGGTGTGCTGGCTACAGCCCAGATATATCACACGGTTTGACAGAAATGGGCTAAAGCGAAGATGTGCACCCCTGTGGTTTCCTAGGCCCAGGGTTGAAATCATTATCCATCGACTGACCAATTACTTAGGGACTGAGAACAAGGCTTCAACGAAAACAAGTCACTCTCAGCAGACTGAGATTAAAAACACAGAATCTTAGCAGTCACCTGTTTTTAAAACACCACACTTGCCCCCAACATAAAAATCTCTTAACAGTCTACGTTTCCCTTTCTCAAACATGCAAACGCTCCACGTCAAGCAGAAGAGAGGGACACACACACACACACACACACGCCCACACACACACGCAGACACACAAAACACACAGGGAGAAATACATTAGCATGGACAAGGACAAAACTGACACCCACATATAATCTGTTACATGAGAGAATATCACATTTTTAGCCTGCTCACATACATCAGGAAGTAATTCACTCATAATAATCCATCGTTATCAATACATTATTTCTACCATGACTCGAAGGAACTTCATGTTTCAGTTCTGTTTAATGTCGTAAGCAAGCAAATTCCTGTGCACACACAAAAACAAATTGTTATTTTGAGGATGAGTGGGTGACTGTGTGTGACTGTGTATGTGTGTGTGTATGTGAGTGTGTGTGTGTGTAGTGAGGGGGTTAAAAGAGGTGCAGAGGACTCTATCCACTCTCCTTCCTCCACTCCCTTTGCATGTGCTGCGTGGGAGGCTGAGGGCGAAGGGCACACCCACCTGAGAAGTTTCTGGACACCAGCATGGTGGTGAGAATGGCTCCCTGGAGGAGAGGAAGAAGGAGGAAGAAGTGAGGGAAGTATAATAAGTGCAAGGACTTTTGTAATGTTGAACAGGATTTTAGTTTTTGCTCACTGCCTGTTATGTATTTACTTCTAATGGGACAGCAACATTTTTATCTTTCTGCTTTTTTAGAAGCAGTGCCTCCATAAGAGAGCAGCTGTTTTCAACAGCTAAATCCAGTCAAGGCCAAGTGTTCGTTTCTTCTTTGTCAAACAATATATAATTATTTGTATATACCAAATTACTGGGGCTATGCACCGTCTCAGACATTTGGACCCCAGTGCATGTCTTATACTGTATTCCTCAATGCACATGAATTGAAATGATGATCAGCTGCTACTTGCTTCATTAGTTTGCATGTGCGGCAATGTAAACTACAGCCGCTACAGCAGTATCGCGTGTTTCATGTTGTTTCAATATGGCTAATAATACAATACCCGAGTTTCTGTATCGATACCTTAACTTTGAGAAGAATAAATATACATTTTCTTCAAACGACTTATTTCAATAAGATCAAAGGAAGGGGCAACAAAATAAGTACATTTAAAAATCTCAATACACTGGACAACAGTGAAAGGAGAAGCAGTAAATCAACAGATTAAAGATGAGTACCTTGAGTTTTCGGCGAGCATTGAACTTGCGGAGACACTCGACAGTTTCCTGTCTGTGCATCATGGATGCCACTGTAGAACGGTGCTGTAGGAAAACAAGAAAATAAAACACATTACAAACTCCTATTCTTTGTGTGAACCTGTTTTCACAGAATCATAGTTACTTCTAGGCCTTAATACAGTAATTCTGTATAGGTAGTGTTGGGTGTGCATGTGTCTAGATTTACTCATGTACCCATCAGTATCTGCTTGTGTTATTCCAATAAATCTCATTAGTCGGTTAGGTGAGTGAATACTTACGCAGACCCATGGGTGTTTGAGGGCCTGTTCGGCAGTGATTCTCTTGGCTGGGTTGATGGTTAACATCTGGTTGATCAGGTTCTTTGCCTCTGGAGTCACTGTGTCCCACTCTGGGGAGGGGAACTGAGGAAAATTGAGAAAAAAGTCAATGTGACAGTTGGAAAGGATGGAAGGAAAGGAGAGAAGATTGGAGAGAGTACAGTTTCCTGATGGACTGCTTAGGAGCCTGCATCTGCATGTTCCTAGCTAATCCACACCATCTGGGCACGAGGTCTTGAGTTAATCTGTCAAAATTATGATGAGATTAGAACAAAACTGCTAATTTTCTTTTTGGATTAACAGAGCACATGCTCCTGTTACAGGTCTTTAAACCGTTTTTATTAAGAGTAAATTCCCTACAAACAGGCTGCCTTGGACTTCCCCACTCTCTCTGGAAACTGAAAAGTGACTTGATTATCCAGAGACTGAGAGAGGAGGATACCCCTTCTCTCCCTCGCGCACACACACACACACACACACACCCACAACACCCCCACCACCACCACACACACACACAACCACCCCCACCCCAACCACACCAACCACCAAACAACAACACCACCACACACAACAAACAACAACCCACCACACCACCACCCCACACCACCACCACAAACAGCATCACACCCACCCCACACCAACCTCTTGCAAAATGCGTTTCAGGGAGGCCCTGATAGGATCAATAGCTTTGGACCAACTCTCAATTGGACACTATTAAACATTCAAAAACTGCTTAGCAAACTCCTGCACTGCACCCTTTACAAATATATACCTAACGCACACACACATACACACACACACAGGCAGGCAGACAGACACAGCACACAGCACACTTACATCATATGCCCCAGCTTTGATCTGCTGATAGAGTTTGTGCTGATCTTCATCCCAGAATGGAGGATATCCCACTAACAAGATATAGAGAATAACACCTGGCAGAAAACAAAGCGAAAGAAAGTGAGTGAGAAAGATCATGTTACAATACTTGCATAATTTTTCCATCAAATAGGCAAAGCCATTTTATTTATATGCCACATTTCAATACAAGCAAACTCAATGTACTTCACATTAATATGCACACGACAACAGGTAACATTTGCAGATGTATGTAGTGGATTAAATACAAGGAAATGCAACAATAACAAAATAAAAAGCATTTTTTATCATAATGTCTATTTAGAAGAACCTGGTTATTCCAACACTTCCTGAGTGAGATGCTGTTTATGTGAGTTTCTCTCTGACTCTCTGGCTGGAGGGTTAACAGATTATCTTGCCTCAGTGTTACTGTAACCCATTTACCTTTTGAAAATAATTTTACCTGTAAATTATTCTTTGTAAGGCTGTTGAACTGGTTCATTTGACTAAAGACAAACATGGCCAGAGTTCAGTGTTTGTTTCCTGCTGCTGATTGCCACAGGTTAAATGCCCAAAGGTGAGGCTCAAGACTTACCACAAGCCCATATGTCCACAGGCTTGCCATAGGGGTCCTTCCTCAGGACTTCAGGCGAGAGATAACCAGGGGTGCCCGCAAACCCTGCCCGACAGAAAAAGACAGATTTACTGATGCCTTTTTTATTAAAACTCTGATTCAGATTTTGACACAAATTTTTTGTGTGGGTTTGTGAATGGTTCAGATGATAAGGGACCTGCCGGACTCTAATGCAAGACCAGATTTTGAGTGCAGAGGCACAAGCAAAATGACCATTAATCATCTTGTCCCCGCTGGAGAGTCAGCCAAATGCTGGCAGCTCGGCTGTTAGCCAAGACACAATGACCTAAGCATGATGTGGAAAGTGTCTGTGAGCCTCTTAAGCAATGTGCACAAATATTCTTCGGCTTCCAAGCGGGCGGATGTATGTCTATACAGACCCACTGTATATGAAAGAAGCCCTATTCAGCAGTGACTCGTTTACTTAAGTGTAAAAACTATCCAGTGCTAAACACCCAGACAGAATAACAGATCACGTAATGGGTCCAGCATATTTGATATGTGTGTGTCACTGTTTGTGCTTTCTTACCAAACCAAGCCTGCTGGTCTCCCTGCACTTCAATAGCAAGGCCAAAGTCTGCCAGCTTCACTGCAGCTCCCTTCATCTTACTGGCCAACAACAGGTTCTCAGGCTGAGAGTGAGGGAGAGACACACACACACACACACGGTGAAGCAGAATGTAGGACAAGAGATCAAGACAGTGAGAGACAGATAGTGACAGGCACTCCTCAGAAAAGCTTTTTCTCAGAAATATTTATATTTGATGTATTCGACACAGCTCGTGTGGGGGTGGGGTAAAGGTGTGAGAAGGCGATGGAGAGACGGAGGAAGAAGGAAGAGGATGGGTGGTTGAGAATCTCCACAACACCTTATATGGGCATGGGTTCGTAGCCATAGAAACCACCCGGGAGTCATTTAGGCAGCGCTGCAGACTGCATGCTAAATGGAAAGTGTACTTAGCGAGAGGCAGCGTGTGTGGCAGCGTTCTAAATGGCCGTTGTTTGGGCAGTAGGACATAAAGGGCTGCAGTAAAAGCCCACTCAGGATAAAAGGCCAACAAATCAGACAGGCAGTGCTCGAGGTAATAGCGTTATTCTCCGACACAGAGCACGCAAACACACACTAAAGCCGCCCACACATGTCTGAGACATCCCTTGAGATTGTTTTTTCCACACATTGCGTTCTCTGCTCGAAAAGTTTCAATACATATTAATATTGTCCTTCCTGCCAGGAATTATTATCACCACCTTAAACTGGGTTAAGAAGAAAACTGCTTGCTTCCTCTACTCTTTGCATTTGAGCCAATCAGCAATTTGGGACAACTCAAGCCCCTCCCCCGCTGCTCCACGGGTGGTGTGATGTCAAATGGGTTGTCCTGGCAACTCCCGAGGCTCATCTATGCCTTCACCTCTTCTCTCATAAAAGACCCCCTTCACATCAGTACAAAGTGTGTGTTTGTGTGTGCATGTGCTGTTGGAGTCCTTGTCTTTTCCTTGCCACAGGTGAGAGACAAACCCCTCCACGTGATCATGACTCACCATCTCTGTGCTCGACATGATCACACACACACACACACACACACACACACACACACACACACACAGTGTTGTGGTCAAGGACAGACAAGTTGACAGATCTGAGAGCAGATAGAGGAATAGAGGGTAAAAACAGTAGACAGGAGAGACGCAGGGGAAAAATAAAAAGGGATGGAAGCAGAAACGCGCAGAGAGAGAGAGAGGGAGAGAGAGGGAGAGATAGAGAGAGAGAGAGAGAGAGAGAGCCATCTGTGTGTTGCCATGGCCACGAGCAGAGTTGTGTGCGAGTGTGTGGTTGTCATGGTAACGGGCAGCCACTCACCTTGAGGTCTCTGTGCACAATATCATGCTGGTGGATATGATTGACACTCTCCAAGATCTGACTAATGCAATGACTACGGAGAGAGAAAAGGGGACAAACAGAGAGAAAGACTTGTCACTCACTGCCCTTCATTACAAAAAACATCACATACACTCGACATGATTTGTCTGTCATGTGTTTCACTGAAGCCTGGTGGATTATGGTCTGGTTACAGAACTGACGCATTTCATTGCAACACTTTTTAAAGCTATCATTAGAAAGAGAAACCTGATTGCATGAAACTAGAGCTGTCGTTCATTTTAAGGTTTACCAAATACATATAAAGCTGAAACAATTAGTCAATCAACAGAAAATTAACAGCTTAATCATCTAAACCATTTTCCAAGCAAAAACATCAAATCATTTCTTGTCACGGCTTCTTCAATGTGAGGATTTGGTCATTTCTGATATACACACTTAAATTGATTATCTTTGGGTTTTGGACTGTTGGTTGCACAATAAAGGCATTATGAGGACATTACTGTGGGCTTGAGGAAATTGTGTCAAACATTTTTCACAATTTTATGACATATTCAACAAATTGATAATGAAAATAGGTAGCACGATGCTTAAAAGAATGTAAAACTGAAAATCACCTCCATCACATTCTAATCCAGTGGAGGCTGAAGCTAAGTTGCACAACAAACATTTAGTATACAAAAACTATTATTTTTCAAAGACATTATCCAGGTTCTGTAGTTTAAACAATCAATACAAAGAAACTTGTGTGGGAGGCCTTACACCACGCAGTCAATAAATCTCTATCCCAGTAGCAATTTAAATAATGGGGGCGTCAATTCAGCTGCCACTAATACCATTGCCATTATTTCTCAATTCTGGCTGGGGAGCGTGTTTTCACACCAGCCTGGTGAGTGTGTTGGCTCATGCTGAGTCTTGTCATGAGTCTTTTCCTACAAGCCAGTTCCTGACCACCTTATTACTGCCCTACACACTGCGGTGTCAGGCTCCACGGTTCCACTACTCGAGGCTCACGTTCATGTCATGTCTCTAGAAAGGTTAATGGGTCAAAGGTTGGGCCGAGCTTGAGAAAGTGTGGCCAAGGCTCAGTCCATTGGGCTTAGTTTGTGTGTGTGTTTCCAAAGCCCCCTATGAGTATGAACAGACAAAGTACCCTAATCCAATTGTACAACAGACTTCATAAGCCACAGACCAAACCGCCAGAGGAAAGGAAAAGAAGAAGAACTCAGAGGAGGAGGAAGTAGAGAGGGAGGAGAGAAAGCGTAAATGTCACGATGTCAACAAAATGTCAGGAAATTGTGAAAAATGCCCATTATAATTTCACAGCAGCCAAGGTGACGTCTTCAAAGAGCTTGTTATGTCCATTCAACAACACAAATCCCCAAAGATATTCAATTTACAATGTCATAAAACATACGAAAGCAACAAAGCTGCCAGCTAGAACCAGCAGAATTGTGGCATTTTTGCCTGAAATATAAATATAAAGGAGGATGTAGAGTGATGCATGTGGACCAAGAGAGAAGGAGACAATTATATCAATGCACCTGTTGACGGGAGGGGGGGGGGGGGGCTTTGTTGACAAGAATACAAGCAAACCAATTACATCCTGTGTGGTCACATTCACAAACTGAGAGTGAGTTATTCACATATTTAATGGGATAAAGATGTATGTTTGCAGCAGAGTGTGTGTGCATGTAAATGTGAGCAACAGCTCCATAGGAGGCGCTTACCTGGCATCTGCCTCACTGTAGTACTCCCTGGCTACAATGTCTTCAAAAAGCTCTCCTCCTGTCACCCTGGGAGGGGGAGGGAGGGAAGGAAGGAAGGAAGGAAGGAAGGAAAGGACAAAGAAAATGAGGAGGAAAGGAAGAAAGAAAAACAGGGAGGCAAGAGAGAGGAGTTGTTAGCATACACAAACAAACTGCAGTCACATGCATGGATAAAATGTCACTGTGTGTTTGTGTACAGAATATACTCACAGGTCAAAGACTAGGTAATGAAAGCCTTCCTCTGAAATGCTGTCATGGAGTCTCACTGCAACAGAGAGGGTGGGCAGTGAGAGATATAAAGACAGGAGTCAGACAAAAGAAATAAAGAATTGCAGTTTTGTTAGACTGTTAAATCTCCCCATAAACTGGGGCTAAGACAAAATGCTAAATCAAAAATATTTAAAGAGAAGAATGGACCAAGGCAGAGCAAGAGAAATTACTGTTAACCATGGCTGTGACAAATTGATTTTTTTCCCTCACCGCTGCGATTTGACGGCACATCCAGTGGTTAGGGGAATAACCACCATTTAATTAAACCCCACACTTTGATTGCTGAAACTGAGCGAGGGTGTCGAGAAGGCATTTTGTTTGGGGCCAAATTACCAGTAGTTTTAAAAATATATCTCTTAACAAACACCCCTCATATGGCAAATTTGTATACAGCTGGGACATCGGCTCTGTAGCAAACCATGAGCAACTGTGAATGTGGCCTGGCATGCAGCAAAGAAGTAGTGGTATTCCACATGAGAGGAAAAGGTATTTCATATGTAAGTGACATGTTGGATGTTTGATGTTGTTCAAACGGTAATACCTGCCATGCACATATTCTTCATTATGAACTTATAATGCCTGTGTCTTCTTTTACCAGTCCTCCCTGCAAAACTTCAAACTTATCACTGATGAAAAAGTGCAGAAAAGTGACAAACCTGAATGTAGATTAATTTGGGGGGCATTTCTGCCTTTATTTGATAGTTGACAGTGAAGAGATAGGCAGGAAGAGTGGGAGATAGAGAGGGCAATGACATACAACAAAGGCTTCTGGCTAGAATCAAATCAGGGCTTGTGGTTATATGGTATCTGCCTCAACCATTAGGCTACTATGACACCCCTATATAAGGGTATTTTGCACTAACCATTCAGTAATTACTGATGTATCTGTTCTGTTTACATAATTTTCACAGAAGCTACAGTAATGATGAATAGTTAACATACTTTTGTATGTCCACTTACAACAAGTTATATAGCTATGTTTTTGTGGCAGTTTTTCTGGCTCTGGCACAGAACAAGGTGTCTGTTCTTCATCCCGTGTAACAAAGCTCTGATAGGCTACCAGGGAGCTAACTGTCAAAGAGCACAACAACAATCTAAAATCGCACAAAAAATGAATTGCAGATGAGGGAGGTTGAGATCAGGAGGCAGATTAGGAAATGTTATGGTTATAAAAAACACAAGCGAAACAAGAAAAAACACAAGTGCTTGTTACCAGTAATGTTTCCTGATTACTGATGGAGATAAGTGATTGCTTAGTCAAGAACAGAAAAAATAAAGTGGTGGTTACAGTAATGAGCTCACATTACCATGATACTGCGGTTATGCGGTAACCACCCGGGCACTACTGTCAACGTAACTTAACAGCAGCAGAATGACAAAGCAGAATCCAGGCAGCAGGAGCCAGGCGTTAGAGACTGGGCCTGTGATACAGCTTAGGTTTTGTGTCAGGGGAGCCACAGTTATCGTTATGTAAAATGAATATCAGTTGTATAATAAGACGAAGTAGGATGGCCCTGCAGCAAGAAACGAGAACGACTGCTCTTTCCTCCTCCTCCCATCTTCTCGCTCTCCCTCCATCTGTCTCCTACTCCTCCTGCTTTCGTCTCTCCATCTGTCTCTTTTTTGTGCCCTCTTTTGTCCGAAGTTTGAATACAGACGATGCCAAAACATGTCAAAAAGAGGAGAAAGGACAAGAAAAGGAGGAAAATCTATAAAGAGGCGGAAGATAATGGGAAAAGTAAGCGAGGTGCAAATGAGTGCGGGGGGGGGGGGCTGACTGACACAGAACTAGGACATGAGAGGAAAGAGAAATAAGGAGTGCAGTGGGAAAGGTGTCATTGATTTTGTGACCTTTAACACCCTTCTCCTCTGGACATCTCCATTAGAGCGGCACAATGCTTTTTATTTTTTCATCGATGTAATATGAATTACCACAATTAGCACACGGTTACAGGCCAAGATATCAGACAGGTAAAACCAGAAAGCCAAGAAACATGTCTGACGTCATCTTCACAGACAGAGCAGAAATCTGTCCTCAACACCGTCAACAAGAGAAAGCTTCAAGCCGACCCACTGTCCCCCCTCATTCTGACTGGAATCACATATTTTGTGTTTTAAGGCAACACTGGTGATGTCATCTACATTTCTTTTTGTCACAACAACTGCACGGCCCATTAGAACAAAATTCACAAAATCCTAACCAAAGCTAGCTGTCCTGAGCTGTTAGCATCTTGATGCCAATTGATACCAAGTAGTAATGTTAAATTACCGGCAACAATACAATGATGCCAGCCATCAGTTCTGCTGCACAACAGACTCAGTGCAGTTTCTGGTATAAAAGTCTTTGTGGTGTCTGACTAACTTTTACCTGAGAGGGATCACCATGGTAACCTATTCTGCACAAACTAACAGGCTAACTTAAGAAGATCAGATCAAAACCTGTGATCAGATCACATTCACAATCAATTGGAAATCATTTTTGCACAACCATGTGTCCACAACCATGTGTCCACTCCAAGTTTAAAACAAGGCTTCTAATAAAGAGAGAGAGAGTTAACCACACTAACAGCATAATGAATGTTGAGTGTGGTTTTATATTAATTGAAAGAAATCTTGTTAATTATTAATCAAGTTTCTGTTATAACTGATAGCATTATTGAATGTAAGTAGCTTTTACAGTCTGATTCTCAGGCTAAGGTGAGGCAACTTTAAATTGTTTTAGACTCATCAACATGATAGCCTGAGATGAAAGGTATTTTCACTGTTCTGACACTTTTAAATCCACACAATGTTAATTAGCTCTAATGCAACATTTTGGTCAGTTGGATCGATTCATGCATGTATTTCTCATGTCTGAGAAATACATGCATCTTATTTGTTTCTCCTTTGCAATCTCAGGGACAGGAAAACTCAGTCAACATTGTCAGTTGATAACTAGCTTTGTGCTACCAGTGAGCCAGATTTATGTAAACTGGGATTGATACAGAGGCTTGTATCATGAAGTTAGTTCAACTGTTTATATTGTTCAGGTGTCTGCACACTTCTTAACATCCATGTGAGTCTGTGCAATTTCTCTTTCAACTGTGTTCAAACTTTAAGTTGATTCCCCTTACGCATTTCAAAATCATCCTGTGGATTAGGATTCTCAGCATCATGCTCCATGTAAGAACATCAGATCAGATCATGATCATCAGTTTATTTTTCTGATCCAAGCACCTTGTTACTCGAGAAGCACAGAAGCCCCTGCACAGCTCTAATCTAATAAAATCATATCAGAAACCCTGATTTATTTGCAAATAAATTAGTGAGATAGCATATGTGGATTTCTCAGTGTCTATATAAAGGTTATCATGGTTCTGTAAACAGATTAGGTTGCTTAAATGTGTAAAATTAGTTTTTCCCTCTTCTGAATTAAGAATATTTTACTACTTTTTCCAAGGTCAAGAATGAACTTTCATGGTCAATATATTAATACTCATTAAAAATAGCTGTGAATTTCTGTGCTATTCTCAATATTAGAATTAGCCGAAACTCTGATAACAGCAACTGTGTTGGTGCATTTCAGTGAAGAATCTTATTCCCTCAGCATGAGCAACAATAAACGCACGTCACACATTTGGTTTTGTGTATGCAAACTCACCGATGTTGGGGTGCTTCAGGAGACGACAGATACGAGCCTCTCTCTCAAGCTTCTGATGGTCTGCGGAGAGAAAAGTCGTGGTTAGGACATGTTACAATCACAGAGCAAGAAAGCATTTATACGCCATTACCTGGTCAAACGACTGTGTTCAGTGCATGATTTAAACAGCACATCATACGCTTATAAGATTTTTAACAAGTCAGTATTTATTCTTTTCACTTGTGGAGGTCATTGGTGTAGGGGGCAGACAAAATAACCAAAACAATTAGTAATAAGTTGGTCACTAAAATATTCCTACTGTATTTTGTTTTTGCCATTTATTTATTTATTCATTGGCATTTTGACTTTATTTGTTAAGTGACAAAGCAGATACAGAGAGAAAAGGTGGGCAAGGGAGAGACACCTGCATGCAGCTCAAATCGAAAGAAGGACGTTGTGGTTATAAGGTGTGGGTCGCAACCACTAAGTTACCAGATGCCACACATGCACCAACTTAAGTCTGTTTCTCACAGAGGCTAGCAAACATGTCAGTTCCTTCATCATCATCACATCAGTGTTTTCAACAAAATGTCTTTAAGTCAGTGATGAAGATGATTTTTTAGTATGGTATATGTCTAGTAAAACCTAAATTAAAACATGTACACACTGCTATAACTTGTAATAACTTAATTTAACTCCTTTGTTATAATTATTTACTTGAGCATCAGTCACAAACAAAGCAAATTTGTGAATTTAAATAATTGCAGTGCAAGTATTCAAATGCAAATATTTAAGGAAGTATTTGTTTTTGTCTACATGAATGCAAATCCTTCAGGCCATGGTGCTAACCTATTAGTAAAACACTCGTTCAAACTGAGCGGCTGCATTTGCTTCTGAAAGGTAACAGTCGCAAGCACAGCTCCAATGATTTCATGTGTAGTTTTATTTGAGGTTATTAAACTGTGTGTGCAAATTAATGAGGCTGAGTGTAGCAATGGGTGCACGAGTTTGCACGTTGCACATGATATTGTGTGTGTGTGTGTGTGTGTGTGTGTGTGTGTGTGTGTGTGTGTGTGTGTGTATAAAGGGGTTACTGTGAATCCCAGTTATAGAACATTGCAGTGTTTGCACTTCAGTCTGGGAGGGGATGCTAGCAAGAACACACAAGCCTCATGTCCAAACCAACATCCTTGTTTGAAGGTTTTACTGAATCCTTTAGCAGCACGTGTACACATGCGTGTTTGTGTGAGATGTCGGTGTGTAAACCACTGTGACACTGCTCCCTCCCATCACTTTGGGAGGGTGTGGCCACAACCATGCTACAGCCATGCAGCCGAGGTCACGGGTCACTTGGGGTAACTAGTGAAGATCCAGTATGACTCAGTGTGTAGATGTGAGCGTGTTATCACTGTGGTGAAGCCAACTCAACCCCACAGCTCCACGGCGAGTACACCACACCTCACACACACAATGAGGCAGCCTCACTAAGATTTGCATTCATTTCCCCAGTGCAGCAACAGCCTCAGATAAAATTCACATGCTGTTGCTGAGCAATCAACTACCACCTTACCCCATTGTTCTACAGAATCAATGCAGTATGTACAGGCATAATACAAGAGGACATAATTATAAAAAGCAGTGTCACTTTCGGCATCCCTCTCTGCATCCTTCTACATCTTCTCTGACTGTTCAGACCACCTGTTCTTCACCTGATTTTCTCTAACTTGTTGCTTACTTGGACAAGTTTTAAGGCTGCTGACAGGTGTTTTGAAGATATGTCTTCTGTACTCTAACATGGTGCTACACTTTCCACATCTACCTTTCTCTACCCTCCCTGTCGTCTCCCTGCAGGTATAGATTTCCCTCATTGGAGAGAAAGCAAGTGAATAAGGGAGAGACCTGAACCTCCTAATTACACCAGTGACGCAGGACGGAGGGACAGACAGAGAGAAGGAGGGAGGATTACACAGAACGTCCATTTGCTAGAAGAGGATCACAGCTCCCTGGTGTGTGTGTGCGCGTGTTTGTGCATAGCTGACTACCCTGGTGCAGTGTCACTGCAGCACTCACTAATTCATTCAATCTCCTTATTTGTTGGTGCGAGAGTGTGTGGTAGAAGAAGACAGGAAAGAGAGGGCTGGAGGGTAATTACTGGCACTTCCTGCTACTCTCTAATTGGCCATCTGCTTTGCCATGGGGCGGGCTCACAGCCATCTTACATCAGCTGAGGAGGATGGAGAGGACCAAACACACGCATGCACGCACGCACAGACACACACCCCTCTCTCTGCCACACATACAAAGCTGACAATCTGACTGACGGCTTGAGGATCCAGTTCAATCTGTTTCAGGCAAGTTTACATCCAAACTGTTAGGCCTGGGAAATACTGACAAATCAAACACCACTTTATTTTGACAGAGTGCCTCAATATTGATATTGTGCCAGTATTTTAGGGGTGAGAACAAGTGTTTTCAAGGGATATTTAACAAATATGACACAATACTAACAGCATTAAATATACATATACTGATAGCAGTGAAATATTTAGTTTTTCCTCTTTAATGTCTATTAAGCTATTAAGAAACAGTTCATATATGTACTTCGCCTAAATCAAATTGGCTTAGTTATTCTTTAAAATGAGGAAATATCTAACCAAAGAATAAAAAAGACTAAGACTCAGACAAAGCTATGAATACCTTTTTTGGCTGACCCCAAAAAGTACTGAGGTTCAACACCCTACTAATGTAGCTACTTATGTTATCAGGTGACAAATTGCTAGTTTTCTGAATGACGAAGTGTGGCTATACAGATTAACATGCCATTTTAGGGTATTTCTGCTGAATTTCTGACTAATGTTAATTCTGAGAATTGGTGCATCCCATGTTCATGAAATCGTCGTTCATAATTGATTCCCCTAAAACTATTACTGAAAAACCAATTACAGACATATTTCAGCTATGTCATGATATAATAACCGCTTCAGCCCATAATGGCTCATGAAAACCATGTACATTTTCACCTGAGCATCACCCCAAATGTTGGTAATGTAACTGGCTATTTGGAAGAATAATCACTCCCAGTTATTTGGCAGATAAAATATGCTGAACATTGAGTCATGACGTGGCATCTGGGCTAGCCTCTCTTCCACTAGCTTCAGTAACTCAATGCAATCGCTCATTCAGGAATTTCTTTTAATGGGCTATCTGAAAGAATTGAGCATGTTACTGGGTTTTACTTCCCAGATCGAAATCCACTACCGCAGTTGCTATAAGAATTCAAACCATTTGTGATATCAAGTTTAACATGGATTATTTTGTGACCACAGAAAAATCTACAGCTCCCCTTCGCTCAGGTACTACACTCACCATTGTTCTCTTCTACAGCCACTTTTTTAGCTGTTACCTCTGCTATCTAAAACCTTTTACAGAGTCCTGCTATCCTGCTGTTATTAAGACACGTCTGAGCTAACCACAACCCCTCTACTGGCTTATGGACTCGTCTTTTTTGTTAAACTGTGACGGTTAGCCTGTGAACATCTAGGGCTTTTGCGTTAATGCTGCTAAAACAAGAAAATGTTGAATGAGCAATGTTAAATTGTTTTTAAAAAAGCTGCCATCCTTATCTGAACATATGTAGTGTGCAACACAACATACTGTCCAAGCTCTGACCTGAGGATGCAAGTAATGCAGGGATTTTGAATGAGGTTTACTTGCTTCAGTAACAGAACCCGGAAGGCCTCGTTTAACTTCGGCTCTCTATAGCAAAAAGCTTGTCTGAATTACACAGGTACTGATCTGCTGCTTCAGGAAGATTCAAATGCAAAAATCAACTGCCAATATAGTCACCATGGTAACCACTACACACGACCAATTTGGACAAAGCCCGATCGTCACTTTTTGTTCAATGGCAGGAAACACAGCTGAGCCTGATAATAAGACTGAAGTGCCATTTTGTTTCACTTCATTATTCAGGTTGACATCTTATTCTTGTTAGCCAATGTAAGTGGACAAAGAAATTGTGGTATCTGTTGCTGGGAGCAGTTTACTTAATGCTTTTCATGGTGATTAAGGAAAAGTCAACTTTCAAGAACTTGTACAATTGTTTTGAGATTGTCCCCATTTGTCGCCATTTATGCAGCCATTTTTCCATCACTGTTTCTTTGTGGATATAGCAAGCTACCCATCATGGGAAGATGACGTCCCCATTCCTAATCCTGACGACAAAGCTTTCATTAGTCAGCTGCTTCTTCATTCATGTGAAAATAGTCATCAGCAATTACAACACCAAACCTATCTGAATCACTGCACAAATCAGAGATGTGGGTAGTGATTCAGTGGTCTGAACCCTGGCAATACTCAGGGGAGACAGCTGAATTTTCCTGGTTGGGCAACATTAATTATGAAACAGATTTTTTCTGCAAAAGGTGAGCTAGGAACTAACAGGCAGGATTTTAGGAAATTGCTGATCAATAAATAATATTAAGAAGCACAACTTAGATTATTTTCACTGGGACAATCACACAGCCCGAGGACACTAGATGTAGGACGCTAAAAAAATGTTGAGGAGGAAAAGTATTAGGGTAGTGCATTAAAGTGGATAGTCTGTCTCACTCACACTCTCACACGCACACACACACACACACTCTCTCTCACACACACACACACACACACACACACACACACACACACACACACACACACACACACACACACACACACACACACACACACACACACACACACACACCGTTGCAGCAGACAATGCAGCAGCCATCTACTTTCCAAAGTCACTTCACTCATCAACAACAAAATAAAACAGAGCATTTGTTCTACGCAGCAAAAGTCGTATCACACCAAAGCAGCAATTAACTGTTACTGCGATATAAAACCAATATCATTTTATAATATATTGACAAAGAATATAGAGAAAAACACTATAAATGAGATGGCATTAAAGTCCCCTGATTCCCTGGGTGAGAATCAGGTGTATGCGTTTGTGAGTGTGGGTGTGTAATGTGTACACTGCTGCCCACTCGCATCCACCTCAAACTGCCTGAATGCTGGACTATCCCACAGCCAACTGCCTACATCCATCCCTGACCTCCCTCCCTCCCTCCCTCCCTCCCTCC